GGAAAGACCACATAGCCAGGGCAGCTGTGAAGGGAGAGGCCGCATTCAAATCACTGGCGAGGATCACAGCGTCGACATGGGGCCCATCAGTACGCAAATCCAGGCTGCTATACTTCGCAGTGGCCAGGCCCACAATGACATATGGTGCCCAGATATGGGCCGTAAACGACAAAGGAGAAAACATAGCAGAATCAAAGACCAAACCTCTCACGACGACCCAGAACAAATGCCTCAGGAAGGTGCTGGGGGCGTATAAACGAACCCCCATCGCTGCCATCGAAAAGGAAAGCGGCACGCCACCAATAGACATATACCTTCAAACAATAGCCATGCAACGAGCTGTCAAGACAGCTCACCACCCAGTCACAGCACAAATCCGAGAAACACTGGCCTCGATATGGGCAGCGGCGACCACTCCAAAGGGCAGACGGGGTAGAGGCCGACCAACCAAACACACGGCCCAACCAAATGCCCCCATAGACAGCATGCGGGAGAGAGGAGACAAGATCATAGAGCGACGCCGAGCCACGCAAAGACAAGAACGACGGGACGGACAGATCCAAGCCGTCAAGGAAATAGGAGATGAGCATACCGAGCAATGGAGAGACAGGTGGGAGGCGGAAAGGCGCAAGCCCCACCGCACCGCACCCACATGGAAGGACCCATGGGAAAGCCAGCCACTCCACCTGTATGATAATGCACCAAAGCACGTGGCAACGTCTATTCTTCTCCTACGCACAGAAGTACTCGGTACCAGGGTATGGCTAGCGAACGCTGGGGTACCAGACATACTACCCACATGCACCTGCGAGCATAATAGACAGACACTCACCCACTTAAGAGACTACTACAAGGACACCTCTCACGCGAGGCTAAAACTGCTCGAACGAGCAGGTACTACTAGGACGGACCGTCTCTTGACAAGCAAAGACACCGCCTGGATGGCGGGTAGATGGCTCCTGGACACACACGTGCTGGAATACTTCCGCATTGCAAAGGAAGACGAAGGAGTCGACATGGAGAAGTGGGCGCCATTCCACAAAGCCCACGAAACGCCAACCTAAACTCCGCCAAGCCCTCACATGGCAACACAGTACAATAGCAGGAAGAAGCGTGAGCAGAAGGCACCTAGGGACATGTAGGAAGTAGGGGTTTTTAGATACCTCCCCTATTAGAGGCATCCCGTTTGCCCTACTAGACACAATAACGTAGGGGAATTGTTCATAGACCCGAAAGGGAACCAGATAGCACTATAAATTGAACTATTTATTTATTTATTTAATTATAGATTTTGGAAAGTAGGAGGTTGTCGCGGACTTTAACTCCTCGTACCATCGGACAATTTCCTGCCGCACACTAATAAACCCCTCCCCGCGATGTCATGCACTAAAAATTTCTAAGCAATAGCAATCACTTGGTCTAATGCGATTTGATTGTTGCATTGGAACACCTGAACAAGGAAAAAAGGTCTCAATGTTTGTTGGGATTTATTCTCAGATTTCTTTGAATACCACCATGATGTGGTTTATCATCGTCACTTTGGCTTCAACCCCACGCCAGCTCCATTCTTCTTGCTGTAGCCTTTGCTCTTCTTATCTCACCTCCTTCTATTATTCCTCCTTTGCTCATTGTTACTCTTCTTCCTTCTGGGCGAGTCCTGCGGTAGTGTGCTCGTCCTCGCTCTCGTCCTTGCGCTCTATCACATCCACATCAATTACTTACAATCGTTAGAGCTAATCTTCAAGATGTTCAATAATACTGACCGTGTATTGGAATCGCGGCTCACACGCCGCTTTTAGCTTGTCCTTGGTCTCCTTCGCCTTCTTCGCGGACTCTGGGATTTTGGACTTTTCCTACTCACTCGTAACGAACCACAAGTGCCTTAATACGAATCGTCACGTGCGCTGTGAAGAACAGTGAAGACCGCCAAAATTAAGTGAAGAATCTTGGCTGCAATCGACACTATTCCCCAACACTTACCCGATCAGGCAGGTTGGACAAAGCGTCACAACGAAGCCGATGTCCGCCGATTGAGGCATTGTTATTCCCGTCCCAAAAAACAAAATTGCCTATAGCAGGATAATAATAGAAAAACCCATCCAAGTATAGAATAGGGTAATAAGTGCTGATGCGGAAACATCAATGGGAAGAATGATATGATGCAAAGAGCTGACAGCGGTCGCTAGATTGATGAGAGGGTCAGCGCTTGAAATTATGGTTTTCCTTGCGGGGCATGCTTGCGGATTTTTTATGTCGGGTATGAGAGTGATTGCGGCTTGGATCTTTTGATATGAGAGGGTAGGATTGTGTTGTTCGGGAAAGAAGTCAAAGGTTTATCTTTGAATTGTTGGTTTAAAGTACTTTGGTGCACGCACCACATTTCAGTTAAGCTGGGTGAGAGTGGAAGTGAGAGTGAGGGTGAGAACGAAAGGTACCATCCGCAAACTCTTCCAAGTATCCTTTCACATCTTCGATTAGACGAAACCTATAAACCACAGAAAAAGAGAAGACAGAGTTAAAAACAAAAGTAAATGTAAATTCCAGAAAAATAACGAAAGGATTGAGTGAATAAAACTCCGAAAGTTAAACTCTAGTAACTCCAAAAAGAGAATCGATAAGGAAATAAAATACTTGACAAGGAAATAGATGAGATTCAAGAACCAGAGTAACATTTAATGAAAGGACTAATGGAAGATCCGTTAAACAATTCAACCGCTCTATAATTGGGTTGAAAAGGTGGATGTGCATATTGTGCAAGTCATGTGTTGAAGAATTATGAAACGTAGAGAACAGGACTGTCCGATCGAATCGTTACACCTTATGGTCATATTCCTATGAATCGCAGATGAGTAATGGCCGATGAGGCTATAGTATGTAGGTTAGGTAGCCGTAGCACAACATGAGATCTCTAAGGCTAAGTCAGACGTTTCAAAATTCTAGCAGAGTCCGTTGGAGTGCATGGGTGAATGTTCAGGTTTCACGGGCTCCAACATCGAGCAAGCAAGCTATCATGACATTCCGATCAGAGAACACCAGATCTTCAATGTCTCAATTTAGGTTGATGCTACGAATGCTGCGCAGTAATTATTTACTATGCCAAAAGTTGCTGCGTGGTTGCTTGCCGTGAACTACTAATCAGCAGGCGCATTGGGACTATCACCGAGCAGATTTCATGGATCTAAACATGGGACAAACGTCTTATTTGATCAATAAAATTTCTGTAATTCATCAAGTAAACTATCATCTGAATGGCTTGAATCACTCCACATAACGTCTATAGTAGATAAGAGACGCCACAAGCCATCCCTCGATCTGCGGATCCCTACGTGAAATAAACTCAATAGGAAATTGACATAATCAATCTTCTTGAAAGGCCAGTTGAGAAGGCCTTGAATCTCTCAGGGTTCCTAGCCAATCTCTCCTCGATCGTCCTGGCACTCTCCTGATACATTTGACCACTAAGCAGGCGCATCCTGCCCGGCCATGTCAGAGTATGTCCGTTTGCGAGAAGGACGGTCAGGATCGGGCATGATGGGCACATCTTTCCATGTGCCATACGTAGGGGCAGAGAAAAGTCGCCTCGACGTGTTAAGGAAGCCGTCGTGTACTTGAGTCCGCCTGATCGTCAACCGTGTACTTAAGCGGGCAGAGCGGTACTCCAATTCTTCTGGGAAGATAACATTGTAGTACAATGTCATCGCAGTTCCCACGAACAGCGTCTTCCATATTAAGATCGACTGCCGTGCTGAATTGTCAGAGCCAACATGCCTTTATATATGGCGTCCAGAGATCAATCCACATTTATGCCTTCTCCTCTTTATTGCGATGCAAATATGTTCCTCAGATGGATGCAAGTGCTTCATCCGCGTCCATAAAATCGTCTTTCGTGTATATTGGGCGGATCGGCCCGCGCTCCACAACCGCTCGGTAATGCTCATAAACTCGACGAAGGTTCGCTCTTTTGTCCATAGTTGCGCTGGGATGTTTAGAAATCCAATCTTTGAGTAACCTTTCTGCATCCTCCATGAGCTAAACATTCTGCTGGTGCATGGATGTCGATATGTCTGTGCAAGCCTGTTCGAACTCCAGGATCTTTCTTTCGCGGCGTCGCCGATGTAATGGTCTTTCGCCGGGTACTTCGAAAGACAAAGCTATAGAGTAGAAACGGTACTGATCTATTAATACTCTGATGTTGTCCTGAAATACCGTTGCGCGGACTGCAAACATTGTCAGAAGTTGCTCTTTTGCATAGTCATAGACTGTTCAGCGACACATACCAAATTGGAAAAATCAGGATGATTTACCGAGCAGGCCGCTGATTGTCTGTTTTCGAAATGTTGCAATATATCCAGTGGACTTGTCAGTCCAGAGCTTGGAGTCTGCGGGCCCATGTTTTCCAGCAATAAGCGTATCGAAGCATGCGTCCAAGTCCCCAGTCTCATGGAAAGCAATCACTCTTGCCAACTTTCGAGCTGCATCCCTTTAAGATTATTCTGCTTGGGGTGTCTGTGGCAAATCAGAGTCTTTGTATAGCAAGACTTTGTCGACGATAGGAAGGTCGTCCCAGTGCATATCGATGGGCACCGGAGACCAGTAACGAGATGGGAATTGGATTTCCGAGTCCATATCGGTGACCGGAGATATAGAGATGAAATAAGAGAAGGGAGAGGAGGAGAAAGAGGAGATGCTATTTTTGGCAACTTGTGGGAAGGAGTTAGTTTATATATCGGTACCCAAGGTGAGTCGGACAAGTGATATTGAATCTCGCTCAAAGGGTACACCGACTCAGTCAAATCTGGATAGTCCAACCCAATGCCTTCACCGCTTCTTCCGTCTGCAGGCAGATATCTAACCAGGTACATACTCTTGAAAACGTCTATACTATGATCCCAGAGGAAATCTACTCGTACCAACAGATGTGACTGACATATATTGACGTTGGCCCTGGCATGGAGTATCCCGCAAACCATTGCTTGGTGGCCGAGAGGCGAACATTGTCAATGTCTATTTACCCTATTGTTATCTTGCATAAGCAAGCAAGGGCGCGATGGATAACCTGAAGGCATTCAAACGCATCTTGAACGAACGTCTTATTCACCAACCCATTGTGCCGTCAAGAGGCAATCAAAGAAGTAATAGAAAGAATCAGGTTAGCATCAGGTTGGCACTGGGACTATATACCACATGGGATAAAAAGGGGTGCAAATAAGCTCATCTGGTCGTTTATTTTCTGGTTGAAGAGGGAAGGAATTCCATAACTATGGTGGAGGCCCGAATATGGACGCTCGGGCCACCATCACCGCCAACAGCCAAAAAAACACTTTCCATGACAGTACAACTCCTACAATACAATAAAACATGCAAAAAAGATATCAAATGAATGCATCGGCCGGGAATCGAACCCGGGGCTAGCCGAAGTTGCTGTAATCGAATCGAAGTGAATTGATTGATCACGTGGCAACGGCTAATTTTACCACTAAACCACCGATGCAGTTGTAGTTGTTTGATGAAAGAATCGCCAATTGAATGTGTTATGTATCATTTGTATCAATTGCTACTCGGGATGTTCTGAAAGTTTCGTGGGATTGGAATGTGGCATGCCGGCAAATTTTGTTCTGGCCAAGGGCTAGATTCAACCATTCAAGTGCCGAACCACCGATCCTACCAGTCATTTCCGACCTGCTGTGGCAACGGCTAATTGTAGCGCTAAACTACCGATGCTGGTCTCCTGCTATGTTACACCTCTCAATTACGTGCACCACAAAGGCCAAAAGACGACCTTGCCTCGTTCCATAACGGATGTTGCATAAACATTGCATGGAGTCCCACCTTGAACCCGTTCATTGCTATGCTCTTCTTCCAATGCACCAGCTTTGTACGCTGTGCGGCTGAACGAGAGACATCGATCAGTAGAGCCAGCTTTGTGCATGATCAATAGTTCTCCGCATGCAGCATGCAGCACTCCCCGGCTTGTACAGATCCAAGGCAATCGCGGTGGCTTCGGATAGAATCCAGCTGGAATGCCATTCAATGGATGAGAGCTGGAATATGGCGACCGTAGCGTTGCTTGTACTGATTGATCGTTAGAGATCCAGTGGGCTTATAACCTGCTTCTCTTGCTATTGGTACCAGAGTAGATGTTTTTATGTACTATAACTATACAACTTCTCCATCACCATTTTCCCAAAGGTAAGTCTTGATAGCTGTCAAAGGCCAGTCCTTTGCCGACAAATCGCAAAAGAACGTGTGCGACCCGCTTCCTACGATAACATGTTTATCCGATTCCTCTCGTACAGTGTCAGGTAACATCACCCAGGCCTCAGAGTTAGGCGGCACTAATACATTTAACTCGAACCGGCGAGCTTCGCCTGCTTCCTTGAGAAACCAACTGCACTCAATGCGGCCATATGGGCTCTCATACGTAACTTTGGCATTTCGAATAGTACCTCCTGGTCGTGGAGCCACAAAGAAACTCTTCCAGCCCGCCTCTTTTGGGCGAATGCCACCCACTACGGTATGAAGCCAATCAGCAACGGATCCCAGTGCATAGTGATTGAAGCTGGTCATCTCGCCAGGGTTAATGGACCCATCCGGCAGAAGGCTGTCCCATCGTTCCCACACAGTAGTCGCACCCATAGTGACCGGATAGAGCCAAGAGGGCAGTCTTTTCTCCTGCAGCATACGGTATGCGACTTGCTCGCGGCCCACCAAGGTGAGAGCATGTAGTATGATAGATGTGCCAACGAAGCCAGTCGCGACTCGGAATTTGCTGATACGTACCAGGTGCTCCAGACGGTTACCAGCAGCTTCTAGCTGCAACGGACTATCATACAGATGGAAGACAATAGCCAGAGATAATGCTGTTTGGGTGTCGCTTACTAGAAAACCAGACGGGGCCACATACTTATGGTGGAACGCCTTTTTGAGATGTTCAGCCGTTGCGTAATAGGACGTGGAGTCGCGATGGTTTCCAACCAGTGTGGCAATCTCAGCTATCTTGAACGTTACATGGACAAGATAGGCGTCTGACACCATAACTGCACTAGTTCGAGCATCTCCTGGCTCATTCGGTGGTGCCTTTGGATCCAGCCAGTCACCAAGCTGCCAAAGATCGTCTACCCACAATCCATCCGAATTGCGGCGTATGCCAGAATCGACCCAGAGCATCATACTCTCGTACTGATTCCGTAGAATCTCTAGATCTCCTGATGCAGTATAAACATCCCATGGCGTTAACACCGCAGCATCGCCCCATATTGCTTGAGGAACTACAGGGTAGACTGAGTCCAAAACATTTGGAACAACAAGAGGGGGCACTCCACCACGGCCTTTCTGCTCAACAGCAAGATCCTGTAGCCAGGAACTCAAGAATCCGGTAGTATTATACAAGAAGTTCGCTGTGGGAGCAAAAACCTGTATATCTCCAGTCCATCCCAGTCGCTCGTCGCGCTGAGGACAGTCAGTTGGGATTGAGAAGAAGTTTCCGCGCATGCTCCAGACGATATTTTGGTGCAGCTTATTGACTAAGGGATGAGAGCATTCGAAAGTCCCCGTACGTTCCATATCGCTATGAGTAACAAGAGCGGTGATGGCATTCAAGTCCAGTGGTGGAGAAACTCCAGCTTCAGCAGTCCAGCCTTCAATCTGCACGTAGCGAAATCCATGGAATGTAAATTTAGGAGTCCAGTCCTTGATACATTGACCAGAAGTCACTATTTCATCCAAGCACATTGCGCTCCTAAGAGGCCGAGTGCCTAACTCCTCGTTCTCTAGCACTTCAGCGTGAGTGAATTTGAGTCTATGGCCAGCCGGGCCATTGAGAGATTTGATGTGCAATTTACCAACGAGATTCTGTCCAAAGTCAAGTATTGTTTTTCCAGTTGGGGATGAGATTATGCGGGTAGGCGCAATCTTTTCGGTGATTCTGATAGGTGGAGCGTCCGAAGAGATGAATGTCGTCCGCGGTTCTTCCAGCATTCGCACCGCAGTCCATTCACTGTCAATAGCACTAAGGCCGTCGGGGCTACTCCATCCTAGATCATCTTCCATCGCGCTATATGTCTCGCCATCGTATATCTGGCTTCTAATAAGAGGACTGGGGCAAGATTCCCACCCTTGATTAGTAGCCAGAATGAACTTTGTACCGCTCTCGAATTTGACCTCTAACTGCGCAAATATACCGATAGTAGTGCCGTAAGTCGCCTTGGTACCCCAACCAATGCGGCCTGCGTACCACCCTTCCGCTACCTCGAAACCGAGAACATTTGACCGGCCTGGCCGGAGCAGATTTGTCACATCAAAGACTTGGTAGCAAATTCTGTGATGGTAGCTTGTCCATCCAGGTGACATTATGTGATCGCCAACAATGGAACCGTTCAGATGTGCTTGATATACCCCAAAAGCAGTAGAATAGATGCGGGCCTTGACTATGGCGCCAGAATCGTTCGGAAGATTAAATAGCCTGCGGACTCGGATTGGTCTCACAGCCATGCCGTTCGACTTTTCGACGTTTAATGAAGTGATCATTTGTGCTTCCCAGCAATCTCGTTCCAGCAAGCCAGCCTCAACGGTCGACCAAGGCGACCACTCAGTTTGATGATATTGGTCATCTCGTCCTCCAATGGCGCGAACCCTCACTTGAACTATCTGCCTAGATTCGAGAGGCTCAAACGGCCAAGGCACCAGGACCGACTTTGGAGAATCATAATGGTATACTGAGACAGGTATTCCATGGCCTTTGAATGCTTGTATCTCAACCGACTTTTGATTCCAAGTGCCAACATCTGCACTGGTACTCCGGAAGCGCCAGGATATTCGTGGTGCATTGGTAGATATACCGATTCCCGAGTAATGATGTTCGAATGTGGGAGGGAGCACAAGGACGAGGTTTGACATGATGTGATTTCAATAATGGTGTCGATGATAGATAATTAGATGATAGAAATTCCAGTCCTTGTGTACATATTTAAGATCAATTCGTTTAAATAATGGCAAAAGTCGGATGTATTAGGCTATTCCAACCAACGAAATGCATGTTCGTATGATGGATGTCTCGCCAACTCGGCATAACGTGAAGCGAACACTTGACTCGGAAAGTAGGAACTAGGGATGGGAACAAATTATGGAATCCGTCTAGTGTTTGATGGACCTCATATACATGGTACCGTAGGTCCAATCGCTAGGATCTGTGGATTGTATTCTCGCATTGGTATTTTGGTGGGTGCGGATCACCAGTTTAGCGCCGCCATATCCTCTTAGTTAGTCTGGCCATCCAAGATTCCGTGCGAATTGCATTGGAGCAAGATGCCAAGTTATCAAGCCCTGAGAACTCGAATCGTAACTAAAGCAATCAAATGCGAAAAATATGCGAATAAGCTATATCAAATTAGTATACTTCTACGCGCTTCGGGGGAACACCAAAGTGGGCTTCTTCACTACCCCGTATTTTCTTCCACGAAGGACATTTCAACTAGAGAATATTTCGGCGTTTATAACTATCAATATCTTTAATAAAATATCTAATATGAAGATTCTTGATATACCTGATCAATCATAACTTATCACATTATTCATATACAGCAGCACCTAGGTTGGGTATCTAATCTACCATGCATCGATTACGTGCATTTGCAATTTGTAGCTAGGAACTACGTAACAACATTACAAGTTATGCAAGGTTCCTCGCTGGGTCCTTAAATTTGGAAATATGGATACTGCAGTATCATTCATACATGTTTAACTAATTGAGGCCGATAATTGACATGAACATATATACTTGCATACCAAGAGGAAGCAGTGCTGAGATTTGCCAAGGGAGTATGCAACTATGACCCATCCAACTGCGAAAATCGTACGCCCTCAGCTCTTGACCATTACGGATTCTGGCCCATTGGGGTGAGACCGCGAATGATTCGGAACGCGGGTAGACTCCGTGCAACCCGATTACAAGGCTACTTATTCTGATCCTTTCTCATTTGCTCCAGCGAGACGTTCGGTCATCGTGATGGTCTTATGGAACCTCCATGGCTTGATTCTCCGTTCGAAGAGCTCATCAAGCTCAGCAACGGAGCGTCCAGATGTCTCCGGGATTAGGAGCCACATTCCCAGGGTGAAAGGGAAGCCGATACCCGCAAAGAACCAACCTAAGTGTTACACAATGTTATTGGGAGGTCAAATTTCTCCTGTCAGAAAATGGTGATATCTTACATGTCTTCAGACTCCAGTTCCATTCGGTTTCAGTAATCATATAGGGCACAAGAACGCTCATGATAACGCCAATGACACATGAGGAGGCGGCTGCAAAGCCCGCAGTGTATGGTCGGAGCCTTTGGGATGATATCTCGCCAATGTAAGCCCATCCAGTGGCACCATTGGCCATCAAGCCGATGTCTGTGGATGATGTTAGTTACGAGTACCACCTCGAGCTGTGAGACCTACTCCAGAAAACAGCGAATACCACAACAAGATTATTGGTCGCCTTATTCTTCGGTACCACACTGAGAATACCAACAGCGACATTCATTAACCAGCATATCGTCGTACCTATACAAGCCAAGGACCGACGGCCGGTCGTGTCGGCCAAGTACATTGTCACAACAACGGCGGCAATGTTGATGCCCGAAGTGATACAGACAACTTTGAACGGATCTTCAAGACCAGCCTGTAGAAAGAAGTAACTCGCAAAGCTGAGGAAAACTCCAAGACCAATGAACTGCTGGGTCATCAAAGTCCAACATGCAACGATTGTCCGGAAACCGTCCCGGCCCTTGAAGATGGCCCACCATTTTTCTGTTCGTCCGGCAGCTTCTGCACGCTCATGCTGTACAACAAGTTCCATCAGCCTGTACTGGTGCTCGACGTCGATGTCGACACCTTTGTAGATGTATCGAATCATTTGCTTGGCTTTCTCTGTTTTGCCTTTCGTAATGCACCAGAGCGGGGATTCGGGGAGTCCAAGATAGATAATGAACATCAGCCCAATCTGAGACCATTGCGTGTAAATTGCTGTCAACCAGTTGTTCGGATTCTTGTCAGCCATGACCTGAAGCGCGATAGGAGCAAAGAATTGGCCGGTCATCCACCAGAAACTATAACACATTAAGAACACGCCTCGTACGCGAATGGGTGCGATTTCAGCAATGTAGATAGGCAAGGTCGACTGCATAGAGCCAACACCAATGCCGCCGAGGAATTTTGCGACAACCCATACCTTCCAGTTTCTGGCAACGCATTCGACTATGACACTCAAAGCGAGTATAACCCTAGAGAGTAATGGTCAGCACCAGGGAGAAAACAGAAGGACATTGTGTTTGTGTGTGTGTGTGTGTGTGTGTGTGTGTGGAAAACACATAAACTCCCAGTATAGGGTTCCGTACATCCTCTACTACGTACCAGTAATGAAACATTGCGCCTTTTCTACCGAAACGGCTGGATACGAAAGGAATTGTGGTCATGCCTACAATCTGACCGACAGACGCAAGCGCGTTAAAGGTGCTCAACGTTGATGCGGCAAGCGTGACCTCTCCCTCTGAATTAAGCTTATTACCAAACTGCTTAATAAATCCTTTATTGGCAATGATGTTCCCAACCATTCTGGATAGTCATTTGTTAGAAAACGGATATACCAAGATTAATAACGTACGCAATTTGATAACCATCCGTCGCTGCACTGATCGATGTGAGAAAACAGATCAACGTATTTATTTTAAATGCCTTGATCGTCTCCCACGCAGTCAAGTGTTCGTAACCAGTAAGACCTTGACCTTTGGCTTCGGCATCGAGGGCAAGGTCTTCATGCTCAGCCCCGGCTGCTTCGTCTACAGCCTCATGGTGTTCAATTATATCTGCTGGCTTCTGCTGAGTAGCCATGGTTTGTTTGGGAGAAAGAGATTATCGGTGCCAACAAAAGTGAGCGAATTCTGAGGAATGCCAGGAGAAGACAAATATTGGAACTTTTGCAGAATAACCTCGAACTTATGAGTTTCAAAGCAGCGGAAGGAATTCCCTGGAGAATACTAACACCGTTTAATGTTTACACGAGATTTCCGCCTCCATACTACAGTCGACGCCACAATACTACTCCAGAGCCGTTGATGGCTGAAAATGCGGGGATTTTCTGGGGTTTCGACTCATGTAATGCACCTGGGTGTGTCTCTTAGCACCACACTTAGTGGCAACTTGCTAAAACCAATTCAGAGTTGAGTAGGAAAAATCACTCAACAGCAAAGTTTACACCAGGTTAATGTAGCCTGCCAAGCCGGTAGATACAAAGATCAGATGGCTTGCGTGTAATAGGGCCCTCGGTGATCAAATCCCGAATTTTCGCATTCAGCTTTCTTTTCGCGTTCGGGCCAGCTTTCAGCCGACAGCATCTAGACTCCTTCACTTTCTTGCCATCATACAATGCTGCCAGGATCCATTTACTTGACTCTACAACACAGTACAGCCGGTGGTGAACTTGTAGAAATTTCCGGCGTTTGCAATTTGAGAAGAGATAACAGGCTCGTGTTCGATTAGACCGAGCGAATAGAGGAGCCTGGTGGAACGATGGGCTTCATAATAACGGGAGACAAATTTATGGCCACAATCTTTCTCCTGGTGTGCCATTTCAGAATGTAGGCGGACTTTTCGGCATCAGATTGAGGGTTTAGAGAGTAACCATTCAAGAAACAAGATATATTGGCTGGTGTCAGAAAATACAAACAAAAAGAACCAAAAGCATCACTGTAGACAAGGTAGGGTGCCTTTCATATGGAATAAACAGACTCGGATAGTTTATGCATTTATGAAGTTATTCAATTCCTACGTTTGTTCTTTTGTCGATCAAAGCCCGTTCCAAAGCATACTTCGCGGTAATTCGAAGCTGGCTACCAGCTCCTCGGCAGTGGGGTCTGCGCTCCTAGATATAATCACTTGGAAGACTCCAGCCTCTGCCTTCCACTTGTTATCTTCTTCAGACCAAAATGCCAGAGTCGATCTGTCTAATTCCAGGCGAGCGGTGCGCGATTCGCCTCTCTTCAGCCCAATCTTGTGGAAAGCTTTGAGCTCTTTCCTCGGCCGCTGGACCGAACATTTGACATCAAACACGTATACTTGAATGACTTCGGAGCCGTAGCAATTGCCAATATTTGTGACATCAACCAAAATCGGAAGTTTGTATTCCGGTTGTGGCTCAAAAATGTCAGGCACCACTAGGTTTGAGTACTGGAACTGGGTGTATGAAAGTCCATACCCAAAATAAAAGAGGGGTTGGGTGCGCAATTTTTCCTATGGTTATACACGATTAGCGTACTTCACAAGATCATAAAGTTTTACTTACGTAGTACCTGTAACCCACGAATACACCTTCGCCATAAACAACCTCACGATCGGTCTTTCCAAAGTTGAGAAATGCAGGAGTGTCTTCGAGTCTCTTTGGAAACGTGACTGAAAGTCGGCCTGAGGGATTGACTTTCCCAAAGAGAACATCTGCAATTCCATTCCCGGTCTCCTGCCCTCCATACCAAGCATGGAGCAGAGTATTGACTTTGGATACCCACGGCATAGTAACTGGGAGTCCAGACTGAATAATTACGATCTAAAGAATGATAGTCAGCTATGACTATTGCAGACATGTTTGGTAATACACTTACCGTGTTGGAGTTTGCGGAGACAACTCGTTCGATCAGTTCATCCACCCTATTTGGCAGTGCGAGATGCGTACGATCTGCGCTCTCCATCTCATAATCGGAGCTAATTCCAGTCATCACGATGGGAATATCAACGCTTTTAGCAAGGGCTACCGCATCATTGATGGACTTGTCCTCGTCCAGTACCTCACATCCACCGAGTCGGATTCCACCTGCGGGGGCAATACCAACAACAGGGCCAGTAAACACATTCGAGAGAACAATACAGATCTCTAGGCTTTCTCCTTGCGTGACATCTACATCGTAGAATCGCTCCATTGAGAAAGCATTGAAGACAGGCGTTGTTTCAGTTTTCTCCGGGTGGTTAGTCCATAAGTCGATGACTTGCCTGCCATCAATTCGCATGACAACCTTGCCAAAGGCACTGAGCCCGAAACGATATTTGGTGGTCTTGGGAGAGGTAAAGGTCGTCCGTATTCGAACGAAATGCTGATCCGGAAGGTGTTTTGGAAGACTGTCAGTAAATTGAAGGAGGCTTCTGCGCGTTTCGGCGCTCCACAGCACTTCTGGGGAGTCTGTCTCATCAGGATTAACGGAAAAGAGCTCAACAAAGAGACCTGGCTTTCCAGAATTTGGCTGACGTAACTCGGTTGTCAAAAGAGGTGTGAACCGATGCGAATAGGCACCGATCCCGGTTTCAATCAATTCAGCACCCACCAACCCCACAATAGCATCGTATGGAGTGCTGACATAGTATGGAGTAGCTTCAGAGCTGCCACCACCGCCTGTGGCAGGGGTTTTGAAGTGGTCACCAATCAGCCCGATCTTCTTTTTGGCGTCAATACTCAGCGGTAGAACGCCATTGTCGTTTTTAAGAAGAACTATCGAGTCGGATGCGACCTTTCTGGCAATCGCACGATTCTCAGGGGTATCGTTGTTTCCATCTTCTTTGGGTACTTGCGTGGTATGTGTTTTGGCAACGATATTGAGAACGTTTCGCACAGCGTCATCTATACGCACGATACGGACCTTGCGACATTCTACGGCATACTTCAGAGCTTTCCCTCTCCAAACCGTGGGGCCAGGCATTTCTAGGTCCATGCCTGCATTCATAGATTCGGATGTACTGTATGTTCCCCACCAGTCACTCATGACTAGGCCATCGAACCTCCATTCTTTACGTAGGACTTGTTGAATCAAAAATGGACTCTCACTTGCGTGAACCCCATTCACTTTATTGTATGATGTCATGAAGGCCCAGGGAGGGCAAATTTTCATAGCCGTCTGGAATGGTAGTAGGTGTAATTCGCGTAGAGTCCGTTCAGTCATTATTACATCGTCTTCGATAGAATTGGCTGACTGATCGTGTGCTGCGTAGTGCTTGATGCAAGCCGCGACGCGTCGGTCCTGGATTCCAGCAATGTAGTGTCCGCCTAGTATCCCGCTCAGAATTGGATCCTCTCCAAAGGCCTCAAATCCTCGACCGATGAGAGGGGAACGCTGGAGACAAACAGTAGGAGCAAGTGCAATGTGTTTCCCCTTTGCTATGGCTTCGTCGCCCAGTGTTTGTCCAATCTTGCGCAGGAGATCTATGTCGAATGTAGCCCCCATGGCAGTTGCTGAGGGGAATTGGACACCAGGGACCTGTCTTGATTTAGCATGCGTATCTGTGTAGGGTCTGGTCACCATCACCTACCGGATTGAAGAAATTGGCACCGCGAAGCCCGTGAGGCCCATCAGATGTCTAGCAGGTTATTGACATGCTGAACGTTTTCTAATAATACCCAACTTACATGTATAACCGGGATTCCAAGTCGCTCATTACCTTGGAGAGCACATCGACCTGCCCCAGTAAGCAGCTCAACCTTCTCATCCAGGTCTAGTTTTGAGATGATATCCTCAATCCCAGCATTACTGAACATTGCCGCTGTCATGTTTTCTGACTATTAAGAGAATGAATTGTCCTTCTATGACAATGAGGCAACGAGATTGAGGATACTCAGTGTTTGTCTTTTCCACAGCATTTGAAGTCCATATATGTCTATGCATTTAAACAGGTAGCCAAGCATGAACTGATGCCGCATCTATTGCGGCGCTAGATTGTACGACTCAATAGCGACAAGGGGATGCATGTGAGTACATCTCGATTCACCCTGGTCAGCCCCGCTACCATCACTTTAGCCGTCCTACTGCCACGATCGCTGACTATTGCCTACGTAGTCGGATCTCAACCGAATCAGTTATCCCTGCATCTTCTACAGGGTCTCGGATCTTTCTGCACCGGACGCTTTGATTTCCACCGAATTGTTCGTGGTGTGCCTATGCCAAGCTATGTATGCTACAGTGAGTTTACGCACCTTGAGCTGTATTTAAGAGGTCTTATTTCGAAACGTTTTCTATACGAAGTTCGACATAAAGATTTACATTTGGCATTATATGCTTCGCGATGAGAGCCCATGTTATGACTAAGTGACAACGCATCTGATCGATTCTTCGACTTTCATGGGCCATTCGAGCCAACGTCGATATTCTTCTGGGATTATAATAAGTACTGAATCTTTACGGGCACATTGTTAGAAAATATCTCTACATGATGAATGATTCCAATTAGGCTTACCTATAAGATGCTTCGCCCAACCATCCAAGAACCAAGCTCTGCTTATTGTATTGAGCAACGGCGCATAGTACGCCAGCACAAGTAGCGCCTTCATATCCGCTTTTCGTACAAGTGTGACAAATTCGTCATTCATAAAGTACAGCCAAATGAGAACCATTTTCTGTATAGCTGAGCCGGTATTGATACCACATTCGTTACCATACGTAGCTTCATATATGTTCCTCACGCCTTTAAGAGCAGAGAGGCAGGTAGATGTACGCTCAGTGTTGGTTTGGTTGGACGTAACAAATTCACAAAGTTTATCCAGAGAAGACATCCAGTCAATTCTCCGGAATCCTTCGACAGCGCAAGTCGGGAGGGAATCTTCAGGGGGTTCTCCGGAATCCAGGGGTTTCGTGAGCCCTGAAAATAATATAGAAGGTGCAAAGGTCGACCGAATGAGCCGTACGCCAGTGGCTAAGGACATCCACCGTCCACTTGTGCCTCCACCTGAATCGCAAATGAGTAAGTCGCTCAGGCTCGTTGGACCCGCAGCAAAGGTGTTGAGACAGAAAAGCACGGCAGAAACGTAGAGCGCCCCGCAATTCTGGTTGTTTATGTGGGGAAGCTCCTTGTTTAATTCTGCTAGACCGCGTGCACTGTAAAGCTGGGCAAGAGAACGATAGCGGCAATGTGACCTTTCGTCTCCGGTTCCAAGATGTATAAGGTGATAGGCTGACAGTGAACAAGATAAATATAGAATAGAAGGTGTCGCAAGCCCAAGCCTCGGAGCGTTGTGTGACCAAAAGTGGGCAATAGGATCATCGCGGCTGTCGGTGCCTGCAAGACTGGGCCCTGTAAAGAGGATGAATTGATGGAGTAGCTCAGCCTGTGTACTATTCAATGAGAGGTCCTGCTGAGGTTGTAATTGGAGAGCATGAGGGACATGGGATACGATGGCTACCTCTCTGGAATCGACAGTGTGGAAAAGAGCGGCCCAATTGCGCCGAGGTCGACCTCGCCCACGCTCACGGATTCCAGGCAGTTGTGGAGGCGGCTGCAATTTCAACCCGATTCCCTGGCTACCTCTGTTAGCAGCGGTCTGATCATTTCCTCCTGCATTTGGGAAATGGCAAGGGATCCCAAAGCGTATACAGTTGGCGCATGAAGGTCTGGCCTCGTCACATTTCACCCTCCGGCTCTTGCAACAAATGCAGCCGTGCCTTGACTTTCGGTGTCCTTTCCTCGAGGAGACAAGGGTCATTTGCATCTTGTGATTACAGCAAATGATGCCATTGATCAGATGGTCGCTCAGATTGTCTGCTTTGGGGCGCAAGTTGATGTTACGAGAATGCGAAAATTCGAGGTTTCTCGGATTGCTCTCCACGTTTTAAGCCGGTTCTGAACTAATATATCATTCATAGTTTACCCCATCCCGCTCGTCTGATGCGCTAATCCTGCTTGGCAAACTGGGCATTGTCATAACAACTACAACAACATTATGACGATATTACGAACTGAGTAATCTTAGGCGCCTCATGTAGCATCCATAAAGGTCAGTTTTCGCTTTATCGGTCAAATTACATCCGAGTGCCTATGCGTTCCCACTCCGGATCATGAAAGCATGTGGAAAGTCCTCTGACAAGATTTCAGTATCGACCTTTGCCCGCAACATTCTTAAGCTTTTGTTGCATATGCTTTCTATATCTTTTGGGCAGCTTTATCTCGTTTGCTTTTTCCTTTTCGCACAGTCACCTAACATCAAGCCATGACGGATCCTAAAAGGTTTCGGTTGTACAAAAGCAGACCGCGCACTTTCATCATTTCAGACATTTCAAATGAACCAGATGACGCAGAATCCCTCGTCCGATACTTATTATACGCCAACGAACTAGACACCAGAGGGCTGGTAGCATGCACATCTACACACATGAAGAACCGCACCTGCCCGCAGGATATGGAGTCTATCATTGAGGGTTTTGGAAAAGTGGTTCACAATTTGAACAAGCACGTTCACTCGGACAATGCATACCCAGATGCATCGCATCTTCTCGCCCTTGTCAAGTCTGGCCCGGAGGTCTACGGCAAACTTGCACTGGAGCCAGGTGTCGCCCTGAGCGAAGGCACAAACCTGCTGATTGAAAGGGTTGATGAGTCCGAAGAACCACTATGGATTCTCTGTTGGGGAGGCACGAATGTGCTTGCTCAAGCGCTTCAACATGTACGAGCCAGTCGGTCCAGCGAAGATTGCACCACATTCTACTCAAAGTTACGAGTTTATGCAATTTCCGACCAGGATGATACCGGTTTGTGGATTCGAATTCAATTTCCACAGATCCTGTACATCTGCTCCATTCATGGTTGGAGCCAGTATTCCTGTGCAACGTGGATGGGGATATCTGGGGATGTGGATCGAGGGGGAGCAGATACTACCAAGGTATCAAAACAATGGCTAAGAGAAAATATACAACTAGGTCCACTGGGGCAGAAATACCCGGACTTGGAATTCATCATGGAGGGCGATACTCCAACCTTCTTGTATCTCATCCAAAACGGACTGAGTGCACCCGAACATCCAGAATGGGGCAGCTGGGGAGGGCGATATGATCCTGTGGATTTGGCGTTGGCAGGAAGGCATTACGCTGATACGACGGATACAGTGTTCGGTTTAGATGGGAGGTGAGCTTGTATTCTAATGTGAGCATTCGATCTGAATGTGTACTGATCATGCTTTACGTATAGGTCGTACACGTCCAACTTTGCCACGATCTGGAGATGGAGGGACGCTTACCAAAACGACTTTGCAGCGCGACTGCAGTGGACACTGACTGACAATATTTCCAAAGCTAATCATGCCCCAGTAGTAATCGTAAACGGGAGCGATGGCTCCGAACATCTGGAGATAGATGTAGAAGCGGGTGAAACGGTAACGCTCGACGCTTCAGAATCCTACGATCCGGATAACAATGAGTTGACGTTTCGGTGGTTCCAATATAAAGAAGTTTCTGTTGCTACTGGACTAATACCCCAACAAATTCCGGACATCGACATGAGGGATATAGGATCGCAACGTACTGGAAGCATTGTAGAAATCACAGCTCCTCTCCCAGGGGTATGTGCGGTGGACATGTTGAGTGGAGAACCTACGAAAGTTGGACACTCGTATCATTTAATCCTAGAAGTGAAGGACAACGGCACGCCACCGCTAGTGGCATATAAACGAGTTGTTCTTCGGACTTTGAACAGCCAACTTAAAGGCAGAAGATCACAGGCTGTACATACATCATCAGAGTGGATAAAGCTCGGGCTCACTCAGTGAAAGGGCCGCATTTTCGAATTCTCCTTAAAGAGCGAAACTTCTACTCACGGGGTCTGGTCATATTGTCGTTTGAATTATCGTAAAAGAAAAGCGAATATGGGATCATAGTTGTAAACGAAAGTGTGATACAACCGTATGACTCCACATTGTGATTTCCCTAAACCTCGCAACTTATCCATGAACATGTAGTTACCCCAGATGTTAATCAAATTCCGGGGAAAGAAACTACCGTACAAGCTTGAAGGGAGTACTCCGTATCATGTGTCAATTTCCATGTAAACGATGCACAGACGTGAGCAAACCGCTCATGATACCCTATTGTAGAATACGACCCCGTGTACCCGCAAGGAATAATATGGTCTTTGCTTGGCTGGTGTGCCCCAGACGCTTGCGAAAGCGAAAATTCGCTCACTGGTTGAAATGATGGATGCACCCCACATTACCTGCATAAGCGCCAGATAGAACCTGGGCCTAATTACCTACTCAGGTAGCGTGTGCCTGGGCACTTGTATTGTAGTTGTTCTTGCGAGCGCCTTCTACACTGTATACTCGTCATCAAGTGCAACAGCCAGATTTCCAAGTTCGGACAAATACTGCTCGGATGGCTGAATGCCCTGAATGCCCAGTGCATCAAAATAAGGCAAGATGAGTGTGTGTATTTCCTATGCCAGGCGTAAGTGCAAGTATATAATAAGGTTAGAAGACAAGAGAAGCGGGTTGATTAACTTCCTTCATTGAAGTCATCATTCAAGCCCACTTTATAGAGCACTTGGGCAAAATAAAAATGTTCGTATCCGTCGCCCGTACCTGCAAAATGAAGAGAAAGGAACGGGAAACTTACTATAATCAATGGACAGGCAGACGACTTTGCAATGTATCTCCTTTGCAGTCCTCATATCTTCACTAGCCGCACCCATCTCAGCAGCCGATTGCGTAGCCCTAAACCCAAACGGACCTTTACAGATCACCACAGATTGCACTGATCCTCTTTATGGTAGTCCAGTCATCGACCTCGAGGAAAAGGGGAGCGGTTCGACACACTATCACAGAATCGCCGGCCACTTTAATGGAACCAATGTTGATTTCAGCATTTATCTTCCCAAGAAGTCGTCTTGGAAAGGTCATTTTTTCCAACTGACCTATCCTTCGCAGAATTCGACCGCAAGTTCCCGTGCAATTGCTTTTGGAGCTGATAGCGGCGCCTATACAGTGCAAGCGGCTGGAACTCAAGGATATCGCGCCGATGCGGCCCTTGCAAAATTTTCGCGCGAAATTGCGCGGGCTTACTACCAGGAGTCTTCATCCCGCCAGATCCACGGGTATTTGTACGGAGGAAGTGGCGGCTCTTACACCACAGTTGCAGCTATGGAGAACACAATCGGCGTTTGGGATGGGGCAGTTATCTTAATCCAGGCAATACCGATAAGCATCCCGAATAACTGGTGCATCCGTGCTTTCGGATCACTTGTGCTGGGAAAGAAGAAAAATCAACTCATCGATGCTGTCAGCCCAGGTGGCAGTGGTGACCCGTTCAGCGTCCTCAACAACGTGGAGCGGGCAGCGTTGAAGGAAGTTTCCGCTCTGGGTCTACCACTTTCGTCATTGGAGAACTTCGACGGCGTATTTCGGAATCAATCATATCCGGGCGGTACTGGGCTTTGGGATGTTCTCCGATTGATAGCAGTACCCAACATTCGAGCTGCGGATCCAACTTTTTCGAACGACTTTTGGACGCAACCTGGATATCTAGGCACAAAACAATCCTCTCTTGGCGATATCTTCCGAAATAGTCTGATTGAATTCAATGCCACAGTGCAGCATATCACTCAAAGCCAAATTCATGCTCCGGTCGCAATCGCACTTAATGATACTCCATCGAGTATCGATACCAATGGCCTTGAATTCAATGTCATATCCGCGAACGGCGATCAACAAGGCTATTTTACTGGCGCTTTGGACTTACAAACTAACGAAGTAGTTATACATCCGGAGAGTAATACAACAGTGGTGGCGTCAATTACGAATGGTTCACAATTGTACATCAACAATAGATGGTATCTCGCTATTCACAGCTACTACCGCCATCAAGTGCCCGAGAGCAGGGACTTTTATGGTTATGACTTTCTTCGAGATGCAGACGGGCGGCCTCACTACCCCCAGCGTTCTTTAACTCTGGGACCGGGAATCGCCAGAGCATCTAGTGGCGGTGGGACCCATACTGGAAATGTCACGGGCAAGATAATTGTAATCGATAATCTTCAGGACTATGACGCATTCCCATGGCACGCCGATTGGTACCGGAACCAAGTTCAACGAGCCCTCGGCGATCGTTTCAGCAACCATTATCGGCTGTACTACGAAGAGCATGCAGATCACCACATGGGCCCTATCCCCGCGGATCAGACAGGTCGAGTCATTGACTGGACGAGTAGCTACGAGCAGATGCTGAATGATTTGAGCGCCTGGGTAGAAGAAGGCAAACCTCCTCCCAAAGACACGCAGTATACAGTACAAGATGGCCAGATAATACTTCCGGCAACAGCCAAGGCGCGTTATGGATTTCAGCCAGTTGTTGAACTGACTGTCAATGGAAGGTCACGCGCAGAGGTTCACGTAGGTGACAAAGTAACGTTCAAGGTGTATGCCGAGGCGCCACCATCAACTGGGTCGATCGTATCGTTGGAGTGGGACTTTGAAGGAACTGGTCACTATGTGAAAAGCAATATAAGCAAACTCGGACCAATTCTGGATACAAAGATTACCCACAGGTACCTAACAGGAGGGATATATCTTCCTGCTGTTCGGGTTGCGTTACAGAGGGAGGGTGATCCGGAGACTCAATTCAGACGAGTCCTGAACTTGGGACGCGCGCGTGTGATCGTAAATTATCAATAGCATGATTGCAATAGGCCCTCACAGATAATGGTTCTGCAGATAGTAGACAAGCTTGGTATGCATAGAGTCATCTGTTCAAGGGCAAACATGGCAAGACACGAATATGCCGAATTGTTCCTCAAATTACAATGAAAGTTTTGACCCCACCATAACTATGGATTCAATTCCTCCAAACTGAAGTGAGCTCAAATTCGATTCTGTTCAGGGATAGAGGTATGTGGTCCTCAGCTTGGCAAACTACCCGCAACACACTCTGAATCAGGGCAGTGATCCTAACTTGGAAATGCTAACCATTGCCTATTCATAACCGAGTCCCGTGGAGGGCATAAACAGGTGAGAATTGTAGTCCGAATAACCACCACCCCGCCTCCAAAATTAGTCCCAAAGTGCTGGGGTTCACGCCGCGAAAGTGTGCACCGAGCACGGTATATCGTTGTCCGAAGTTGAAACTGAAATCCGTCGATGGCGTAAATTTACCCGGTAGTTCTGCCACAGGTAAATATCACGTATATGCACTTACCTGACGTTTACAAGCGGATAGCAGCATTGGTTTTGTATGCTGATGATCAAGATAATAAAGACATCCTGCATCTGTTCCGCTTACCACAATCTCTTACCACATCACTAGAGTCCATAATTTCCAGTTGCTTCTACCATGGCGTCAGGCTTCCTTAGAGTTCGCGGAAACAAAATCGTTGACCAGAATGGCGAAGTGGTCATACTGCGAGGGGCATCTCTCGGGGGATCTCTAAAGTAAGTTGCTCATGGCTACGGCTACATGCCCCATCCGTGACTGATGTATTCGCACAGCATGGAGAACTTTATGAATGGCTACCCTGGCACAGAATCAAGTACTAGGGCTGCAATGCTCCAAGTCATGGGTACCGAAAATTACGAGTTCTTCTTCGATCGCTTCCACCACTACTTCTTCACCGAGAAGGATGCTGAATTTTTGAAGTCGTGTGGTCTCAATAGCGTTCGAGTGCCATTCTCATACAAGCACTTCGAAAGCGATCTCAACCCTCGTGTGCTCAAGGAGGACGGTTTCCTCCGGCTCGATCGAATCGTCAACATTTGCTCCGTGCATGAGATCTACGTTATTCTCGACATGCATGCTGTCCCTGGTTGCCAAAATTCTGATTGGCATTCCGACAATCACACCAGCTATGCTGCTTTCTGGGATTTCAAAGATCACCAGGATCGCACAGTCTGGCTGTGGGAGCATATTGCAAGGAGATACAAGGATAACACTTGGGTTGCAGGTTACAACCCACTTAATGAGCCCAGCGACTCGGAGCAAGTGCGAGTCGCGGCCTTTTATGAACGACTCAACCAATCTATCCGCGCGATTGACCCGAACCATATGTTCTTCCTTGACGGCAATACGTTCGCAATGGAATGGAAAGGCTTCAAGGATATCGTACCTAATTCGGTCTATTCTATCCATGATTATATCATGATGGGATTTCCAATTGGGCAGCGATATGTAGGAAGCAGTGAACAAAACGCGAAGCTACGGCAGCAATATAAGCGGAAGCGTGAGTTTCAGGACCAGCATGGTGTACCTATTTGGGTGGGAGAATTTGGCCCGACATACGAGAATTCAGACCCAGACTCTGCAGCTATAAACACATGTCGATACAATCTGCTGAGGGAACAGCTTAGAGTCTATGATGAGGATCAACTCTCCTGGAGTATCTGGCTCTACAAAGACATTGGCGTCATGGGCATGATCTCTACATCGCCAAAGTCCGCGTGGTCTACGCTACTGAAACCATTCCTGGGACGTAAAGCACAGCTTCAGGTGGACAGTTTCACTACCCACAAATCGGAGAGGGTTGACAAATTGATCAATGACCTAGCCGAGTGGATCGATGAAGTGTCGCCGGCTGCCAAACGCACGTATCCCTCCAATTGGGATACTAAGCAGCATATACGCCGGAATACCTTACAAACCTTTCTTGCTACAACTCTTTGTACCGAATTTGCGGAGTTATTCCGGGGAAAGACGCAGGCGGATTTGGATGAGCTTGCGAAGAGCTATGCGTTTGAGAACTGTGTGCAGCGAGAGGAATTAAATGCTATCCTTGCTAACCGCTCATGTTAATGCATACGAATCCTAAGAGATGTCGCAATATCTCAACGGACTGTAGAATATACATGCGAACACACAGTGTATCTATATTGCTCTACTAGAGGCAGTCCTGTACGTGCTTTCAAAGGGCATTTCAGGAAATCATTAGCTTTCTTTCCTAAAATCACCTGCCTTCTGAATCCATGTATATCTATACTTATCTGTTCGTGTGTAGTCAAATTTTGGGATTGAAGAAAAATCTATGGAAATAATAATACTCTTGTGAACACTGTAATATTCATCACTATATCGACTGAAGATGTCAATGGTCGCAGAAATAACCTATATCATTGGCACATATTGTTGTCTACAAGCGTCAATGCACGAGACTGGAGGGTATGCTGTTCATTCAATTATGAAGTACTGCGCCCTCTATCCTAGGACGGTATGTAGAGTGATGTATGACGCCAGTAAGGGTTTGCGATTTGTTGTCAACTAATTATGCACATTTCAAGCGTACTGTCTAGCACCCATGACTCTAGTTATTTTTTCAAGAGGTGACTCCGGCTCCTTCCTTCCCGTCCCTCAATCATCAGAAAATAACACTAGGTTACCCAGACACTGTATGTGTCACGCTTGGCAGTTACGTGCACTGAAAAGGCCGAAGGTCGACCTTTGCTCCTTGCACAGTGATTGCTTTATTTCAATTGCTTGAAATTTCAGCTTGGAACCCTTTATTACTACCGTAATGCCATTCATTGGGTGAGAGCTAGGAAATGGTAACCGTAGCGTTACTGGCACTGATTCATCGCTGGAGGCCAGTTTGTAAATACTGGTTAGATGACCGTTTGACGCAAGAACGATGCAAATACTTGCAAGAAAGGGACCTCTACATAACAAAATAGTAGCAGTCGGCAATAGGTTGTTATGTGAAGGAACTCCAGTGGACTGAGAGTACCCGCTTAGATAATCACCCTTAGTGGATCTGAGGGACTTCTTTCTCAGCCACAAACAAATAACCTGCCTTTCTCCTCACTTCTCTGTGCTGCACTGTTCAAATTTCAACAGTTGCTCGGCGGCAGAAACATCAGACAAACCTGAGACAGAAGGCGGAATTCGATCATCAGAGAACAGCAGCGACGAATATGCGAATGAACTCTGCGCGGCCTCAGAGGCAAAAGTAATACGATGATTGACAAGATGGCGAAGAGGAAAAGAGGCAGCAGAGGGAAAGCCAGCAGTATGCCATGGAGCAAAGAGTGGGATTCGATTATCTCGTTCAATGCGCTGAGAATTTGAACGACGAGTATGCACATGAAGTTTGTGCGGCCTTAGAGGCGGAGGAAACGACAATGATTGAGAGCATCGTCGGGGAGCGGCAAAGGTGGGAGGCTGCTAGAATTAATTCTGATGTAATTGCGGATAACAAAGAAGACTGCCTCATGCTGCGATGGCTAGCCATCCCCGGCAATGCCAAGCTGGCATGGGGAGAAGATGATGATGAGAATGATGAGAATGACGAGGATGACGAGGATGACGATGAGGACGAGGATGAGGTGGAAGATGAGGTGGAAGATGAGGTGGAAGACGAAGATGAAGATGAGGATTACCAGAACACCCACTTGTCCGACATACAAGCCGACCATATGCTCGTGATATGTCGAACGTCGTCCAACCATATGCCAATAGGAGATGGGCTTGAAGGCCTCACTATACAACAGCGCTGGGGGCTGGTCAAATCCAGGAAATGCAACGAGGGCCTTAGAATTGCACGACACTTTTCAATGAACTGAGGGCCGTAAAGGACCTTCAAATACGCCAACATGTCTCCCAAAAAGCGCGTATAGTCGAGAAAAGAACGCGTGCCGCAGTCGAAAACGCAAGATGATCGAGGCGATTCGTTCCACCTACCACAAGCGGGTTTCACAAGAAAAGACTGACCGGCAACGAGTTAGAGGCCGACAATGGAAGATGACTGAAACGATCAGATCCACTTACCACAAAGCGTGGTAGTCAAGAAAAGACCGCATGGCAGCGGACCCGTGGACGACGGTGTAAAATGGTCGAGGAGATTCGCGACTTCCTCCGCTCCCTACCTACCAACAGCACCGTATTCATCATGATCCGGTCTATTGACGGAGTCACCGTGTGGGAGATTCCTTCCTTTCTTTCTTGTTAATGGCTATTAACGAACTAGCACAAAGAGCATAGTTAATCTTTTAGTATGTTAAGGTTAACGAGACTATTAACTATTCCTCTCTTATCCTATTCTGCGGCCTAGGGTCTATCCTCTATATTAGTAGCTAAGAGTTTACAAGCTACTTAGAAGGCATAATTACGTCTATAATGGCTAGACGTATACTAGACATATGGGATGAATTATCTGATGATAAAATGGCGGGCTAAGGGTCCTAGGACAGGAACGTCCTACTACATGTTAACCAGATTAGGGCGCATCGATTGGCTGCAGGTGTTGGTGTGTTTGTACGACGTCCAGAGTAATCCACAATGTTGTATGATGGAGAAGAAAGGTCATTTGACCTTCGTCTAGAGCTCTAGGAGGTCGTTAGAAACATTAGATATGGCAGCTTGCATTGGAATTTGTCTGTAAAAGTCAAACACGGAAGGACTATATATAGATCAAGTGTGAAGTTCAGCCAAGAGTACTGCAGCAGTTCATGCCTCGACAGAGCTGCTGTCCTTTTTTCAACTTCCCACTAGAGACTTTCTCTTTAGCTACCGATGTGACAGCATCCTCAGTGATCTGGTCCATCTCCTTGAACTAGTCCATCTCACAAGCTTCCTCGAAGCTACCCCGCCGACTCGTTTCTTCGGCTGCTTGTGACATGGCTTGATAGATGGGTGAGTTTCATAATTAGCTTTCAATTAGTGTCTCCGTTTGTTTTTACATCGAAGTAAGAACAAAATACGAAACCGTGATAGCAAATGACCATAATTGTCGTATCTCACGAACGAATCAAATGGTTACTTCAACTAGACCTCTGGACAAGCCGAAAATTTCATGTCAATAACAGGCATAGAAGATATGTTTTTAGATCTGCATTAATCCTATCAAAGATTCACACTTGAACAAAATATACATGCATTTCTAGAATTTGACATAGGCTGTACAAATCCTCACCTCTCATTACCATAGCCTATAAGCAAGTCATTCGCGACTCTGAGCAACTGATTCACAACCTCCAAAAGCAAGGCCCAAACCAAGCCAAACCTGCAGAAACCATCATCCAAGCAGCAAGATCCTCGGGACAAGAGCAACAAAAGATCCATCTCCCCTACCAGAACTCTTATACTCTCATACCGTACAACCCAATCGCAACTTTCCCAAGGTCTGGATCTGTCGACGGAGGGCTTGTCCTCCACGCCACGTGACATTGCCAACACCCCGCCAAGCGTGCGTCTTCACTTCGCGCCCGACAATCTACACCAATTATACCATGCGACTATCTCCTGGGCGTACCAATCGCCGGAGATTTGTACGGCATACGTAATGCCAGTAACGCCACACCAAGAGTGTTCGTGGCGCGTTGTATGTGAAAGCTGGGGAAAACGCGCCTATGGCCGGCCGTTTGGAGTTGTACCAAGCGCCACGGATGCGTGGCGGAGGGCTAGGGTACATGGCATTTCGTCTATAGTCTTGAAGGCTTACCGAATTGGGAAGTTTCTCCACGATTTAGTGACATAGATAGTTCTGGGTATTTTTGCGGGGAAGGGATCGAGGTTTCGACTGGAGATGGGGAGATGAAAGGAAATGCGGGTATATAAAGGGCATGGTATAATGCCTGGGTTGTCTGCAAGGGTCGAGACTGGGTAGAAAGTCTTGAGACAGCTATCCATATTATTTCAAAATGAGTTCAAAAAAGCCTGAGGTACAGAAACTCGAAAACGCCAGCCCCGATGTCTCTCACATTGAGGAAGCTGAAGCACAGGAAAAGAGGCCGCCCCAAGAAGCTTTGGATGACGACCCGGTCTATAGCTATGCCGAACAAAGGAAGATAATCCATCGCATCGACAAGCGCTTGATTATTCCTACGGGCGTCATGTACTGCATTAGTCTCATGGATAGAAGCAATCTACCAAATGCTGCTATTGCAGGCATGAACACTGAGTTGGAGATGAATGTTGGATTTCGATATGTGAGTGCGACTTGGCCTTCATCCTTAAATGTACATTCATTGACAATTGTCATCAGTCTACAGTAGCGCTGGTCTTTTTCATCACCTACACAATCTTTCAACCTCCCGCCACGGTTTTGGTGCGGAAATTGGGTCCACGTCCGTTTCTTGCAGGGCTCTGCTTTGCCTGGGGCGCCGTTATGGTACGTTGTCTCGACTATTTAGAACGTTCTATTGCTGAATACGTAGATTGGTTTTGGGTTCGTCAATGACTGGGTAACCTTAATCCCTCTTCGACTTCTTCTTGGTCTCTTTGAAGCCGGCTTCTTCCCGGGTTGCGTGTACATCATATCGACGTGGTATTCGCGCTTTGATATGCAGAAGCGATACGCTTGTTTCTATCTCATCGGGATCATTGCCAGTGGTTGCTCGGGAATTCTTGCGTACGGGCTTATGCAAATGGTAGGAACGTCCTGCAAACCCTGATAGATGAAACAACTGACAACATGATAGCACGGACTGGCTGGGTACTGGGGCTGGCGATGGATCTTTATCATTGAAGGCATTGTAAGTGTTCGATTCCAAACATAGGAATGGATCTAACCCTATTGCTACATAGATGACTTGTATTGTCGCCATCATTGGATACATTTTCCTCATCGACTTCCCCGATCGAGTCATGAAGAAACCTCACTGGGGTTTCCTCAACGAAGATGAAGTCGCTTTCATCCTCCGCCGAATCGACAAAGACCGCAGCGACGCGACCGCGGAGAAGTGGAATTTCAAGAAGTGGGCAGCCAGCGGCGCCGATTGGAAAGTGTGGTCGTTTGCCATGATCTTCTTGTAAGCATCCACGCTCAATTCATCCTAGTCACTCTCTCTTTCATGTCGAATGAACGTAAATGTTTGCTAACAATAAGCTACAGCTGCCTCACAACCATCGCGTATGCAATCGGTTACTTTCTACCCATCATTCTCCAGGAGAACATGGGCTTCAACGTCGCAGAGGCCCAGTGTCTGACTGCTCCCCCCTATGCAGCCGCAGGAATCTCTATGCTCGCACTCGCCTGGGCAGGTGACAAGTATCGCATCCGTGGCCCTCTTCTGGCCGGAAACTGTATCTTCGGACTCATTGGCATGCCTCTACTAGTAAGCTCCCCAAATTGGCAGCAGCCCTTAAGTCTTTCTGCTAAAATTCGACTAGGGCTTCGCAGAGCAAGCAGCCGTGCGCTTCTTCGGAATCTTCCTCATCTGCATGTCCGTTCACGGCAGCATCCCCTGCGCCATGGCCTACCAAGTACGTCTCCCCTTCCCCTACTCCAACTTCCCAAACTAATCATCACCAGGCAAACAACATCCGCGGCCACTGGAAACGCGCCTTTTGCTCCGCAACCCTCGTCGGCTTCGGCGGCATCGGCGGCGTCGCCGGCTCCCTCATCTTCCGCACCCAGGACCGTCCTCACTACCGCCCCGGCGTGTACGCAGGCATCGCGTGTAATCTGTTAGTCGTTATTCTTATTGGGGTTAATACTGTGTACTTCCGCAGGGAGAATAGGAAGGCGGATAGGGGCGAGAAGGTGCTGGAGGGGGATCCGAATTTTAGGTATACGATCTGAGGAAGAGCTTGGAAAATGAATTACTTCATAATTAAGGAGAGGAGTCATGGGATATCTGTGGGGCGAAAGAAGCTTGGTCGCGAGTTTGCTGGATTTATTTACAGAGTTGGGATATAGTGGAGCAGTTTCGTAGGAGCATTTTTGTGGTCTAGCCTGATGCAGTGAGAGGTTAGGGGATTCTGCGTTCTGATTGGGTCAGATCCCATGTTGTATTTCTAATCGGGCGGGGTGTTTCTTTGGATGTCATCTCATGTGGGCAACATAAGTATCTATTCACGGCGTGCTGTCCCGGGTTATGATCTGTTGTGATCCCCATACTGCTCGTCTTTCCCGAGCTTAATTGCGAAGCAAGCGGTTCAAGCGAAAGGTGGTCTAATTTCTGACACTCTAGTCCTTACTTGTGTGTGACATCATCACAAATACCGATCAAGAAACTTCGAAAGACCTCTACAAAGAGTAAGACTCATCTCTTGATTAACCTCACACGATACGAAACATGTCAGGCGAATCTCAAGCCGAAGCTGCAATCCGGCTGTACTCACCACGCAGCGCCCAGTACGACTCGAGCTGGCACCCCGATTTCACAAAGCGCTTCATTGGTCACTTAGATATCCAGCCAGGACAGCACGTACTCGATCTAGCATGTGGAACGGGGCTCCTGACTTATCTCGAAGCCGATGCGGTGGGCCCTGCAGGACGGGTAGTAGGCGTCGACATTACTCCGGGCATGCTAGCGGAAGCTCGATCAAAGCAAGACGAGGAGCGTGAGAGATACGCGCACGTCGAGTTCTACGAAAGAGATATCCTGAATCTAGATGCACTAGATGCCGTCAAGGAGGCCTCGTTCGATGTTGTTACCGTGGCATCTGCGTTGGTGTTGTTTACCGATCCAAAGGTTGCGATTGAGCATTGGGCAAGGTTTCTCAAGCCTGGAGGAGTCATTGCCATGGATTCTACGCATCCGAGGAATTCGCTTCCTGGAGCTTTGATGGAAAGAGTTGGGAGGAAGATGGGGTCGTTAGTTCCGTATCATCGGGAGTGGAGTAAGTCGACAGAGTCGTTGGGGCAAGCCCTTGAGGATGCTGGGCTGGAGGTACAGAAAGTGGTGACGATTGATGACCAGGCGGGATATAGAAGGAGATATTACAATGCGCGTGACGTCGACAAAGTTTTTGACGACAATATTGTAAAGGGAGTTGCAGCGTCATTATTTGCGGACGATGCGCGCAGTGAGAGAGCTAGAGCTATCTTCAAGGAGGAATGGGACCAACTCGTCGTTGATGGAAAGGTGGAAGAGGTAGATGCGGTCTTCTTAGGCATCGCACGGAAGCGTAAGTCAAAGATCTCATTCTCAAGTTAATGTACGTGTAGCTGACTTTGATTGCAGCAATCATAATGGCTGACGACGATGTTGTATTCTCTGGCGGATGTCGATGCGGAAAGCTCAGATATCAAAGTGGAGCGGCACCGTCCGACATAATCGTATGCCATTGTCGCGCTTGCCGTCAGCTCTCAGGATCGGCATATCTACCTTTTACCGACGTCTCGACAGATGCATTCAAGTGGCTCGCCACATCTACGAAAGAGGTGTTGAAGCTTAGCGAAGTGGCCGAGCGAACCTTTTGTAGGGAGTGCGGGACCCCAGTCACAATGGTCTACTACAAGACCTCCAAATCAACCAGTATTACTATGGGTTCAATTTACGAGGAGACCTATAAAGGTGAATGGCCAAAGATTAAGATGCATATTTATGTCAAGGAGAAAGCGCCGTGGGTCGAATTGCCAGATGACGGACCAGAGCAGAGGCAAGAATTTAAATATTGATGTTGATATCCGATAATACTCTGCATACGCGCGATTGCGTGGCAGCCAAAGTAACGAAGTATCGTATCGATGGAGTCATCATCCGCCCATTTGGTGGCATTATTCAACGGCTGTCACTGCGAAGTGCCAGTGTCATAGGAGCATTTGGCACTAAAAGTGACGTTCTGGGCCTACACTGGGTCGACCACAGGAAAAGGGGCCATGATTGGAAGAGATGGGAGTTTTCCTGATTGTTTAGAGAATTATTAAAATTAATCCTGGCCACTCACGCAGGGATGTTGGGGAGTTGAAACGTGGAGGGATAGGTGAGGATGACGACGCTGGTGGCCATGCGTGGGTGCGTAGGTGGTTGGGATGTCTCTCGCTTCCAGCCCCCCAACCGTCCCCAACCAAGATTTTCCCAGCCTCACCCAAACAAATAAAAGATACTCACTCACTGTCAACCTCTCCATCTCTTCCCAACCTCGAGCTCACTGTTACACTCGAATTCCAAAGATCCATTTTGTGTCCAGTAACACAAACACGTTCTTTGAATTTCTTCAAAAATCTGTTCCCTATTCTCTTTCCCTTCGTTCCCCGACAAACAGCTACTACTGCGAGTACCGCCGCCCGGGCAACCAGGGTCCTCCCCAGCACCGTCGACATCACCGAGCAGATCAACACCATTTATCGCCCAGGACGTCTATACAAGCGTTTCACAGCTTGTTCATTCCGACCACCCATAGTGGATAATCAGGACGATAATTAAAGAATTGGAAAAAAGGATCACACTCCAAGGGGAAATCTCCAGAATTCCTCGATTCACCACAGTAGCCACTGCCGCATTCCTGCCAGCTACAGCTGCAAGCTCATCCCTCTCCCCACCATGGCTCATAAACATGTGGCATCCCCGAGCCTTTCGGCACCCTCCAAGACACAATCATCTCTCCAAGGTTCACATGCGACTCTCTGTTCTCTTCGTGGAGGCAGCCATCCCTTGAAACAAAATCCTCCCTCCATTGCTAGTCAGGACCAGGGCGACTTCTCCACCTTTGACGATATCGATATCGCCGACAGCATTCAACCTCCACCTTCCGCATTGACTGCAAAGGTCGCACCCACCGTCTCTTCATCCGCTTCAACCGCCTACGACCCTCACGCTTCGCCCTCGCCACTTGAAGCCGACTTCCCTGCTGCTGGAGCTCGCATTGGCCATCAGCGCACTCTTACTGATACATGGTTCGATAACTGCCAGCCTTTCCTCAACAGAGCTACTTCTACCATACAGCAACATACTTCACGAGCATCTTTGCATTCGCCTACCAAGTCATTGGCAAGCTTCATCCCTTCCCGGAGTACCATCGAGTCATCAACCTCCCAGCCAAAGATCAAGGCCGGTGCCAAAGCGCTTCAGAACTGGTTCAACGGAAGCTCTGCAGCGGTGAATTTGGGCGTTGCACCAAAGCACGAGACAGACGACGAGTACGATTCTGAAGAAGAGGAAGTAGCCGGAGAACACGGTAACATGATGAACATTTTCAACCGTGGACCTGCTCTCACGCGACCTGCCACTACCGAAACAACCCCGACTCAATCTCCACAATCCAAGGCCAAACAAGCACCAACATCTAGCAAGTTTTCATGGCTACTGAACACGCAGAAAAGTACATCAAACCAGGACTCTCGACCACCGGTTTATCACAACCCTTCGGACGAGCTCCTCAACCTCAATATCTCACAAGCTCTTTTCCCTCATGGACCTGTTGACTCCTTGGACCCACACGCATTCCACGATCTTCTCTCAAATGCCGAATCTCTTCTCGCGCGTTTTCAGAACTCGTACCGTGATCTGTCCGCTTCGCTGAGCGACGCACAAGCCGAGCAGAGTGCACAGGATGATGAACTAGACGAGGCCGAGACACGAAACCGCCATTTGAAGATGCAGCTTGAGACCATGGCTGCCCGTGCCTCTGAGCAAGACGCCCAGATGCGCCGCCTAATGGACGAACTCGCCTACGAGCGTCACGCCCGACAGGAGGAGGAAGCAGCCCGCAAGCGCAGCCTCGCCCTGATCAGGGACAGCGGAAACCCAGGCTATCCCGTCGAGATCAGTGGATCGGATCTCCCCCGCCGCAGAAACCGCACCTCCAACTCAGACGTCTCCATCGACTCCGGCTTCGAATCAGAATGCGACTCAGAATCCGCGAGCATCTTCTCCCGAACCAACTGCAAAAGCCCCACGGACACCATCCCATCCTCTGTAGCATCCTTCACCGAGGTAGACGTCACCCCAACCAGCAAACGCCCTCAGCCAATCGAGCGACGAAGCACCTACGACCGCGTCCGTGACGGCAGCGTCAACCTCACCCAGCAGGGCTGGGGCTGCTCCAACTGCGAGGGCGGCGCACAAAGCGCTGTCTGGGGCCGCCTCGCCAAAGAGCGAGAGGAGAGCCGTCTGTTGAGGAAGAGGGTCGAGTACTTGGAAGAAGCCGTCGACAGCGCCTTGAACGTCGTCGACGGACCATGGGGTCTATGATCTCTCTACCAATTCCTCTTCCATTGCACACGGCATTCTCCCACGGAGCGCATTTACTAAACCCTTCTTGTAATAATTACCACTTTTACTTATCTTCTCCCATTGTATATAAAATAACGAAACATGGCACACCACGCTACGTTCTTAGGGTTGGATTGGGCGAATACAAATGAGCGCCCACGGTTTTACTGGGCAGCGGAAGGCATTCTCGGGAGTTCTTGGGTCATTGTTACATGGCAGACCAACCAATATGCATCAACATCACATGTTATAGAGATATACATCATCGAGCAAGTAGATTGTAACGAGAATGAGAATGAATTGGAATGAATTCTTTTATACACATATGCTGGAATTTGCGTGACTTAGTTTCGTGAATAACATCGTCAGGTAGGGATAGATTAACATGGTGCGGACTGCGAGCGTGTAAGTCAACGCATCGTCGCAACCCATCCATTCCATGCATTGCACGGCGATTTTGAGCAAGAGAGAGGTGGGGGGTTAGTCAGTCAAATGAGAGAAGACTAGTATCCACGCTCTTTTATCTTTGACGGAGGCCAGGGGATGACTGATTATTTAATCTTGTCCATTTGTTGCGAAGGATGAAGAAACACGTATCTATATCTGCTAAACTACAAGAGCTTTAGCAGAATGTACATAATACAATGCAGAGACGGCAGCGTTCTAGTTCACGCAATTATATTGCTTGTGTTTGGTACAGGAGCGTTTACATTTTTACATTCTATCTCGTTTTCTCTGTGGCTAGTCGTACAGTTCAAACAGGGGTTTCAATTAAGATAAATGTGGCTTTTAGTCCTTGAATTTTCCGTAGTACGGGATGCCGATGGCTTGGGTGAGGAGGTGGGCGTCCTTGTCGTTGGTTGCGGAGGTTTGGATGGTGATGTGGCAACCGGGTATCATCTTTGGTGGGTATCTGCGAGGGGGTTAGTATAATAATTCCGAAAGCTGTGGATATACATTCTGCACGAGGGTGACTTACGAATCATAGTTGACCTCGACTTCAGGGAAAAGTGCGACCTGGTCTGCAGTGAGACCGAACGAGATGTTTCCGCTACCATCGCCGGTAGACGCAGCGACGCCCTTCCACTCCTTGATCTTGGGCAGCACGACGTCGATGAGCTTGGAAAGGAAGTGCTGCGCATCCTCTTGCCCGATAGTCGAAGTCAGCGAGACCCATTTATCCTTGCGGAGGTTCCACTGGAGGACGTTGTTCCTGGCTCTGTGGGACTCGGCACGCACGTTCGTGATGGCCTGGAGCACCATGCCGCCGACGTGCAGGTACGCGCTGCTCTCCTGTGCCTCCGGAATCATAGAGTGCACGACGACGCCGGTGATCTCGGGGATGTTGCGGAAGGTGCGCGGCTCGGTCAGCAGGCGGAGCTCGTCACCGCGGCCGCGAGGGGGCCGCAGCGGTCGGTTCTTGTAGTACGGCGAGTCGCCGGTCCATTCTCGAAGGCGCTGCGTCTGCACGGGTGCGCGGTAGCCCGGCGGGTAGTGTTGGTATGTGAGGGTGAGGAGGTCGGATGCGATGGTGCTTTGGTAGGTTTGGTCGAGACGGGGAAGGCTGAAGGGGCCGGGTTGGAAGAGACGGGATGCTGGGTCGGCTTCGGGGGGTGGTTGATGCGGGTGGAAAGGGCCGCGGTAGTATTTTGGTGGTCGGTATTGATATCTGGGGATTGTGTGAGTTCGTGATGCTTCTGTGTAGGGTTGGAGATGAGGGTGCGGTACCTGCTGGGTGGTAGATATTTCTTTCCCCTTCGCCTTGCCTTACTGCGTGCAATTGGATCAAAGTCCTTAGGGGCCTCTACGGCGGCTGCGGAACCAGTGAACGACGATGAGGTCTCAACGGCTTGGAGGGCATCGGTCGAGGCATTGCGGCGGGAAGAGAGTGACGATCCGAATGCGCATAGGATAGGGCGTGCGTCTCTCGAGAAGACGGCCGCAGCCCTCAATGGCAGCTCTCGGAGAGCCATTGTCTAGTTGGAGTACGGATGCGGGGCGTAATTTGTGGTGGTCGTCGTGACAGAGGCTATGGATGCCCTCGCGTGTCGTTGTCGTGAGCCTGTATGATAAAATTGTTGCACCACCGAGCTTAAACTGAATGTTCCTAATTGGGCATAGTCTCAAGTCTGGGCAGTCCAATGTTAGCGTACTGACAGGGTTCCCCGATATAGTCTAGCTTCGCAGGATATACCTCCGCCTTCCGACCTTCGTTCGCACTTTCCCCCCCATCATTTGTCCGAATCAATCAGCATCAGCCAATCATGATGATCATCCAGATCCGACCAACCATCAACGCCAACGGAACCATTCTTCTACTCTACTCGTATCTCTTCTTGACTCTCTAGTTGTTACTACTACTTCTACTACTTCTGCTACTTCTCCTCTTCAAATATTTTCCACTCCGCTCACAGATTCCTCACTGTGAGTTGAGTGCGACAAACTGTCTCATCTATGTCATCACCTGCACCAGCCAACTGCCGCCTTTCCCTCTTCCGGTTCGTCACATTATAACACTCTTCCGTCTCGCTTCCCCAAAAAGTTGCCTACCCCGCGGAACCACCTACGACCCAACGACCAACAACAACTTATCTACCTATCCGCCGCGTCAGCCACCTTATTTCAACTCGCTCGAGGCTCCCTTTCCTCTTCATGGACTGCTAGCAATAAGACCCCCCACAATGAACGGCGTCACTCGATTTCTCAGTCGGCGCGACAAGAACGGCGAGAAACGCTCCTCCAAGCGCGCCCGCAGTAAAGTACATTCGCCTTCTCTCGTATCTTCTTCTCGTTCTTCACCTTGTTCCGCCCCGCACCCGGTATGCTCTGTAGACGGCGCGGACTCAGTGACCGATCTCGCTGCCTCCATAGGCTATTCGCGATCCGAGAGTATGCAGTCCCTATACCAGAAGCTACCGTCTATCCTTCAGCCCTTCAATGCGAATGCTTTCTTATCCTTACGCACCAAAAGCTCTTCCACGCATTTGATGCCGTTACAAGTTCAAATCTCTACCGAACACCCATCTGACCACCTCACTCTGCAGTCACAGTCACGCCAAGTGCCATCCGATCTCTACAAGATCTTCACCAACGAAGAGGAACCAAAACCAGAGTCTGTGGAAGACAAGAAGGTTCGTGGGCCATACTCTACCTAGTGGGCAGAATCTCATGAAGCGCAGGTCAAAACTCTCGTTCAGCGTCTTCGAGCTGTCGGCGTCAATACCCTCAAGGAGGAACATGTGCAACATGCCCTCTCGAAATATCCCGACGACCTCGACAAGGCATATGACCTTCTCATACTCGCGAATGACTCGTTCGATGGAATACTGAGGGAATACGACCCAAATGTAACAATGGTGGGCGCTGTGAACAGGAACATGGTCACCTGCTACTTGGACGCTCTTCTGTTTGCCATGTTTGCAAGGCTAGACAGTTTTGAGGCCATGCTGTATGATAGTTTCAGCGACGAACCTCGAAAGAAGCTCGCTGGGACGCTCCGCCTTTGGGTCAATCTTCTGCGGTCGGGCGAGCTGATCAACGTAGAATTGACAAAGCATCTACAGGATGCGATGGCCAAGTCAGGCTGGGAGGCGGCTGCTGAAATCTGCCAGCAAGACGCTTCAGAAGCCTTCACGTTCATCACGGGGGCATTAGAGCTACCACTACTCACACTGAAGATGGACATATACCATACTGGGAGAGAAGACAAGGAAGACGATCACAAGTTCGTCAACGAGCGATTACTGGAGGTTGCGATTCCAGAACCAAGTGGCGATAACGTCATCACGTTGGAAGATTGTCTGGAAAACTACTTTAACAACAGGATTGAGGTGAAGCGGTTTCTACAGCGCCAAAACACACTGACCTCTCTGAGGACAGACTCTGAGAAGAACCACGCAATTCATATCGAAACGGTCGAACTCACGGGCTCGGGATCAAATTCTCCTCTCATTAGTACTCCCACTTCTCTCGCGCCATCCACTCCGACGGTTCCGATCAGACCTCCTTTGACCATCAATGGTCGTCGACGTGCAGATAGTATCTTCAACGAACGACTCACCACAGATGGGTCAATAGCCTCCGAGAAAAAGAAACCGTTCGACGAGAAGCGACTCCTCGAGGAGATGTTGAACGACACACCCGGCACTCGGCCTCGATCCGCCTCGTTTAGGAAAGAGGTTATGATGCCAGCCTGGCAATTCTTCAGTCTGATACCTTGGTACACTGATAATGTGCCCCAGACGGATGCGCAAGTCGCGGCACATTTCTCTGCAAAGAGGCCAGTTCTAGGCATATGTCTCAAGCGGTATTCGATGGAACTCAATGGTACTTCGAAAAGGTTGAGTACCTACATCGACATTCCACTCGAGATTGGACTGCCTCATTTCGTGACTGACGATAACATCGAGCACGACGGACCCCTGTTCGGAAACTTCAAGCTCGTTCTCCAGTCCGTTGTCTGTCACCGCGGTGTCTCTGTTGACTCCGGTCACTACGTATCCCTCGTTCGGGCGAACGTGCCAACCCATTCAGGAGAATCCTCGTCCTCCAAATCTGGAGAACCAGAGGATAAATGGTTCCGTTTCGACGATCTTGCAAGTCCGCGCGTTGCAGATGTAGATATCAAACAGGCCCTGGCCGAGGAATCGCCGTATTTGTTATTCTTCCAAGTGCAACCAATCGATGAAGAGCTTGCACGAGGGGCACCCCCACCGTATACAGCAGCCGCAAAAGAAAGTGACGGTTCTTCGACGGCAGATCCATCGGCAACAGAAGGTGGCATACCACAGGATTTAATCAAGATTGATGAGTCTTCTGAAGATGTGGGCCGAGCCAGCTTCTCAAGCACCAGGCCAAGTACGGTTGGAGAAGACCGTGAAGGCAGTGTGACAAGCCTAGAGCGCGGCCGCACCGCACCGACAACGCCCGCCGAAGATCTCGCCAGCTTTCTCTCTGCCTCGAGACGCGGATCAAAAACCATGGAGACCAAGAGTCGGCCGAGCAGTCAAAGTGGAGAGAACAGGTTGTCATTTACACTATCGCGACTTACTGGCCGAGGAAGCAAGGAAAAGCTGCAAATACCAGAGGAAGCGGCTCAAAATGACCCAGTGATCATCGTCAACGAAGTTCAGAGTCAGGAAAGTGGCAAGACGGAGACTGTTCCAACCGACACAACGAAGCTGCCTGTGCACGATAAACACCATTCAAATACCACCAAGGCAGGCAAGAACAAGAAGGAAAAGAACAGGTTCAGAAGTAAAAGCCCAAAGCCCCGCCAGGGCGGTGGGGGTCACAAGGACAAAAACAGGCCTGATAGAGAATGCATCGTCATGTAAGCATCATGATATACCAATTTTTGAGCAAAAGGCGAGCTTAGGGGGTGTTTCCTTTTCTTTCCCGCATACCCAGGTACATCCTGCTCGCTCTCCTTGTTTGTTTTCTTTCTCCGCATCTTTTGCATGCATGCATCAAGGGGCGTTCTTCCAAGGGTGACATTTTCGGAAATCGTGTTGCGAATGGCGCGCGCGGTCTTCATCATGACTTGAATTATGACACACACACATGCACATACACTTTTGTAATTCATGCATTCGGACTTTTGGGGCGGGGTCTTACGAGGGATTGGAATTGCATGTGAAGTAGCAATGATGATACCCACTTATTGATTTGAACCTATGTTTGTGTTGGGATGCAATGTGTATCTCGGTTTTCTGTTTGAGTGATCATAGTTCAACAGCAACGTTAAGGAGCAGTCGTACGACATCATGGGTGAGAACACTGAATACACTCGTTACTGCCCAGCGGTATACAGTCTCTCTCTAATGTAATTGACCAGCTATTTACCATGGAAGAATGTTTCCATGTATTCTCGCACTCCCATAGGTTTCAAGTCTGGGCAGAGCTGGTTCATCACAGGCTTCAACACCACTTCGTCATCCAGGTCCCTGATGTAAGCCAGTTTAAACTCTGTCCACATCCGCGCCATAAAATCATCTTCCGAAAGCCGTGCTATCTTCTTTTCAAGGTCTGCTTGTGTTACAGCGCTGACTTCGAATTTTCTCCCAGTCACGGCTTCCGCATGAGCTAGTAGTTCACCCATGGTCAGAGTCTCCCCCACCATGGTCATGTTCTCCTCCCACCTCCCACTGGGCAAGTCAAGAGACGCCACAACGAATCGGCCCACATCCTTCAAGGAGGTCAGAGTGACTCGTGGCCAAGAACCGTCATCCTTCTTAGGAAACTCCGCAATGCCGTTCTTCAGGCCCATCAGGAAGGCTCCAGATCCATCTTTCAAATCTCCCTGCCTCAGCAAGCCTTGACATGCGTCGTCTTCACCGGCCATATACCCCCCTCCTGCTTTCATCATCTCCAGGGAGGCATCTTTGTCTACCTGAGATGAGACTGGGTAAATTCCATGGCCAATATAATTCATGAAGACGCCTTGGTTGAATCTAGTGCACTCGATCTTGTCCTTCTGCGCCAGACATTCTTCCCACACACCGTCAGAAGCCCACTTTAGGGACTTGACGTTTTCCCACCCTTTTGGCCCAAAGCCCCACTGCGATGGCGCAAAGCGCTTGCAGCCAGCCTGAACGGCGGCGTGGAGGAGATTCTTTTGTATCTGTGGCTGCGTGCCGTCGACCGCTGAGGTGACGGAGACGACTGTGTCGACATCCTTTAAGGCTGCATGTAACGACTCAATTGACATGTAATCGACCTTACGAATCTGGGTGCGCTTGCTATCTGGATCGACTGCGCGAAGCCATGTTGGGGCGCGAGTGGTGCGTGAGAGAATAACCGCGTTCCATTGTTTGGTATTCTGAAGAAGAGATGTGGTGATGGCTCGACCGAGACTGGCTGAGGTTCCGCCCGCAATTGCAAGAATTGGCATGGTTAAGAGCTTCTTTCGAACTAGGAACTTAATTTGAGAATGCGGCTTGATAAATTACTTGAGAATTCATGATCAATCAAATACGTTGCTGTCGGCATATATTCACAGAGACGTGGTCGCTGGAAGGCAGGATCTTGGCTCGGTGCCCGTGGGTGCCGGATTGCGCAGTGCGCGGATGCCGCTTCAACGGGTTGAGCAGAACGCATCAAACGATTCAGCATAGCGGACCAAACGGCTGAGCATAGCGGACCAGACGGCCGAGATTAACGGATCAAAATTGAAGATGTCAAATACAACCCGTCCGGAAAGTTTGCATATAGAACATTCCCCAAGAGCTATGAGACATCTATTGTTTTCCTCCTGATACCAGGCTCCCCTACAGTAGGAACTTAATCCATCATGTCAAGCGTGCTCCCAGCTGTTCCTTAGTACCTTTTCGGCGTCGTTGAATCGGCTGTACTAATTTTGGCCGGAATACTACGTTTCATCACAGTCGAAATTTGCGTCCTCCCGACCACTCCTCACAACAGAACTAATCGACATTTACCAAATATGCAATCTATTCATCCTGCTTGGTATTACGTAACTACGTGGCGCTTAACCTAGGAAACATTAAGTGATAGGGGCTCGTGGAATTTGTTGGTCTGGGGAAATATTGACATTCCCACGTTCTTGTGTACATTGAGGACAAACACCAATCATGAAAAATCCCGACCGACAACAGTGAAGTAATTCAATGCAAGCCTAATTGATTGTCATTCAGTTGTTTGTGTTGGATATCATACATTGTATAAGAGTGAATAAGGGTATCGATGAATAATGCAAATGCCCCGTCAGCCTGGACAGAGTCACAGGACTCATCCCACACGCTATTGGTGACAAAGACCTCTCCGCTGGCAACTGGGCTCCGAATAACTTCATCTTATCCGGTTACACCACCGTATCATCGAGCAAGATTCAGATGAGAACTAGGTACGTAGCTGATTACCTGGGACTTACTATCTGCTGATCGGTTTCCAATCAAACTCATTCCATCCGACTCCAGTAGATTGTATTGAGCGACGATTAGGTTGCTGGTTCATCGTCTGATGAAATCGCATGTTCTTCCAAGTCCGTGTTGAGTTTCTCCAGCGTCAGAAGGTTGATGCGAATCGTGTCTTCAACCCATAATTCCACAGATTGGGACCAAAAGATTTCCTTATGGAAGAATTCGGGATTAAGAATTGCATCATGAATACCTGGCCAGATGCCGACTAAAATCATCATCTGGGGAGGATCGCTGGGGAGATCAGGACGTTTGATGTGACCGCATGCATAATCCAGTAAAGTGTCTGGATTGTCGTCGGGCCTGGATTGGTAGCGCTCGAGAATGGCCTGGGCAGAGCTGGTAGTGAAACCGATGTGCTCCAGAGCGGCCACACTCTTGCAGGATGTGGGGAAGTCAAACCATCGATCAATACCGAGCCTGTTATAGGCGTGGAAGGAAATCGATGTAGTATAGGAGGTGTCTGATCTATCACTACTACTACTGGGAGGTGGTGTAAATAGTTGACCAGAGACACTCCGTTTCGACGGCTGCTTCGAGGGGCGGACAAGATTGGCCTCACAGAGGGCTTGCTTTGCTTCTGAAGTAAGGTCTTCCATTGCGGTAGGTTGTGTAGAGAGACCTTCTATTGCAGTAGGTTATATAAAGGGACCTTCTATTATAGTAGGGTATATAAAGGAGCCTTCTATTATAATAATTTATATAGAGGGACCTCCTATTGCAATAGGTTGTGTTGAGACCGTGTAGTAGGTTATGTGGAAAGGGTGGAAATGGTCTTTATGTATGGCGGTGGGGATGAGTACAACACAGACCACTCTCATGCACGCGTGAATTCGAGAGTGATAGTGAAGGAGGAATCAACCAACGTGACCATGTCCTACCTATCAAACCATAGTGATTTTAGAAGAGCAAACGATGAAGTGAATCATCTCCTACCAATGGAGGCGTGGGACCAGGCATCCAATCATCAGCATTGTGTATGCGAACCACTTTTCCTCAACTACTTTCAATAATTGATAGAGTTTCACCACCAACGTTCACAATGAACTGAATGGACTACAGCCAGCTTTGTAATAACAGCCTTGAATCGGCTCTAGAATACCCTGTTTTACACAAAAGGCTTGCTACTTCCTGTTACTTCGTGATAGCATTCATTATCGCTTGTCCTTTTAGAATTGAAGACACAATCATGTATGGTTATTATTTCCCAGCTTCAGTGTTCAAAGCGTGTGGTAATCCTGACGTCTGCCATGTTTGATGTTTCCAACGACTTCCTAGAGCTTCGGACGAAGGTCAAAAGCACTTTCTTCTCTGCCATACAACATTGTAATACAATATAGATGTCTTGTAAACACGCCAGCGCCTGGTGCTAGCTGATGTGCACTAACCTTGGTTAATCTCTGGCAGGACGCACACTTGACTCAGGTATAGTCCTTCCATGTTCGACTTTTACCAGAAAGATTCCAATCAAAGCTGATTAAATGCCCTTAAATCCGACTAGTATCAGTCACATTTCGAATGTCGTTCTGATCTCGAAAGGCCACAACGACGTCTCCATTGAAGACTTAAGTAGGTTGCCAGAACAGACAGCGACGAGGGATTCAAAGCTTGAGCGAGTGGTCTTTTCGATCGTAATGCAGATTTAGCAGACTAATTCGGGTCAAATGTGGACTGTATCCAATGCCGACCATCCGAATTGGTCAAACTGGATACCCCTGACGTGCCATATGAGCGAGCTGATAACTATATTCTTTCATTCTTCTGACAGTCTTCCTAAGATACCTATTAGATATGTAAACGCTTATCTCGGATCAGTAGCGAACGAGCATATGAAGCATCTCTAACATAACACATTCTCGCTGATTATAACGAAAGAACATGTTAAGAACCCCAAACTGCTACATTCTCTATGCAAAGCAGTGCCTAATTATCATGCACCCTTCGTAGTTAAAATCTCTTAATACTCAATAACACTCCGTCTCTTCAAGTGTTGCCAGACCCACATCCATCGCCCGACGCCATCTTAGCCGCCAACCGAAGCGAAACTTAACTCCACTCCTTCTCCACTACGCCCACTACATCCTTGCAGAAAAATATATTACCCACAAACCTCAAGCTTTACTTCTTCGCCTCGTAACATCTGCTGCTGATGATTCAAATATTTGAATGAGTATAAGTATGTTGGAATTGGACAGCAACGCCACAACAGCATATCCTCCGTGGCGCAATTGGCTAGCGCGTCTGACTGTTAAACAATTCTCTGTGAGATGCTTGGTAATCAGGAGGTTCGTGGTTCGAGCCCACGCGGGGGAGTGGATTTTTTTTTTTTGGTTTGATGAATGGTGCTGGGGTGATTTGTTTTTTGGTGGAGATTTGTATGGGTTTCACATGGCAGACTTAGGGATTGGGGTGGGTGACAAATCAGAAGGTGGAACGACAAGGAGAATTAGGTATTGACTAGATAATCAATGATTATTTGATTGAATGATTATTTCGGATACCATGCATTGCATTAGGGTGAAAAAGGGTATTTGTGAATACAAGTATCTGTGAACAGGGGTATTGGTGAATAACACAAATGCGCCAGAGGGGCCTCACAAGGCTGATATGACCTGTTATTGGTGAACAAAGTTCATCCCATTCTCTTACAATTGAGCTCCGAATAACCTCATCCTATCTGGTTACGCCGCTGTATCATTGAGCAGGATTAGGATTAGAATCAGCTCCGGAGCTAAACACCTAAGACAATCTCTCTGCTAATCGGTTTCCAATCAAGCTTATTCCATCTGAATACAGCAGATTGAGATATGGGCCAATTAAGTTGCTGGTTCACCTAATTCTGTGCATTCGACTTGGCGGGGAGCAAAGACATCAATGTGTATCCGTCCCTTAACCTCTGCACCCAAACGCTTCCTTACGTCTTTGCCTAAGAATGCCCACTGAACTGCTTTTCCAGAAGAGATGATCAAGACATGGCCCTCAGAGACCCTCTCCTGAACATCTCCTAGTTTCATCTCGTTGAATATCTCGCTCGTGGCTTTGGAAACATGTCCGACTACCAGCTCTGCGTCGTAGAAGTCATCAAACTTTGATGGCAACGAGTCGCATCCCTTCCGGCCGGCCCAGACACATGTCTTCCAATCTTCTGAATACAAGATTTCTTCCTTGTCTAGAGATGCTACGAAGGTATCAGGAACCAAGAGTCGGATTATCATGGTTTCCGAGTGTTTACATCTCAAGGCTGCATATCCACGATACATCTCAGCAGTCTCCCGGTCGGTCGCAAAGTACACAGCGTCGTCCCAAGGGTTGAAGTCTCCGCCTTCCCAGATGCGAATCACACTGAAATCAAGTTCGCCGGTCTCGGATATGAAAGACCGATAATGCTCCTCTTCATGCGCTCTACCTTTGTACAGGACATGAAAGCCGGGAGGCGTAGGCTGTACTGTGTCGTCGATGCTAACATGTTCTTGTGGGAAAGTACCGGCCCATCGTCTAACACATGGATATTCGCCGCGAGTGGGGATGGAAGACTCAGCGGACGGCTTGGACGAAATTGAATCATCGACTTTAGTATCATTATCTTCCTTTGTGGCCAGTAGTAATTTTGCATGATCTACCAGATCTGTTAGGACCTTCTCCAGCGTCCAGTAGTTGATGCGCAATGTGTCTCTGATCCAGAACTTTAATGTCTCAGTCTCGAAGATTTGCTCAAAAGCGGGGTCAAGAATTGCGTCTTGAATGTCCGTTCGGATGCCAAAAACAGTCATCATTTGGCGGGGATCGTCGGGAAGCCTGGGTCGGGCCATGTGTCCATATGCGTAGTCGAGCAAAGAGTCTGGATTCTCATTGGGGGAAGGTCTCTCGAGGTAATTCTGGAAGATCTCCTCGGCAGCAGCTGGTGTAAATCCAATATGCTCGAGAGCCGCTGAACTCTCATACGCCGTAGGGAATTCGTACCATTGGTTGTGTTTGGAGTCACTGTAGGAGCAAAAGCGCACTGAGGCGCAGTAAGTGGGGTTTCGAGGAGAATTGCTGTTGCCCGTTGGTGGGTTAAAGAAGAATGACGATACCTCCCGTTTTGAAGGTTCCTGGGAGGGACGAATGATGCTCGCCTGACGAAGGGCTTGTTCTTGAACTGGATTGAGGCTATGGCTAAGGGCATATTCTTGTTCAATAGTGAGGCCTTCCATTTCAAGCATTAGGTTGGCTATACCAAGTGGAAGAGGCGCAGGTCATCTTTAAGTAGGTAATTCAAAGTAGGGCACAGACCTCTGTAACAACAGTGTGGGGACTAAATGTTGGGAGTGAATGGAAGCCTAATTTTATTGAAGGTGAACTAGATCCTACCAATAAAGACACTAGGCAGAGCATCCGGCACCACGGTTGACAATTAGAATCAATATTCTCTACTGCAATGACTTTCCGTTGGCATGGCTCTCCGTGGATGAAATAGGTCCTCTGTCCCCGACAGCAACCCAAATGATGGCTCGCATTGGACAAGAAATTGTGATAAAACACTTAAACACTTAAAGCCTAACCTTTGAACCAAGGCAGACAACAGACTTCAATGCTTTCGCTGCTCGTTCAATATTCTCTTCACTTAAACCTGCTATGTTGATACGTCCATTTTCAGGTAGATGCACATGATGGTGATCGACGAGAGTACGGCATTGAGCTGGAGTGAGCTGAAGACACCTAGTAGCAGTCAGTGAGACCTCTCGTCGGTCATATGACCTTTTGCGGTACTCACGAAAACAATCCTCGCTCAGACACGAGGTAACTCCAATCTCCTGGGATATGGTGAGCGTCAATATGCGAAAGCAGATTTTGGCGATTTTTCTTCAGCCTGAGCCTCATAGCCTTCAGCTCTTTTGTCCTATCGCGACTGTTAGAACGCACTGATTGAGGTTTGATGATTCAGAACACCTCACCAAAGTGTACGCAGACTTTGGTCTGACAGCACTATTTTGACCAATCGGCTTCCATACGCGGGAGATGATGAATATGTTTTGCGGATAATACTTCGCAGTTGGTCCTTAACGATTTCAGCAAGCCAAGATTTTTGCGAGACAACATGCAAGGCTCCACATCGCTCGCCATAGAGTGCAAAGTTCTTCGAAAATGACTGGCAAACAAGCATCTCCAATCCTGCGTCTGCTAATGTTCGTAGTCCAGTCGCATCTTCAGCCAATCCGTCGCCTAGACCCTGGTATGCAATATCTATAAATGCCACTTGATTGTACGTGCTCAGTTCCTGTGCTAATTCGCCCCATTGCTGAGGGCTGAGATCTACGCCAGTTGGGTTATGGCAACATCCCTGCAGCACAAACACACTCCCAAGAGGTGCCTCGCGAACATTGTCCAGGAGATTCTCAAAATCAACCGCGTGCCTAGTGGAATCAAGGTAGTCGTAAGTGACAACCTCCAGCCCTGCGTGTTGAAAAATAGGAACATGATTTCCCCAAGTTGGTAACCCGATGTACACTTTCGTCGATGGAACAGTAGATGCAATCAATGAAGCACCCAGAGAGTTTGCCCCAGTCCCTGATATAGTTTGTACTGACGAAACGCGTCCAGAAATCAGAGCTTCGCAATTTTCACCGAATAGCACTGCGGCACCGAGCCGAAGGAATTCCTCATCTCCAGTAGTAGACGCATACTAGTCGCTGTCAATCTCCCAAGGTACACTAATGGAAAGCTGTGTTGCATACATCGTGGCCCAAGTCAAGCCCATCTAAGATCTTCTTTGCCTGCAATAACAATTAGCACAAGATGAATAGTGAGGGTACTGCCGCGAAAATAGATACCCTCCGGACGACTTCCAACTCTTGGTATCTGCCATCTTCATTCCTATACACTCCTACTCCTAGATCCACTTTCCTTGGGTCGTTATCTGCATCTGCTATCTTCTTCAACGTGAACATGGGGTCCGGAGCCCCTTGCTGAACGAGCTCAAGCATATTGGGGATGGTAAGTTTTGTTATCTTTGAAAACGAGATAAAACAATTTCTCGACTGTTATATCATAAACAAGCTGAAAACTCTGATAACATTCTCGTTTTTAAGGTCTATACCGTCTGTATCGTACGCGCGATTTGGAGCCAATTAAGGGCAAGCGTCTTCGGGTTCCCCAGCCGAACCCTCAATTGAGTGTGCGGGACGCGATCCCGCTCTCCATTTAGCTCCCTCCAATGCTTTGACTGTCGACATAGATAAACAATTCTTAAATGATAAGAGTGGTATGCACAATTTGTTAAACAATTTATTATTATCTTTCTTGTTTGATCTACACACTAAAAATGGCCTTGCGCTGTGTCAACAACCTGCTAAGGAAGCAGGCCGCGAAAGAGTTATGCATTGTAAGCTACCTGACACAACTATGCTAAGCACGTAAAGAAGACTCGTTCTAACATGTGATAGGCTATGGGCATTCGTTTGGTCACGGACTCACAGATAGTCGATTTGGCTGCAAATGCACGATACCACGCACTGTTCATAGATCTGGAGCATTCTTCCCTAACACTGCGTGATGCAAGCCAACATTGCATGGCTGGACTTCAGTCTGGACTCACCCCTTTCGTTCGAGTTCCGTATCAATGTGGCAATGGATTCGTGCAAAGGGTTCTGGATGGTGGTGCTATGGGAGTTGTATTCCCTCACATTCACGGCAAAGGTGAGCTACAACAACGCTGCACCACGGGTTGACGAGCTAACCCGATGATAGACGATGCTGCAGCGGCAGTATCGATCTGTAAATATCCATCCCAGGGCAAGAGATCCATGACCGGGCAGCTTCCACTGTTCTGCCTCAAGCCGACTTCCCAAGACGTAATAATATCTGAGACAAATGCCAACGGATCGACTGTATGTGTCATGATCGAGACTAAAGAGAGTATTGAGAATATAGAAGAAATCGCTTCAGTGCCTGGCGTCGACATGTTGCTGGTCGGCTCCAATGACCTCGCTATCGAGCTTGGAGTTCCTAATCAATTCAAGAGCGAAGTCTTTCGCGCCGCTCTGGTCAAAATAAGCCAAGCATGTAGGAAACATTCGAAGATTATGGGCCTTGCGGGAATATACGATAATGTTGAGCTCCATAGTTGGGCCATCAATGAGCTCGGAATCGGCTTCATCTTGGGAGGTCAGGATTCTGGTTTTATTGCAAGAGCAGCGAACGAAAGCGCAGCGGCCATAGTTGGAATAGAGCGCAGCAGGATATGAACTGGAATGGGATAAAGATGTTCAGTGCACCAAAGTCCAGCCCAAAATGCAGAATACATAATATAATTTTACAAGATTGCCGTTGAAACAAGATTTCCTCATTGACTTGCTGTAATCATTCATTGTGTTTATCTACCTAGGCAATTAGGCCACATTGGCGTCATGCCACAGATAGCCGTTGTTAGCGTCACGCTAAATACAAGTTCACTGCAGTTGCGAGCAGATGAGTCCTGCTGTTTCCGCCGGTCTATCCAACACCAACTTCCCAACTCGTGGATACTGCACAATTGAATTGCATCTTCGCAGCCATTAATATCGACAAAAGGCGACTGATGCTGAATATTACGGTCAATTGAGGGACACCATGGGCGGTGAAGAAGGAGGTGCATCCCGTAAACGAACGAACAACGCGTCAGTAGACATATTGTACTATCAGATGGATGCATATCCGCTTACCATATAAAAGGTGCCTGCGATGTCGCAGCCGGAAAGTCAAATGCTCAGGAGATTATCCCTGTAGCAACTGTACTCGCCGCTCTGTTGAGTGCCAATTTGGGCCAGATGAGAAGAAGGTCGTAGTATCAGAGAGGTGCTTTTCCCTAGTTGCACCAAAAGCTACCTGCTGCTCACATGAATTCACTGCATAGTTATCTATTAGAACTAGAGCGGAGATGTTCTCTGATCGAATCTGAGGAAAGGATAGTACACCCGCCTGCAAAGAGGATTAGGCCTTCGCGATCATCGTTTTCTGACGGATCTGATTATGAACGTATGCATTCCTTGATAGCAGGGCCTTTATTTGTGCTTAGTTCTGCTTGTAGGTAATGATAACTTCAGGGTGGACCAAAGCCTACTTCGAGCCTCAAGTGCAGGTCGTCCATCAAGCAATTCTCAAACTCTGACTGATTTACCACAACCAAATGAGGATGAGTCGGATTACAATGAAATCCGTAATCCACTGGTTGCCAGAACGTCAAATATTGTCACTGACCCAGTTGGTAGAATGCGTGCGTATATCATTGCTTCTCCGACTCCACCACTGACGCATTCCTAGGCTGGCTTGGTCCCTCCTCGACATGGGCATACAGCCGTCACGTTATACTCATGATGTGGAAGCATCTTGGGCAATATGAAGAGAACAACACTTCTCCCCGAGTAGACGCGCAAGCTATTTCGCTCGACTGGCCCTCGGTCTGCCAGATCGACACTCCAACTCGTGCCAGTATTCCATCATTCGATCATGCTAAATATCTTACCAGTACCGTAGAGTTCCATCTCTGTCAAACATACCATTTGTTTGATGTAGCACCCTTTAAGGTAAGACTGAATGAGCTTTATAGACAAGAGGTGTCAACCGTACAAAAGACAAGTTCGAACTTATGGTACATCCATTTTCTTCTTGTCATGGCCCTAGGGAAAGCTCTTTTGGCACCAGTAGACGTGTCCGACTATCCTGCTGGCAAAGATCTCTTTACACAGGCGCTGGAGCTACTTCCGAATGCTCATGGTCTGTATCAGGATCCGTTGCAGTCCATCGAGATACTCTGTTGTCTTGCTTTATATTTACAATCCGTGGACCACCGGAATAGCGCTTACCTATATGTCAGTGATATGGAGCCTCCTTTTGTCGAGGTATTCTTGTATGACTGACCGACTAAAACAGATCGGACAAGCCGTTAGAATTGCATTGTCGCAAGGCCTACATCGGGAACGTTCGGTAGATCATCTCAGCAGTGAGGAAATGCATCGATCTCGCTGCATATGGTGGACTGTGTACATGCTTGATTGCAAATTCGCCTCTTCTATGGGCGCTCCGATCTCAGCTCGGGATAGCGATATCACCGTGGAACTTCCTCAACCCAGAGACACAACAGAGACATTTGATGATTTTAACGCTCATGTAGCATTGACACGGATTTTCGCAAAGATCTTGAGCAGTATGATGCTATCCGACGTATTGATAAAAGTTGAGCTGACACCCATTGTAGCAATTTACAGCGCAAATGGCAGGCTCGACCGTCCTCTCATCAAAAGCATTCAGCAAGTTCTCAGGGAGCTGGCTCAGCTATCGGATCAAATGGCCACCAAGTTCGAATTTAGAATCGGTGAATCTAATCCCACGTCAAGAGTTTCAGCAACGTTGAACCTATTTTATCATCAGGTTGGTATTAACAAGGCATTCTTGTACGCAACCGATGCTAAAAGCTTTTTTGAAGTGCGTAGTACTAGCAATTCGGCCCATCCTCGTTCATCTCCTCGAAGATCTCCTCAAAGTTCGTCGCCACACGGTTCAAGAGCTTGCAACCCCCATCAAAGCACTTTTAAAAACCGCATACGAGTCGGCAAGCAGATCTCTTCGTATTCTATCGCATCTGCAATCGCAACATCTGCTGGAAACCTTTCTCCCCTTTGATCTCGAACAGACTTTCTCCTCTGCGTTTGTTCTCACGCTGATGTCTGCTCTTCCTGGTCATCCCCATCGCCTCAATGAAGAATACGTACATAGCGCATTCAAAGTCATCGATGCGATGATTCACCACGGGAACGTCGTAGCACGCTTCCGCAGAGAGGACCTCCAGGAGTTACAGAAGGCAATGAGTCAGTGCTTAGTGGAGATCCATGGGTCCGATGATACGCCTAGGGAGGCCAGGGATGAAGATACCACGATTACATCAAGAGAGGCGTGGGAGGGATTAGAGGCTGATTACAATCTGTCAAGCGACCAATTCCCGAATCTCCATGATTCACTAGATATGGAATCTGATCAGATGACCTACATTGACGATTTTCTTAGCTGGGAACCGGCAGTATTGGAACATTCAGCTAATCAGCTCGCGACTGACTGGCTATGGGCTCATACTGGAACAGGGCCGATAGCAGAGTAGTATTACCTTATCGGAGTTATCTTGCCACTTTTCAGATACTGTACGATCGAGCCTAGTTTAGGTGGCGGGTCTCGAAACCGAAGCTATTTGGCCTGGTCAATTTCGGGTTCCTCGCCCGAGGCTGGCGTCGGTGCAAGCATAGTGAGCTAGCGGAAACTCCAACCGCGCTGCAAACTCTGGGGCCCCAGAGTCTCAGGCGAGTTGCTTTCTGATAAGGACTTTGATGAGGAGAGATACTCATGGATCTAGAATGTATTTAATATTCCACACAGTGCCGCCCACTGCTTCCTCATCCTCAGCCTACAGCAAAGTCATTGACGGACAGCTTAGTACAAAATGGACGAGAAAAAGGTAGACTATGAGTATCCGGAAATCTCACAGCCGCCTACCCTGGAAAATGGCACTTTAGAGGCAACAGATCACGTCGCTGGACACGATCTCCATCAGCAGCTAGAAAGTCGTCACGTAGTCATGATTGCGTTAGGCGGTGCCTTGGGAACCGGCCTGTTGATTGGAACGTAAGTTCGGTTTTCTAGCAATGTACATGAATTCGAAATGTTAACTCCCTTCTCTAGTGGTTCTGCACTTGTCAAGGCTGGACCTGCTGGTATCTTGATCGACTATTCCATCGTGGGAGCTGTGATTTTTCTCATCATGTCTGCACTTGGAGAAATGGTTTCTTACATGCCTAACTCCAAGGGTTTTGGAGGATACGCAACTCGTTTCGTCGACCCTGCCCTTGGATTCGCGACTGGCTACGCATACTTTTTCAAGTACCTCCTAGCAACACCAAACCAACTCTCCGCCTTTGCCCTCATCATGAAGTTTTGGGTGGGAAACCGTGTCAATCCAGCTGTCTTCATTACAGTCGCGTTGCTTCTCATCATTCTCATCAACAGCGTCAACGTCAAAGTGTTTGGCGAATTCGAATTCTGGCTCTCTTCTCTCAAGATGCTGATCATGGTCGGTGTGATTCTCCTTCTCCTAGTCCTGGCTCTAGGCGGTGGACCAACTGGCGACCGACCTGGTTTCCGATACTGGAGCGAGCCTGGAGCATTCAACGAATACAAGATACACGGTCCGACTGGACGCCTACTCGGGGTGTGGAGCGCCATGGTGACAGCAGTATATGCGTTCTCGGGAACCGAGCTTGTGGGCATCACTGTCGGCGAAGCCAAACACCCACGCCTCAGCATGCCCAAGGCTGTGAGGCTTACGTTCTATCGGATCCTGTTCTTCTACATACTCTCTGTCTTCTTACTTGGCATGGTAGTTCCTTACAACAGCAAAGAGCTAGCCTTCGCTGCAGGCGCAAAGACGTCGGCTGCCGCGTCTCCCTTCGTTGTTGCTATCAACCTTGCTAGAATTCGAGGACTGGACCACGTCATAAACGGATGTCTGGTGATTTTCGTCTTCTCCGCAGCAAACTCTGATCTCTACATTGCTTCTCGCACGCTCTTCGGTATTGCCGCTGATGGCAAAGCTCCCCATATATTCACACGCACGACCAAACAGGGCGTCCCGTTCGTATGCATTGGACTGTGCAGCTTATTCTGCGGCCTGGCATATCTGTCCGCGAGCACAAGCTCCGCGGTCGTGTTTGGTTACCTGACCAATGTTGTCACTGTCTTCGGTAAGGAACCAAAACTTATCCACTGTTCGTGATAGCGAAGCGACATACTAACATCTCAACAGGGATGCTAACTTGGATATCAATCGTTGTCTCCCACATCTTCTTCGTCCGAGCTCGTACCGCTCAATCCATCGACCCGGCATACATTCCATATCGCGCACCACTAGGCATTACTGGATCATACATCGCGCTTGGGTTCCTCATTCTCGTCACGCTCACAAAAGGCGCTGAAGTGTTCGTGCGAGGGTTCGACAGCAGAAACTTTGTGGTCCAGTATATCGGAATCCCGGTGTATTTAACTTGCATCTTTGGCTACAAGATGCTGATGAGGTCCCACAAAGTAGGGAAAGCAGAGGCGGATCTGAGGACGGGCGTTCCTACGGAGACCGTGAAGGAAGAGAGGGAGAGGTTTGAGCGAGATAGGCGGGAGAGGGAGGAGGCAATGCCTGGCGGAGGGATTTGGAGGAAGGTTTATCGTAGGTCTTTGGCGTGGCTGTTTTGATGGGCACGGCTACAGAGGACGTTCTGTGTTCAAGGCGAAGGAAATAAGAATATTAGGAAGTGCAAGAATAAGAGATTTATTACAGAATCCATCATTTATATCATCAGTACTTTTTCTACCGTCTCAATATCTCTACTTACCCATCTTGGGACTATGATTGGACCCTATTTGATGTTCCCATCTGAAGTTGGGCCCCACCACCATCTGGTCACCCACCAGATCGTCAACCTCAACCCCGTCCCGAGTAGCTAACCCTTGCTAAAAAGATTGGCAAAAAAGAAATCAAAAAACATACCACAGCGGGGATTCGCTGATGGTCACCCACTCAACTACTAGTCCGCCGGTACATTGCTTAAGTATGGCTGAGCGAACGGGAAGCCCTGTTTTCAATGTCCAATGGTCGTATGTGAAAGAATTAGCACATTGTTCGAACTATGTAGCTGCTTCAAACGGGTGTAGGTGAGGGACGGTAAAAGGGCTCCTTGCTAGTTAGTTTACTTAGGTCGATGCAATGCTACTGCTCGCGCAGAACTCTTCTATAGGAACAACAGGTGCCTAAATGGCACGGTAATGAGGATCGTTGACTTCAAAGAGCAGACAGAGGTCTGTAAACCAGTGGAAATATGAAGTGTTTTCCATAGGAATACACGCCAACAAAGTAAGCATCGGAATTGTCTGCGCATTTCGGTCTATATAGTCCACATCATCGTGTTTAAGCACTCGAAGTTTCACGTGTCGACTACGTTGCGTCCAGAGTGCCGATTATGTCAGTATACCAGTGACTCACGAAAGTATCTCATCCAGTGCAGACACCAGCGTGGGTTTCGTGTACCAGGGTGTGTTGGGAGAGAGTTCTATGATATTCTCATTTCGCTGGATACTTGGAATGATAGGAATGCTACATTACGTTAATGTTTGTCAAAGTACGTTATAACCTGTGATTACGCACCCCTCGGTTGGAATATCGAGTTCTTGGAGTTTGGCTCCCAAATTCTCGACCAATTGATTATATACGCTTTCCGACCACCGAAAGTCATTACTAGGCAACATTAGCAAATTGGCCGCAAAAGGCAGGATGGACATGAGGGATGGCATACGAGGTTCTGACGAAGACGGCTGCTTTTTTCTGTGCAAAGAATGTTACTGAATCCTTGAGCTGATCAGTGGTACTCTTGACGAAAAAGCTATCGGATGCCTGAGACGGTGGTGTCACAACGAGAATAAGGCCATCAGCTTTGAGGAGCTGGTCTTGAAAGATGTCAGCGATATGAGCACAATGATACAACTTCTTTCGATGAACGAGCGATGCTTGGAAGACCTTGAACAGTAATTCTGTGCCGCGGAGTGTAAAAGTACAGTTCCTTGTTCGTGTTTTTCAATTCACGAGCAGCATCGGCATATGAATCGATGCCCTTCTCCTGCAACTTCCCAAGCATAATCAAGTCGATACCACCAAGCTACTATCTGTAAGCTAAGATGTCCACAATTACTATTGTTTGAGGGTAGCGTACCATGTAGATCAAGCTTCCCGTGGTTGCATCGCCTCCAGCTCCGATGATAGCTATAGTTTTATGGATCGGGCCGCTGCCGTTAGCCATAGCAAAGTGCCTTCGTAAAGACTCTGGTTCATAAGCTGGTGTTTTGAAAGAAGTCCAAAGTTCGAATCCAAATGTTGTTACGGCAGGGTTCAGCCGCGTCGTGGTGAATGCATGAATGGTACGAGGTATGGTGCGATGACAGAATCAGTGTTAGCCTTCCTTCCCCACTATGAGGACCGCGGACACAGTTACAGTGTTCCATGCGGCGTAGTCCTTGGCGTATAGGCTCCCCTAAGCGCCCGGACTAGTGCGGGGCGTCTGTGACAGTTGCTGCCGTTCCTACATATTTCAACTTGTTTCGGACGACAGTAATTCTACTCTGCTTCCAAAAACTCCTTTTCGTGCGATCTGACAATCTCGCTCTACCCTCGAACGCCATGCAGAATTTGCGCAAAACGCTACGGAAGTTGAAACGAAAAGAGCTCGTTCCTGATGTGAGCTCCTTGAACCAATAACTTAAGCAAGTACGGGACGAGCCGCTAACACTAATCACGCCCCAAGCCTCCACAGGAACGTTCATTGGAGATTCCCCCACCTGCCACAACACGCACGAAAGAGTACGGACTCTTTTCTCTCAGTAAAAATGAGGGACACGACGACTCGAAAGACCTTCTAGAGGTGGACATAGTGGCCATCCATGGCCTGAATGGGAACGCCTACACGACATGGCAGCATGAAAACGGGGTACTTTGGTTGCGAGACCTGCTTCCAAGCTGCCTTCCGGGGTCTCGGGTATTCACTTATGGATACCCATCTGAGGTCTTCTGCAGTAATTCGGTTGCCACGTTGCGCGATTACTCTCGAAATCTCCTGAGCTCTCTCGCTACCCTGAGTGAGGACAAACAGCGTCCGATAATATTTGTCTGCCATAGTCTTGGGGGAATAGTGTGTAAGCAGGTAAGTGCCTGGTCGATACCATATTCATGGCGAGAGTCTGACTTATCCCGAGGCTCTTGTATTGGCACATGAAGATGACCGCCTGTATGGCGATATACTCTCCGCTGCTTCAGCTATCGTGTTTTTTGGCACTCCACATCGTGGTTCTGCGACAGCTGATATTGGGAAGATTGTGGGAAAGATTGTCAATGTGTGTCTGCGCGCTTCGCAGACCACTCGCATAGCTGGATCGATACGTGATGACCTTCTCACAACCCTAGGCTCCAACTCTCAAGCATTAGGCGATCTCGCGACCTCGTCTCGAAATCGCCTGAGGAACATGGACATCGTGACCTTCCACGAAACCGAGACCATGCCCGGGTTATCTGAATTGGTAAGATTGCATACAGACCGCACAATCAAAACCAACGCCTAACAGCCTTGTTCTAGGTCGTTGATCAAAAATCCGCCATAATGGAAATTCCTGATGAGGCTATAATACCACTCTATGCGAATCATAGAACCATGTGTCGTTTTGGGGCGGAGACGGATGATGGCTTCCGCTCTGCTCTCAACGCCATAAAACGACTGGCCAGAACAGCCCTTGCGAAGCAAGCTATGGCAACAAAGGTGAATAGGGCGTCATCCAACCAATGTATGTGATGATGGGCGGTATCTAGACATTGGCACCAGCTAAGCAGCTGATTAGCTTTAAGCGAAGCTGAAAAGTCTTGCATGGTCCTGCTAAACTCGATCTTTATCGCAGACTACAAAGCACAATTACCACGACCAGTGCAGGGAACCTGCAGCTGGATTCTGGGTCATCCTACATATTTGTCTTGGTCAAATGCCGAAGAAACGAGTTTACTCTGGATCACGGGGGGACCTGGCTGTGGCAAAACGATGCTCTCCGCTTATTTGACAGACAACCTCAGACTAGGTCGTGCTGCCCCTGCCAAACCTCAGGTATTCTTTTTCTTCTGCGACGATAAAGTCAAGTCTCAGAAAGACGCAAACGCTATACTTCGAGGCATCATCTATCAAATCCTACAGCAACATCGAAAACTCATTAAGCATGTGAAGAACCGGTTTGAATATGACGGCCCTGGCCTTGTAAACTCCTTTTCGGCACTTTGGGAATTGCTCCTAAAGATAGCTGCAGAATCAAGGTCAGATACTATCGGAATCATAGTGGATGCAATAGATGAGTGCGAAGAAAAGACGCGCACTGTTCTTTTGAACGCCATACTACAATTCATAAACGAACCCCAGGATATACATCGAAAAGATCAGCTCTCCATTAAATTTATGATTACAAGCCGGCCATCACTTGGAAACTCGTACAACCTTACCGGACTGAAGAATAAATTTGAAATCGAGGCAAACCAAGGTAATATCAGTGAGGATATAAAGTTGGTCATTCAAAGCAAGATTGGCGACATTGCGAACAAGTTTCATTTTGATGACGAAACGCAAATCTATTTAGAACAACTTCTATACTCTAAGTCTGACCAGAGCTTTCTCTGGTTGAATATGGTGCTCCACAGTTTGGAAGGAAGCCGAAAAGCATCGAAGAAACATTTTGAACGAATCATCAACACATTCCCCGAAAATCTTCAGGCTACGTATGCAAGATTCTTATGCGAGATCGCATCTCAAGATCGAGAAGACGCTACAAAATTGCTACGATTGCTTATTGGGAGCTCGAGACACTTAACGTTGACGGAGATGAACACTGCCTTCACAGTTGATCAAGACCACAATTCTATTGCCGACGTGACAGATGACTTGCAACACCACATTCGCTCAACATTACACAACATAGTGGGATCTTTCGTCCGCATAAAAGACGACAATCAACATTCAGACGAGCATTCGAAAGTTGCGCTAATACACCAAACCGCAAAAGAATTCTTGACGGATCTTGCGCTCCACTCGACCGACAAGTCAGTACACGGTCTCGCGATTCCATTAGCAGATGCAGCACTATGCATATGTGAATCGTGTATGCGTTATCTTCTCCTGCAGGAATTTCAATCGGATCTTTTCACTTCAGAACGCAGAAGTTTCGAGACTAGCTCGTCCAACTCAAACCCTTCGCTCCCCTTCGCAGACTTCGACCCGGAAGGCCTAGACGGTCCTCTTAATCTAGACGGTCCTCTTGGTCTAGACGATCATCTTGGCCTGGACAATTTCTTCAAGGACACTCACACTATGGCTAAGGAGAAATGCATTCTGATTGCTCAGGAGTATAAGTTCTTTGATTATTCCGCAATTCATTGGGCTGAGCACTACTCGCTATGTGAAGACATAGCCCCAAAGCCTCTCCGACAAGCAGCTCATCAATTGTTAGCAAGTCGCAGCTGCGTGCTGACAAATTGGCTGAAATACTACTGGGTTCGAAAAAACATACAGTACCCCTTTCCAGATAATTTCGAGACCGTCGAGGTGGCAGCATTCTTCAACTTAACCGTTCTGCTCACTGAGACATTGGAAAAATCAGAGCTCAGTAGTGGAGATAAAATCAATAGCGAAGATACAATAAATCGGGCGTTATTCTGGGCGGCGAGAATGTCTTCGTTAGGCTCGATTAAAGTCTTGCTTCAGCACGGTGCGGATTCTAATGGCGTTGGTTTTGATCGGCAGACACCCTTGACGATTTCTGCGCAGTACGGACATCTGGATGCTGTTGTGATACTTCTTAATGAGCCAAGGATAAAAGTCACTCAGAAGGCGAAATCTACAAGATCAGCACTATCGTTCGCAGCAGGAAATGGGCATTTGGAAGTTGTTCGAGCGTTATTGGAGCACGGAGCACTCACCACGGATGACCAAGATAGCTCATGCTGGACGCCACTATTCTGGGCCGTTCAAGGAGATGACGCAAGCATCGTACAATTGCTACTACAGCAACCATCCATCGACATCAACCAAGTCGATAAATCGGGACGTTCGGTACTATCTTGGGCCGCAGGGGAAGGAGCTCGAAACGCCCTAAAGGTCCTCCTTCGACATCCCTCCATCGACCTCAATCTTCGAGATCACAAAGGGCGCTCTCCACTTTCGTGGGCTGCGGGCAATGGTCAAAGAGAAGTGGTTAGTACTTTGATGCACAAAACAGGAATTGACAAAGGCACGAAAGACAATGACCAGCGCAATGCAATTTCATGGGCGTGTCAAGGCGGCCACACGGATACCCTACGCATTCTGCTCAAGAACAATTGTGGCGGCGAGGACGACTTGGATGCTGACACCTGGACGCCACTTCTATGGGCGCTCTTCAACCATTCCCCTTTGACGGTGGAAGCGCTTCTCTCGACTCGCCGTGTTCAAATTGACCGTCAAGACCGTGAAGGTCGCACGGCATTGTATTGGGCTGCGAACTACGGATTTCTAGAGGTGGTTCAGGTACTGGTATCGTGGAATGCGGATCTGCAAGTCAAGACCTGTGAAGGACGCACGGCTATAGAAGTTGCCAGGTTGCAAGGGCATACTGAGGTGTGTGAATATCTGGAGATTCAACAGGAAAGAGAAGCACGAAAGGTTGCAGGGCTGTAAGCCATGCACCACCACTCCTCTTCAGCGCCAGGGTCTTTGTGGTGATGCCACAATTACCATGAGTTGGAAGCCCTGCGGACAAGCTTCCCAGAAAGCGAGAAGGGCTGGAATCTTATATTTCTGTTGTCGGTGTTTCAGTGCACCTAGTTAAGTCCATGCAGGTTTCTAATCCTAAAACATCTTGCATTGGAGCTCTAGACTCGAATAATGCCAGTATTCGCTCATACAACCAATCTCGTTTCAAAGGAATGTCAACATCCTCATTCCCACCCTCCTCTCATACTTCGTCTTCTTTGCCCCAGCACTTAAATGTTACTACCTCGTTCATAGACATAAGTGGGATTAGTCATTATAACGTTGGCAGCAGTACAAAAGCAGAGAAATATGCAAGTCCTTGATAAACAATAGTAGCAAGCCATAGAAATTCCCGCGCTAATGTGTCGTCATTTGGATGAACGGCGCATTTCAAAAAAAGAAGAAGAGAAGAGAAGAGAGAGCTGCATTGAGTTACATCGTATATGGATCGTGTGGTATAGCGTGGCATTATCTCACGTCCTTCAGTAGCCTCCCGTAGGGTATGATCATTGATGGACGCCCGAGTACTCCTATCAGGCCCATAAGGAGACAAGTGTGCTTTCAGTTTTTGCTGCTCTGCTTACATATAGAGCTTCTCAAGTTTTCTAGTGAGTAACAGGAGAGATCGGTTTCGCACCTGTGCGGGCGCTTGTATTATTCCCGGTAGGGAAATAGTCGACTAGCTGCGGCTGGTAGATAGCACTGGCCGGGAATGCCAAGTCATTAGAGTAAGAGCTACTAGGGACATCGTATACGGAGTTTCCCTGTGCTGCGTAGTATTCACCATCAAAACGACCGAAACTAAGAAGTGCTGTGAAAAACCCAATTGCATTACCAATCATAAATATATGGGTTCCGAAGATAGGAAAGACATCATGTAGAGAAAACCGCATTGGATTGATTTTTCCCAGGACCATTACTCACCTCGCATATTAGCTCTTTGAATCTGAGTATTTGAACCGCGAGATTCGCTATCATTTTCGCCCATTATCTTTGATGGTTAAATTGGAAACATGACTTACGGTATCTCGTAATTTTCAGTAGGATAACAAGTTTCAATCCCATTTCCGACCCTCTATAGGAGGCTCTCGGGAGTACGTCGGGCTGGCTGGGGCTACTACTTTGGCACATATACTTTTAGAGTACAGTCAATGTTGAACCAACAGGTCTATCTGTAGCGGGTCCAGTGGAGTAAAGCTTCCTCTCAGAGCAAAGATGCCGAGTACCCGACCAACGAGAAACAGATTATCAAGAAGTCTCTCCGGTCTCTTGAGCTCTTCGATGCAACGGCCCTTCCTAGCTACTCTTTGGTTTCTATGCATGGAATAAACGGCTCCTCCGCGCATGTATTATTGTTGGCACTTGTCGTGAAAATTGGAGGTGTGCTGCACTTCGTATGAAAACCGCTATTGTAATACAGCAAACGGCAAATGGCTAGAATCTTCCGGAGTCTTATTCCCGCATGTTGCAATCGAATTAATAATGCAGCAGGTACACAGTAGGATGATGAAGTTACAATTTGTACCTGAAACTAATCCATTTGATCCATAGAGATCCTCCGTCCTCGACACGAGGATCTAGAGAACAGGGTACGATGAAAGTGAGGTGGAAGACTCTGCCACCTTGCATCTTCCCATTCCCATGCGGTCTTGAATGAATCATGCATTTGTATTGAGTTAACATTTAATAAAAAGACGGACTTTTCATCGTTCTCCGCCGTCGAAGGCCGCCTCTCCCGCCATTATGTCTCGATTCCCCTGAAAGAAAGACATGGCTTCGTATCGGCAGACAAGATAGACATCAACACTAGTTCCCCACCTCTACGCTCTTCTCTGGCATTAGTCCCGGAAGTTCTCTGTTTGATTGATCTGACTAGCTGCTTCACTAGAAGATTTGTTGGTGAGGCTCGGAACGGACACAAACTTACAGTGCAGCCTTTAACGTACAGAGGCTGGCGCGTCGGGTTGGCCCCTTGCTGGTATTTCATGCCCACAACAGTGCATTCGCGAGATTTTATCGCAAAGAGTTAAGACTGTTTATTGGCTACAATGCACTCTTGATCTAGGTACAGAAGGTGCGTGAAGCTAGCATGTGGCCACCCCGACGTGCCAACCCTCTGTGCATTAAAAAACCAGGGATGCGTGTTGCAACATCACTATGTTATATTTAAGGATATATATTAGCACCTTCTCACGTCTCACATCCTATTGATACAACTGTTTCACGCTTGGTTGCTTTTTCGATGGTCTCGGACAACCCGTTCGTCGTTAATGATGGAAAAGTACAAACACACGCACTGAAATATTGAGAGCGAGACACTGATTTATCGCGTCAACCATGAGCCTTATCATAGTTTGTCAGTCTATACCCCTACCCCTAGTCCTAGGACCACTTGAAAGAGATGTCTCAAATGTGGCGACGCCAGTGTTCACCGTTAACTGCGCCACCAAGTCCTTACAGAACCGGCAGGTCGCCAAGAGACAAGTGCATCTCATTTTGAAGGCTCTATGCATACGAGTAGTAAAATAGGTGGGTCGACAGTGACACTGATGACGTCTGAGTTTCCGTCCTTGGGGACCGGTCGTGGTCCTATTCGGACCTACCAAGTGTGGCTATTTGCGAAAAGGGGCAACCGGCGACTGATGGACACGCACTTCCCCATTAAAGTGCTCGTAGAACTGTATGATCGCAGGCCCAGTATTTTACCATCCAAGTATTGTGGTCATTTCTCACCAAACTGCCTTGTAAGGTAAACGCTGAAAGGGCTATCGAACTATGCCGAGTGGAAAAGATCTTCATGCGAAGGCGAAAGCGCTCGAAGATCGACCTGTAGCGTTCTCGTTTTAACACTACGCAATCAATTGATACATACATATAACTCATTATCTCCTGATTTAAGAAATCATGGACTTTTATTTGCTTCTAATGCTGCTGCCTGACAGCCATTGTGCAACCAAGCGGGACTGTTTGAGATCGCATTCCTATTGTATCTGGACAAAAGGGTAGATGCAGCTTGAGATACGCATATTGCAGTATGAACACCTCCTATTCTAGAGGCAAAGTGAGCAAGCCAAGTAAGCATATGCCACGAGATACTTACCATGTAGAACACCGCACTAATGATCACCTTCCAGCATGCAGAGCGACAAAAAGCATACAGGTAGTTAATGGCAAAAACTACAAAGACCAAGGACAATTTTCCAGTGAGTACGTATTTTTAGTCACTCTGAAAGGCTTACCCCTACGCTGCTAAGTGGTCCTAGTGTGCAACCGATTCCCTGGAGCAAGGATTGCCTGCAAAATATCAAAGGCTTTCCAACGGGTTCTGAAAAAAAATCTTGTAATCATGGTGCGTTGGAAGTTTTAAATCATCAGGATGCTTCAGTAAGACCGGAAAATTCTATACCCAGCATAACCTTACGCTTGAGTACGCAATCACTGTTTGAAGGGAGAACTGCGATGTACGCTCAGTTCAAGAATGCCCAAGAACTATTGCAAAATTTTGTCTCTAACGATCCACTGATCAATACGGACAAGAAATATGAGGCAGCTTTAATAGCTTTGAAGGATAATTTGAGTGAAACAAATCACCAACCTTGTACGTTGGACGACAAACATCCATTTCGGAGAACGAATCATCATCAGTGTTCCGGGTTAGAGCGGCCACCCTGGGAAGCCGTACTCGAAGTTCTCGAAAAAACCATATGCAAGTGTCCCTGTTCGACATTTTGCCTAGTCCTCTAATAATTTCCCAGCCTTTCCATCCGTTTGGTTGGCGATCGACTTTCCTTTTCTTAGCTTCAATCTACTTATTGGGATCTTTCAGAAAGTTTATTGTTCCCCTGAAGAATGCCCGGCAATACGACGTGTACATTTGTATGCCATACTATATGTATGTAACTGTTTCAATATTCTACTATGTTCATTATGTCTTTAACTTACGAACTGCTGGACAGAATCTTTTCTCTGAATCTGCCTATTATAGGCTTTCGGACGCTACCAAACAGGCGCGCTTACGCAAGTACACCGACCAATGCAAGCGCCAACTAGAAATTGCTATAGGTCAACTCGACATAAGCATATCGCCAACGTTCCAGAATACAGTAGCTCTTCTACTAGCCGCCCTCTACGCAGTCGAGTCGGGCCAATCTCGTCTATGTTGGGCCATGAACTCCCAAGCAGCTGCACTGTGTCAGCGGCTCGGCTATCATCGCATATGTACCATGCTCGATGATGATGAAATAACACGAAAGTCTAAAATAAATATCTTCTGGTCGGTCTACATCTTGGACAAGATACTTTCGCTCCGTCTGGGGCATGCATCTATCATACAGGATTGGGACATTTCCTTGCCCTTCTTCCCGGATAACATATGCGTTACAAATAAAAGACTCGATGGAAAGGTTACGAGAGGCCAGGCCATCATCGTATATGCAATAAGGATCGCTCAGATTCAAGGGCAATTGTACGAAAAGCTATTCAGTCCCGCAGCCTTGTCCAAGTCTGAAAGCGAACGCTCCACCATTGCTAAACAGCTTTTGAATGCCTTGGATCAAGCATGGATAGATCGAGCGAATATCAGTATTCTTGACTTGGCTGCGGAGTCACCATGTGTCCTGGAATCAAAGCAAAAGATGGCAATAATACAGTTGTTATCGATAGCCGGCACAAAGAGGAGAAAGAAGCACTCCTTTTCTTTTTTCTATCCCGAGGAACCCTGGGATAACGATACATCAATGCTCAACGAAAATCAGACACCACCTGGACATGTGATGCTAAGGGGATTGAATACAATCGATGAACTGCAACATCTGGAGGATCTGTATCATCATCGCGATGCCGTAGTTCATCACGCAACACGTACGTTGATCCAAAAGGCTGCGAGTTATGATAGTATCACGTCTAGCACACAATGTTTGGCATCTGCCCGAAAGGCCCTTGCTGCTCATCAGAGATGCAGTGATAAATTCAACATCGATGGCGTCGAACAATTGTGGCGTAGATATCTGCAATGGTAAGTTGCACATCGGAATCCCAATTTCTGATTTGACATTTGCTATCATCAGTTTTATTTATCTTATTGCTTCTTCACGGCCGATGGGCTTATATTGGGATAATTAGGTCTATTCTCCAAGCACCGTGTACGTCTTTTATTGTCATCTTCTGGAACACCATTTTGACCTGCGATACTGCCGATCTTTCAATTTTATCCAATTTGGTCACCTCTCTGGACACAGTCCGCCAGAACTATAACGATTTAGATCAATCGTATAGTATGCTCGCACTGCTCCTACACATTGCAAGACTCTATGTCGATGCCAAACAAAAAGGCACCCCTCAAATAGCAGATATAAGCTCTAGTTCTACTGGTCGCCTTATATCTAAATCTCCTGAACCTTCCACTCCGTCCACCACACCCTCAAGAGAATGGGCCGAGAGAAATACTCATACACATTTTGATCATTACTCAAAAGTGTCAAGACCAGTTTCTACTCAGAATTTGGAGCCACCCCGGTCCACCGTTGCAGAGGAAAGCATTATGCTACAAAGTCCGCAATCTATGTCTACAAACGAGGCAGATTTATCCATCACAAACCAATCAGATGTACCATTAAATCTCGCTATACCTAGTCCAATGGGTGCGGACGCCAATAATATGTTTGGCATGAATGGGTCAACAGCGTTCCTGTCACCCGAATCGCCAGAGTGGTTCTCCACAAATGGATACTTCCCGAGCCTGGTACAGCAAGGTTATATCAATCCTTCCGAACTCGGTTATGGCAGTTACGAACAATAACCAGGGCCCGTTCTCAGTGACATATCAGTCATGAGAAAGTCTTCCAGATATGGTGATATGTAGAACCTTGATGGAGGATTTATGCAACAGGACAATCAACCTTACCAATGGCGTATTAGATCGGGGGCGAATCATCCTCTTTCCCAGATCTGAATATCTGCGCTATAATTATAGTACCCGAGTGGCGAACCTCTCTTCATGAAATCGTTGGGACCATTCACTGGCTTGAGATCTCTTTTATAGGCATCAGGGCTCTGCATAAATTTCATCAGAAAGGTATAGGTTATTTCATAGCGGAAGATGGAGCCCTTTCAGGCTCTTTTCAAAATACCAAAGAATTACATTAAAGACTGAGCAGTTTTCCATTTACAATCAGCTAGACATGTTGATCTCAAAACTACCTCAATTTCCATCTGCTGCCCTGTTCGCTGGCTTCAAGCCCAACATGAAGTACATTGGAGTGAACATGTGTTGCTTTCCCGCCTCTGCGATGCAATCGCCACCGTGAATCATCTCTTTGGCCATCTTTGCAGTTCCTTTCCTGGCTACTCCAGCGAGCTCGAGCAACCTGATGACAATGTCCAATCCTACCCGGCCAGGCTTCGTCATCCTCACTACCAAAAGTTAGCATTTGTGATTGATAAACGACACCCCGCCACTTACCTACGCGGAACCAATCCGCTACACTCTGCGCATACTTTGTCTCGCCATCGCAGAAGTACCACCATGGGAGGGGATCCTCGTGCTCGGCCAGATTTTCAGCTACTTCAAGAGTAAAACCTGCAACCTTAATGGCATCGCTAGCCTCGGCAGACGTACGAATGCATGCAATTCCATTGCCACGTTCCATACCAGCACGTAGGTACACATGTTGAGGGTTACCTGGGTCAAACTTGTCGGCCATCATAACCCATTCGTACACCCCAAAACGTCCGCCTGGCTTGAGGACACGGTAGATTTCGGTGTACACCCCGACAAGCGATGGCGCATGGACAGTAGCCTCAATGACGTATACTACGTCGAAAGTATTGTCGGGGAATGGCAGTTTCTATATCTTGAATCAGACATCGTTGATTGGAATAACAGCCATGACCATGCAGCTTACCATGAAGTCCGCCTCCACGAACTCTAGCACATCTTCACCAACACCTTCCTTCTTTGCAAAGTCTTTCCCAACTTCGATCTGGTGAGCATTAACATTCAATCCAATGACCTTGCAGTCAGTAAAAGTAGCGATTTCCTTAGCAGGTCCACCAATACCACACCCAACATCCAAAACCTTCATTCCAGGCTTGATCTCGAGGCGTTTGGCCATAAAATGCTCGTGACGTGCCATGGCTTGAGCCATCGGCTCCCGGCCGCGAGGGTAGCGGCAAAAGTGAAAGGATTGACCCCAACCCTCTAGGTAGAAGTCAGTTGAATTGTCGTAGAAGCTGTACTCCATTAGCGCACTCATTTCGCAGCTCGGAAATACCTACTCGTTTGCAAGACTGACATAATTCTCTTTCCTGCGCTCACGGCCTTCAATATCCTGAGGATCGTTGTTGGGGTTGGAGGCCTTCGCAAAGTGTTTCAAATAATCAGATGAATCTGCTCTTCTTCTCCTGGATTCGCCATTTGATTCTGAAGCCATTACGTCGATTCTATGATGCTTGCTGGAGCTGAAAGTTGTTAGTGTTAGGTGGGATGGGCTTTATTGCAATCAACACTGTTTACTATGCCACCCTTGTGTAACCATATTCTTCCAGCTAACACTCGCCCCACCATGCAACAAATTGCCTTGCGTGCCTCCCCGTTCTTTGCAGGGGTTCAAGTTTGAATCAAAATCGATAAATTCTGTGTAATCCCCGAACCGAACGTCTGGGTCCATGCTGTAGGCTGACGGCTATATGTATGTAAATGCGGAGCGCCGGCGCAGTTGAGATTTAGTGCTTACATTCATGCAGCCAACATGGCGAGGCCAAATCAATTGAACTTGGAACGTTCGTCCCTCGTTTTGAGCATCTGTGAGCAATGCATCAGGCCAATAGACTGCCATCATACTGGTTCCATGTAAGTACCAATCATCGAATGATTCCCAAAAGACCCAATCCAATCTTATGTTCCATATTTATGCTATTCTTTGGAGGTCTTCGAGCCTTTCAGATACAATAATTGATGAAATCCAAGAAATCGAGCATCCTTGAATCACCAATCAACCTGAAGGCGGCTAAGCTGGACCCCTAACATTTCCATTCGTACGGTTTGCAAGCTCAACATTAGGACAGAGACAATATTACTCTCGTCGCCTCATAATTCGGAAACCAACTTTCCCAACAGGTAGTTGCACGCCAGGTCCGTAGCTTCTTTCATCCATTCTCCATGTCTCCTCGCTTCCAGTTATCTGGATATCAAAGGTCTGCAAAATGGTAACAAAACAAGATAATATCTGCTTTTTCGCAATATGTCGGCCGGGACAGGCACGTGGTCCACCACCATACGGAATCCAGGATGCAGAGAGGCCTTCAAGAGAGAATGTGAGTCCCAGATTGGGTTGGGTAGTAGCGTATAAGTCGCTCTTCGTTCCTTTACCCTTTTGCGTCGATCAGAGAGTATCTCGATATGCTGGATTTAGGGGTCCACTGAGGGGATCGTGATGGTGTACGAGAAAGCGCTCTGCCCAAAAGGTGTTCAGAGGATACAGTCCGTCGTAGGTATTCCAGACATCGTTGTCTTGGTGTGCTGGATGAGTAGAGGCCAGACAGATCTTGTTACGGGGGATGACCCACTTCTTTCCAAGTTCGACTGACCTGTGAGGAAATCGACGCGTTATGTAAGCTTCAGTTCTAAGTCGTAGTGTTTCAGCGTATATTGACTGAATAAGTGCAAACTGAGAGGGCTCGTTCATGATCAATTGCGCCGAGATCTGCGAGAGCGGCTCTTTTACAACCGTAAGCAGGGAAGGGCATCGATAGGTTTCTAAAACCATCCAAAAGATCGAAATGATGAAATTGTAGTTTGAGCTACACACATAAATCAGCTAACACTAAAGGCAATATGGGTGGATACATACACCCAAATGATTCCGAGATATAAACTCGCTATCGTATCATCGTCAAATCCATTAAGAGCTAGAAATTTCGCGTGCCATTTCTTGACTTTTGTTGCTGTCCAGTAGACATTCTTGTCGGTCATTTCCCCTTTGACAACGCGCATCTGCCATTCCTTCAACGCGGCGAGTATTCTAGCTCGGGCGGCATGAGCCTTTCGGATTGTCCATTTCGGAAAGGGGCGATAAAATCCGTACATATGATGACTAAAGCACCAAAAGTCCTCACAAAAGCTTGGTAGAATTTCGAAGATACAAGATCCGTACGATATCTCCATGTTTGCTTTCAATAGTTCCATTTCGAGAAACCCCAACAAGTCTTCTTTTTCTGACCACTGATAGCCAATGTGAATCTCTGCGAAGCGACTTTGGATGCGTGCCAGAAAGCGTGGGGCCAGCTCCATAGAAGCATCGCTAAGCAGAAATTCCTTCAAAACCTGATGCGTGATATAATCGATGCGACTATTAGGATGTACATTGCTAGCCGGGTGCGGCTTTGATGCGAAACCGGAGTCATCGTTTGCGTAGAGGGATTCCGCCTTGCCTGGCATTCCAAAGATTCGACCAAAATAGAACCCATGCAGCTCTGTAGAGCTCGAGTGTCCCGATAATTTCCATAACGTTTCGAGACTCTCGGGGCCACGAATGAGATAAATATTGCCGAACAGGAGTGGCACCTTGTTTGGCACAAAAGCACCATTATGTCGACTATTCCAATGTTACAGTAGAACCTATACTAAGCAACCGGGTTACATACCTAGTCTTCATCATAAATTTTCTGGCACGAAATATGAGCTCAAAGGTATTGATAAGACCCGATAGCAAACCGTGACTTCTAAGTGGAATTTGAGGTTCCTCATCGCGTACAGTCCGTTTCCTCAAGGTATGAAGAACAACGATTGCAGAGAATGCAAAGACAAACAAAGGTAATATGTAAATAGGCCAAAGTTTAGTCCAAAACATCATGAATTCGCTCGACTGGGTGGTTTGTTTGGAAATCTCCCACTCGATCTCATATGTGCATATAAGAAGTGCTAGACTGTTGTGATCGGTACAGATATCTATGAAAGGCGAACATCTCAGAACTTCAGCTGCTGGAGTGGCCACGAAGAATGTCGGGTTTTTTCATGCCAATGCCTATTTGGGCCTCGCAGTGATCTAACCTCATCCTCAAATTGAACCGTTGCCCTTTATTGTGTTCCCAATTTATTTTGCAGCTATTCTTGATGTCGGTCGGAACGGGATGCAGCTAGGCAAAGTTATGCAGGCAAGGGATATACCCGGCCGAAGGTTGCCTTTGCCTCGTAAATCAATCGAAAGCTGTCTTGAGCTATCGGGCCAGCATGGAATGATGCTGAACCTCCTCTCTCAGCCCTTTCCTCTAGTGAAAGACCTCTGAAGGGGTAAACAGTATCCCTCCGTAAATTTTCGCAAGAATACTTTGTACCGTTTTCAATCGTGGCCTCCCTCTCATGCAAATAATGACGGACGAAGTACCTAGCGTGAGGTGTCTATCTGGTTTGACACCTATTCAGCTATCGCAAGATAATATCTGCAATCCTGGGTTCTATTGTATGTATTATTTCATGATGCTCAATCGAAACTTGGTTTTCTCCCATATTTATAGTCCTAGGTCCGAACAACACACAATCAGATCCACCAGAATACTGTCCACCCACGGAGTCATGCCAGTACATCCGTTCTCAAGCTAGCCGCAATATTTGCCCAGGACCTCAAGGTTTCTTTGAGCCTAGTCTGTGCCCACCAGGGAAATACTGCCCAAACAGAGGGAAGGGGCTCTTGCAATGTCCTGTCCACCATTATTGTCCGGAGGGCACCCTGCAACCCATCAAGTGCACAAGTGTTTCGGTCTGCCGCAGTGGCTCGTTTCGCGAATTTGATCTTACGGGTATTGTATTGATTGTGATCATAGACGTGGCATTATACTTTCTATCATGGTAGCTTCAAAGAAGACTGAAGCATAGATCAGCATCTTCTCGACTCAACTGCTGCGAAGAAGATGCACGTGCTGCCAACGTCGTTTGCACCGATGGCGAGCAAGACGACGATTTCGCAAGCCTCAATGCTCGGGAACTCGTAGTCTCAATGTCAAAATGGTCCAGAGATAATCTGCAAGGACTTACATTCGAATATTCGGATTTGAGTTATACAATCCCTCGAGGCAACGTAGAGGTTTTACATTCAATGTCAGGCATCATCCAACAAGAAACACTGCATGCCATAATGGGCGCCTCTGGCGCAGGAAAATGCAAGTTCTCACCAGTCTTTGGGGGCATTACGGCTAATCTGAGTAGCTACGTTTGTTGACCTGGTGATCGGAGGGAAAGAGCCTAAGACAGGTTCTGTGCAAGTCAACGGAGCAAAGATGAAATCTTCTGAGTAAGTCCTCTATCACAAGTGTCAGTCAAGCATACTCAAAACTACTAGTCGCAAGAATTATATTGGATACGTCGCTCAAAACGATGCACTGCTACCGGAACTGACAGTGCGCGAAACCATGATGCACTCTGCGTGCGTACGTCTTCCCAGGTTGTTGTCTGATGCACAACGCTCACGGCATGTTGATCGAATCATCCGGTGTCTGGGATGGGAACATGTTCAACATAATATTATCGGAGATTTCGAAAGCCATGGTCTTTCAGGAGGCGAGTACAAGCGCGCAAGTATAGGCGTTGAGCTCGCAGCCGCGCCACTAGCGTTGTTCTTAGATGAGCCTACCTCAGGTTTAGATTCTACATCGGCTCTTACATTGATCAGATTACTTAGGAAACTTACGCGTGCTGGTATGACAATCGTGGTAATCTTACACCAACCGAGGAAGGAAATTTTCAATTGCTTGGATAGCTTGACACTACTACACCAAGGCAGGCAGATGTACCAAGGTTCGCGGGATAATGTACGAAGTCACTTTGAGAGACTAGGACATGACTTTGCGGGTGCTTCGAATACGGCGGACCTAATCCTGGACATCATTTCCAGTGAGCAGAAGACATTGACCTCCACTAATGAAGAAGCAAAGGGAGAGGAATCGACGAACGACGAGTTCCGAGCTACCTCTCGATGGACAAGATGCAACAATGATGTCAGCAATAGTGGGACCAAATTTCTTCCTCTCTGTCGAGCGAGCTGGATAACACAGTTCTGGCTTTGTCTCGTTCGTTCCTTGAAACAACAACAACGCCGGGCCTCTAGCTTCTACCTAGAGATCGGTGTTGGTGGCATTGCTGGACTCATCATTGGCCTGTCACTGTATTCATACAAGGGCCAGCACATGCAAGGAATTTATCTGTCTCCTTTCGAGCGACTTTCAAGTTCAGCAAACCCGAATACCCCCGCCATGATTGGCCTGATGGTGTGCATGGCTATTGGGCTTGCGGCTTCGCCATCAGGCGTGAAGACTTTTGGAGAGGAGAGTAAGTGCAGCCATGTTAAGATGAGACTCCGCTAAATGATCTATTACAGACATTCTTCAATGCAAAGAAGCGAGTTCCGGGCATAGCCAATCAGCATATTACTTAGGTAAAGTGGTATCGACATTTCCAAGGCTAGCCATATCTGCGCTACATTTTACTTCATTCTACACTATTCTGGCCACGCCTAGAATGACTTACTGGGAAAACTTCAGTATTATCGTTCTTTACTTCTACAGTAACGTCGCACCAGCCTTTTCGAGGTACATAAAGATCTAACAAGTTGCAGCAATCTACGGTCTGGCGTCTTGCTGTTCGTTCATAGTCAGCAGACAAGATGGGCCTCTTATGGCTGTAATTTTGTGCCTTATAGTGAGCGTACTAGGTGGCTACGGACCTTCATTGTATGTGGTGAAACAGTGGCATTTGGAATGGTTGTGGAGGATGTTTCCTGGAGTAAGCTGCACACCTCACTTACAGCTCCATGGAGAAGTAAACATTGACCGAATCCACAGACATGGGCAAGCGAGGCGTACGTCGATCGCACGTTTCGCCGATCAGCTTATCTCTACAACATCAACGGTGCCGCCCAGGCAACGGGTTTTAGCCTCGGCAGATACCACCTAGACATTAGGTGTGTTGTTATCAACCCATTGCATCTTACGCTGACGCATTATACACAGCATGATTTTGTTTTGGGGTCGGTCTATCGAGTCGTAGCCTTCGGTAGCATGCTTGTGAGGAAGCCTTGAGGCAGAATGGTGCACATGTCCCGGTTTAGGAGTAATCGTGTAATGTAGATACATACTGTCGGAATTGCCTTTTTTTCATGTTCGTCAAATCCCATGCTTCACTAAATGCAATATAGAGTGTATGTATGGGTGGATGCACATATCACACACCTTTGACACGCTTCCGTAGAGTAAGTGCAAGTTGCGATGTTCAAAGCATGCAGCACTTACTCTCCTGGGTACCAAGAGATGTTAAGGCAAATGCCCAAAGACTTAAGGCAACTGATGGGGTTTCATCATATATCGAGTCGTTCGGGGGCCATCATTTGAGAAGCCGATGTGTATGCAGCCGGGGCATCTGCAGCACAACAACCTTCAACTTCTTCTGTAACTTGATTCTCTTGCCATTATCAATTCCTACGTTTCAATTTTGTCTCATTTCATCTTTTCCTCACAATGGATCAACTTCCCATGATGCGATTGACGTATGATCTTGCCACTATTTATCGGATCGAGCACGCTGGTAGAGTCAGCCTGCCAGTATCACGAGTGAGTACATCCTCACGATGATAATGAAGTAGGGTGATGTATACTGATCAGTTATGGAAAGACCATCGCCGTCTTCTTCTTTGGCATCGCATGTATCGCTGCCATTGGTAGACTCATAGTCTGCCTAACCATCAGACGCCGCCTGTATTTTGACGATTACGTGCTGTTCTTTGGTTTAGCCTCCCTTGGAGCGGCTATGGGAGTATACATCAAATTCAGCTGGCTCATATACGTTCTGAATATCATCAAATATGATCCAACAGTAATACCGACCGTTTCTGATCTGCAAGACATTATGAACGCTCAGGCGATCAACTACTCTCTCATGGCGCTTATGTGGTCAGCAATATTTCCAGTGAAGCTCTGTTTTCTCATCACTTTCAAGGTGTTAATATTAAACATGAGCCAAAGAATCGTCGTTTGGTACTGGACTACGCTTACGCTCGTCTTTTTGGTTTGGGGCTTCTTGATCACAGAGTCCTTCATTATATGCCCTTACACGGGGGATGCACTTCGTACGTACTTAATGAAGCTTTTAGTAGGAGATGAGCTGATTAAATATAGTGCAGCACTGCACACCTGAAACGCCATACAAACTCACAATCGCAGGCAACTGGTTCGCGTTTGTCTTCGACGCCATCACGGACCTGATGAGTGAGTTTACTTCTCATTGATACAGGTCATAGTACGTACTAACTCAATCGAAGTCGTTGCTATTCCCGTCTACATACTACGAAATGTTCGCATCAGACTCACCCAAAAGGTTGCCATTGCTTCATTTCTTTGCCTCTCGTCGGCAATGGTAGTTCTCGCAATCGTGCGTCTCAGTCTCAGCCGGTACAAGGGCTGGGGAGACTTGGCTACACAATACATCTTACTCTTTATTGAGGCATGTGTCGCTATTACGATGGCTTCAGTAGCAGCATATCGGGCTGTGTTTGTTGAGCACAGCCGCCAACGCGACCGCGAAGAACAGGCTCTGCCGGAAGAACAGAGACGCGTGCACCATATCAATGGCAAACACTTCCAGCTGAAAGAAATACCTGCGGATAGTCTTTCAGGCCGCGTGAAGCAACTGAGACAGGATCATGAAGGAAGGTACCTGGAACGCCCGAAGACGGGTGGTCCAAACCTGAGCACGGTCTTGAGTTTCGTGCAGAAAGTGGGTAGAGGAGAAAGTCATGTTACAGGAGCATCGACGCATAATTTGAATAGCGTGGGTAGTATCGATGACTCAACGAAACGAAAAGATAGTATCATTTAGAGTCCAGTGGACCTCCAGCCATAGTCACGCCCTTGGTGTTAGTTGGTAGACTTCTGATGTTGCATCTTTCGTCTTCCACTCCAGACAACATCTCTCCCTCGTTATTATGGAATTTCTATCATTACGTTCAGGAACATAGCGGAAGGCTTCAATTTGGAATAGTAATTATCTAAACTACGACCGTCTTTCAATTGCGACTCATGATTAATAATCACCTTTGAAAAATGACAGAGTCCAGTCAATCTTCTTTCGCTTCGGTTTTCGTTGATGCCTGTGGACTTCGCCTTCTAAGATCTTTTACATGCAAAAATCATCTCTACATGAGGTTTTGATATTACTCGCAGTGTTTCATGCAATTTGAAGGACCAAATGAGTGGGGTCTAAGTTTTTGCTCCAGATATGAATAGAGCATGATGATGCGAGGACTACGCCTGCGCCTGCTGCAAGACTATTCCTGGTATTGGGCACGCTTACGGATAATCAATGAAGTGTGTTGATTTTTCGCATCGAAATAGCAAGGCTGCATCTCTTGCTAGGCAAGCGTCAGGATAATGAAATAAGTGCGTTGCCTTATTATACATTAATTCAACAAGCAGTGAAACATCCAGCGACGCATTCATGTTAGTATTTGTCCGTAGATCTGCATGTGTGAAGATCTCTACAAGGCGCAGTTGAAGGCAAATATCATCCACGTATGCTATCATCGAGTTTGAGGGTCAAGATTTAAGGCAATCTTTGTTACTCAGAACCTGTCCCCATACCATCTGGCCCAACATCAATATTACATTGGCAATGGTTGCACGGCAGCTATTAGACTATACTCTGAGTGCTCTCTAAGAATGAACTATGTGCAAATGGAAAAAATGATCAGGGGATGATCAGGGGCATTTTCTGCCTGTGCTTTAGAGCAAAGCAGATGGTGAAGCATAAAATATGACCTTGTAAGTGTCTGATTGAAAATTTCTACGTTCACCATTTTATTTGTATAAAACGTTGACTTCCTTATTAGTTGTCACTTGTCGATCTATCAAGCCGTATACAACTATGGAGTATCTCTATTATTTGGCGGCTTCCCTTACTGTTGCGCTTTTAGTTCGTTCTAAATTGAAGAGAAACGAAGCTTACGCGAGTGGTCCAGTACCATGGCCACTTGTGGGGAATATATGGACTCTTTTCAGACTACATACAGATACTGAACGAGTCCTAGCAAGGCTTGGGAGGGAGTATGGTGACTTGACGATGCTATGGATCGGGAATTGGCCAGCTATGGTAATCAATTCCTGTGAAACTGCCCACGATATCCTACACAAGGTTTGTAGCGCACCTGATTCTTTAGTACTTACTCATGCACCGACAGGATGGAGCAAAAACGGCATCTAGGCCAACTCACAACGACTTACGCATCAGAGCTGGCCGTGGACGACTAGTCCTCACTCCTGCTGGTCCAGATTTTGTCAAGCTCCGCAAGGTTTATCATGCACTACTCAACTCAGGTGACCAAAAGAAATCCATCAGCGTGGTTGAGGCCGAATCCATCCTATTCCTTTCGGAGCTACTCAATGCACCACACACGTTCTACGAATCGTGCGAGAGATATGTGCTGAGTATTATCTTCACTTCGGTATATGGTACTCGGTTGAAGACAGTCCACAACGAAGTCGTCGCGGGCCTATTCCGAGTTTGGGATGTGATGTTGAAATGTGATTAGATTTCCCATGAACTGGAAAGCCTATTCTGACGTTCGCCAGATTTCCAACCAGGTACTGTGTTGCCTGACTTCCTTCCCTCACTCTTCCGGCTTCCATATTGGGCACAGCCGTGGAAGGTACTATCCGATCGACTGATTGGTAGCGAGCTTGCAATACATGATACTTTCATATCACGCATCAGGGAATTGTCAGATCAGGGTATAGCTCCAGAGTGCTACTGTAGAACACTTTTGGAGCAAAAGGAGAACTATAAGATTGATGATGAACAGCTGCGGGGTGTTCTTGCCATGATCATAGGTGCTGGTTCAGATACTACAGGTTCAGTCATTCAATCATTCTTCAAGGTCATGGCGCTGTACCCTGAAGTTGTTGCACAAGCACAGCAAGGTATGCTTCACTGCACTACTGTTGAGCGGTGCTTCGACACGTAGAATACATGACTGACGCACCATACAGAGTTGGATGAAGTAGTCGGCCGCTCTCGGCTGCCATCATTGGAAGACCAACCCAACCTTCCGTACATTCGAGCAGTGATTAAGGAAGTACGCCGTTGGGCACCCATCGGATGCATTGGAATCCCTCACGCCGCCACGGAAAGCTTTTCGCACAATGGCCGTTTGATACCGAAAGGTACAATAATTTTTCCAAACTTGGTGACTTTGAACCGTGACCCTTCACGGTATGTCGATCCAGATAAGTTCGATCCTTCTCGGTTCTTCGATGACCCAAACAACGCGTCTGCATGTGCCGTACATGCCGACTGGAAGCAGAGAGATCATTTCCATTATGGTTTCGGGCGCCGTCTTTGTCCGGGAGTGGACATGGGTGAACTGAGTTTGTTCATCGCCGTTTCTCGGATCCTGTGGGCGTTCGACATTCGCAAGAATGCAAATTGCAAGCTGGACATGTTTGAAAAGATTTGTAAGTTTTTAAGAGTGGCGCATTTATACTGCAGCCTTCTATGAAATAGATAAACTAATGCAAGGATCGTAGATGGACTTGCCACGAAGCCGAAGCCATTCCTGGTGGACGTCATCGTTAGGGATAACGACGCACGACGAATTATTGAGGACATGAATTTAAGAATTAGTACAGAGGGTAGTAGTGGTCTCGATATGTAGATAGACTGATATTTGGTAGGGAGGGCTTGATCTCAATTTGTGGAATAAATTCTTTTCTTAGAGTAGTCAATCAATAGCCGTAGGACAAGTGGTTACTAGTACGATCACCACGTAAATACATCTTTGTATCTTGTAAATAATCTTATATTATTTAATATTGAGATATAATAGAAATATTGCGAAGACTTAAGAAATGTTTCTGATGGCTTGTTATTCTGCCCTCCGTAATGTCTCTGTAGTCAATTAAATAACCTCACAAGCCTTCCCAGCACTATTTCCTGCTTCCCCCTTGGGTGAGAGTGAATGATAGTCTACGATAAGTAAGAGACTTGCGATAAGCGAGTTCTGCCCTACAAGGCGACAACCGCCCGTCTCCGAGGTTGACTTTCCCGATTTGGGCGGAAAGTGCCCGTAGTACAAGGCCACGTGACTTGGCGTTGAGGCAACAGCGCGATTTAGCAACCAACTTCCTACGGGCGGCAGGCTTGCAGAACTTTTTCCCTTTGTCGCTGTCGATTTATTTCTTCCTTTCTCCAATTCGACGACATGGACTGATCCAACTAACTTTCGTCTAGTGATTGTCGACTTAAACAAAAGCAAAAAGAGAATTCGCCACCCAAAAAGCGTGAGACCGCGAGCAGGCGAACGCGACCCAATCGATCAGCACGCGGAATCTTCAGGGGTGTGTGGCCAATTGTCCCACCTGGACTGAACACCATAGGCTAGTGCTCCTTCCCACCTTTTCACTCTCTCACTCTCTCTCCGGCACAACTGCGTTCTACTTTGTCACTCCGATAGTGCTTGTATTCCCCATCGCAGCTGTGTTGGCAATCCTTTGAATCACCTCTCTTGTCGTCGTTGACCTCGCTTCCACTTATCGTTCCATACAATGGCGCGGGGTGGCAGCAGGCGCTCTCTTCGCGGGCTAAATGCTAACAACACTCAAGACGTAGACATCACCCAGGTAGATTCACCTGAATCTGGCACAGGTATGTTTTCCAGTGAAATCATTCGATTCCTTCACTTCACCCTCGCCTGCACGGACTAATACTTACTTATATCGACCAGCTTCACTCGGCACCTCCACAAAAGCTCAAAGGAGCACAACAACCCGCAACTCTACCGGCAGGCGAACACGTACCTCTCGCATCACCGTAGCAAACTCTTCTGACGAGGAAGACACCGAGGCTATCGAACCAACCGAAACTACACTCGCTCCAAGCCGACAGCTTCTCAAGGAAGTCCGCATTCCTATCATGGCTCCCAAGAAGAGTGTCGTACCCTCACGTCCAAGGCTTCCGGTCGCGAATGGCTTCATGAACGATGCAGAAAGCTCATTGGACTCGCACTCCTTCGACAATTCCGATTACGAGACCCCCGGTACAAGCATATCTACAACTCCCGCTCTACCATTAGGTCGCGGACGTCCAACACGCAAGAGCGGTCTCAGTGAGCTCAATGAACCCCTGAGCACGTCCTCCCGGAAGCGATCTCGGATTGTTATTGCAGACTCTGAGGATGAAGGTGGTGAAGATGCAATGGATATGTCTCTTGACGCACAGTTGGCCAGGCAGATTCAAAAGGAAGAATACGCACAGGCAAATAAACGTCAGAAGTCTGGATATGAAGATGGGACTTCTTTCGTCGTCGATGATGATGATGATGATGATGATCTTAGTTCGGTCCCCTCAGAGATTGATGACCTATCTGACGAGCCACTCATGACAAAAGGAAAGGGCAAAGGCAAGGCTAAGGCGACGAAGAAAGCAAAGGGCAAAGGAAAGGCAAAAGTCGAGCAACGGCCCAGGGGTACAACATCTAGAAGGGCAGCATCCTCCAAGCAGCAGAATGGCGATGACTCGGATGCATTCGTGTCGGCTGATGAGCTTTTGTCAGGTGATGAGAGTGTCATACTTGGATCCAGTGGAGTCGAGTATGCTGAGGACGATTATGTCGAAGACAACGATGCTGAAGATGGCGATAATGAGCCACTTATGATTGCATCACAACGATCCAAGACGGACAAAAGGCGGCGTCCAGTCCGTGCAGCCCGAGGCCAAAGGAAGACCAAGACCCTCACTGCCAATGAGAGGAGGGAGAGGGATAACCGATTGGCCAGGTTCGCTCACATCGAGGATAAGTGGGAGCGAAAGAGAGCCATGAATCGTGAACGAGCAGAACAGAATCACCCGAAGCTGCTCAGTATGTGGGACGACCTGGCCAAGATCCCGGTGTTGGAAGTGCAGAAAGCCGAGCAGCCAAAGTCAATCAACAGGCGCCTGAAACCATTCCAACTTGAAGGGCTCAGCTGGCTGAAGCGACAGGAACAGACTGCCTACAAGGGAGGTCTGCTAGGAGATGAAATGGGTATGGGTAAAACCATTCAAGCAGTCTCACTAATCATGTCAGACTACCCAGTCAAAGAGCCTACCCTGGTTGTCGTACCGCCCGTTGCTCTCATGCAATGGACCAACGAGATCCGTGAATACACTGATGGCAAGCTCAATGTGCTTGTGTATCATGGCACGAATGCCAAGTGTAAGAAAATGACTGTCAAAGATCTAAAGAAATTCGACGTCATCATGGTGTCCTACAATAGCCTGGAGTCTTTACATCGCAAGGAGACCAAGGGTTGGAGCCGCGGAGACAATATAATCAAGGAAGCATCGCCTCTTCATGCCATACATTACCACCGCCTCATCCTCGACGAGGCACATAGCATCAAGTCACGCGTCACAGGAGTGGCCAAGGCTTGCTTTGCACTGAAGGGAACTTATAAGTGGTGCTTGTCGGGTACACCTGTACAGAATCGAATCGGAGAGTTCTTCTCCCTTTTGAGGTTCCTGGAGGTCCGCCCTTTTGCAGATTACTTTTGCAGATCTTGCCCTTGTGAACAGCTCCATTGGCAAGTCGATGAGGAATATCTGTGTACTGCTTGTGGTCACGGAATGTCGGAGCATATCTCAGTCTTCAACCAAGAACTTCTCAATCCCATTACAGGCGATGATCCAGAGCTACGTGAAGACGCTCTCACGAAGCTCCACATGATCACCGCCCGTATCATGCTTCGCCGCATGAAGCGGGATCACACCAATTCGATGGAGTTGCCCATGAAGGATATTGTCATTCACAATGAGTTCTTCAGTGCAGTGGAACGAGATTTCTCAACCTCTATCATGACAAACACATCACGCAAGTTCGATACCTATGTCGCACAGGGAGTCATGCTCAATAATTATGCCAACATTTTCGGTTTGATCATGCAAATGCGACAAGTTGCCAACCACCCGGATTTGCTACTAAAGAAGACAGCCGCAGAGGGCAGCCAGAATGTCTTTGTGTGCAATATTTGTGACGAGCCTGCTGAGGACGCCATTCGCTCTCGCTGCCATCACGAATTCTGTCGCGCCTGTGTGAAAGACTTCATGGAGACTTGCGAATCATCCGGCATTGACGCAGATTGCCCGCGCTGCCACATTGGACTCTCGATCGACTTTGAGCAACCGGAACTCGAGCAGGATGAGGAGCAGGTCAAGAAGACATCTATCATCAATCGTATCAAGATGGAGAACTGGACCTCTTCGACCAAGATTGAGATGCTCGTGTACGACCTCTACAAGCTCCGAAGCAAGAAGCAGACCTTGAAGTCTATCGTTTTCAGCCAATTCACGTCCATGTTGCAGCTCATTGAGTGGCGCCTCCGCCGCGCCGGTTTCAACACCGTTATGTTAGATGGCAGCATGACACCTGCCATGCGTCAAAAGAGCATCGAACACTTCATGACGAACCCAGACGTCGAAGTCTTCCTAGTGTCTCTTAAAGCCGGCGGCGTCGCCCTCAACCTGACCGAAGCATCCCGCGTCTTCATCGTAGACCCGTAAGTTCCTTCCCCCCCCCGTCGTCCACCTTTCACTGACTCCAACAAAACAGATGGTGGAACCCAGCCGCAGAATGGCAATCCGCCGACCGCTGCCACCGCATCGGCCAGAAGCGACCCTGCGTCATCACCCGCCTCTGCATCGAAGACAGCGTCGAGTCGCGCATGGTCGCGCTCCAGGAGAAAAAGGCCGCCATGATCGCAGGCACCGTCAATAACGACAAGGTCGCCATGGACCGCCTCAGCCCCGAGGACCTGCAGTTCCTTTTCCGTGGTTCCTGAACAACATTACTCAACAAATAGAGCGGAAAAGAAACTTTTTTCTTCTTTTTCTTCTTGTCTGACTTGTCTAGCAGCAATAAGTGTGTGCTTATTAAAGCAAAAAAGAGTATGGGTGATGTCATGGCAAGCTTGCGGAGTTGTTTCGGGGGAACCGGGTGTATTCTGTATGATACATCATGACTAGTTTTTTCCTTCTTCTCTTACCATTGAGTTTTAGAGGAAAAGAGAGGGGGAGGGAGAGACTATTACGACACACCTATTCACGATACACGATTTTTCTTTGGTAAGGGTTCTAAGGTTTAGGTGTATAGGGGGAATTACCTGTTCATGAAGGAGGAATTTTTTCCATGGGTTGTCTGGCGTATTTCAAGGTCAACCCGTTTACAATGGGTTGTGAGACCTCTTTACGACGGATGGATGCTAGGTACACTTTATGTACGTCGTATGTATAATTCACATGTTTAAATTTTGTACAATGGTTTCAGAAAATCATGGGTGAAGATATTATATTGTTGATTGTTGAGGTTCTGCTGTCCAACGCAACAGCACAGCTCTACGTTAAGTATGGAGAGAGTAGGCGGGCTAAAAACAACATACGAAGTACACAGCAGCGCACTGATTGAATCTGTCAGGTACACCCGGGCAGTCCGAGCAACAAAAAGAAAAGGTTAGTTAAGTACTGTGGTACTGTGTTGCACGAGTTACCTAGGCAAAGGCGAAAAGGCTAAGCGTGACGCATGCATGCAAGATTTCGTAAATCTGTTTTTCCCCAGATTCCGAGAAAAACCTTGGCCAGCCTTTGCTTGCATACCCGAGAGAAGGGGCTGGCTGCTGCGCGTGCAACTCACGTCAACGGGCCGGCTGATCGCAACATGCTTGAACTTTTTCGAGTATCTCCGAGATATAGGGGAATTCGATTTTGCCCATTGCTATTTTAGTTCTTTGGGTGTTATCTTTCCTGTGGGGGGTCTAGCGTGGTTTAGATCCGAGACTCCCTATCTCGATTCTTGGATATCTTAAAGAGACTGGAACGCCTCCATCTTTGATAATTATTTTTGAAGATGCAGTTTGGACAGTTTCGAAAAGATGAAGCAATGAAAAACAGAGTATATAGGCAAATCCGCGGCGTCCGAGGAGAAAGCCGAAGTCGTTATTTGGTTCGGCACTTGGCGGGCCATGTTGTTACGTCAAGGAAACTCTCCCTTTGGTTCGCGTAAGGACGGGAACCTTTTTGGAATTCGATGGATTGATCAGATCGTCATCATCACCGTCCGAGGTGCTTTTTGAGATGTACACATGTATACGATGTCATATACACGGGGCGGTTCTAGGTACTTTCGTAGGTTGATTAGTTGATCGTTGTTTACCGCGCTTGCACAGTATTTGTTAGTTAGCTTGATTGATTTGATTTTCCGCGCTCTCCTTCTCTTTCTGCTGCACTTCCCCGGCACAGGTAAGCCGCGTGCAACCTACCCGTGACCTTGTGATGTTTGATGTACCTTTTTTTGTTACCTTTAGTGTAGTGGTAGTTACATATGTGGATATTGGTGGTAAACCAGTAAGCGTAAGGATTACGTTCGGTCTGCGGGAAGGCTGGACGAAACCCCTTCTTTTTGCGAGTTTACTCCGCTTTCTCTTTCGCTGCCCTGGTGGAGGATGAGTAGCTTCGTTTCTGGTTGTCGCTCGCCGCGTGCGTATGTGCAACGACAGGGTACCTAATTAGTGTTTTTTCCTCTGTCTGACGGAAAAGAAGGTCCTTGTTGTAAATGACGCGAGCGAGTGAGGAGGGGGCGCTGTCTTTTATGGCTCGTTGATATTCCTTCTTCCTGCGTATTATACTTGACCTCTGTCTTCATCAACAACTTAATACCGGTTTACTGTGTCTGTGTCTGTGCCCATTATTGTTTTGTGGCGATTGTTCCTTTCTTTCTGGATACCCTACCACCCGTCTTCGAGTCTTCAACATTGTTGGAAAGCGAAACCTTCTTGTGTTTGTTTTACCATACCAGATTCTTAAAGCTGTACCGTTATATCCGGGTCGTCAAGTTGCTGCATGCATCCTGGTTGCTCGCTCGCCTCCTGATATAATACCTGAGCAAGGTATCTCCGAACGTAATACTCCGGAAGTGTCATCATTGTCGTTGTCGCTGTCGCTGTGCAGCTAGTATTGGGTTAATCCGTGCCATACATACCTCTTTGCTTTTGCCTTGACGGCGGAAAGAAAGGCCGCGATACCTTCACGACAATACTACACTCACCTACTCATTTCCATCGTCTTCTCAGGGAGAGACATACCATCCACGATTCGACATCGTCGCTACCACCACATCAACAACACAATGAAGTCAATAATATCGCGAACCCATGAATGGGACCTCGACATCGACCATTATCTCAATAGGATCATCCCACCATCACCCTTACCCCACTTCCCCAAACCCATAGCGCGGTTCCTGGGGTATAGGAAGAAGCAGAGGCAGGATGTGGGTAACGTGATGGGTGCTTTCTGGTCTTGTTTGGGTGCATTTTGCGGCCTCGCAGTCGTAGCTGCTGTATTCAACAACACGCCGAGTATCAGGGACCACCATGCTCCCTTGATCGCTTCATTCGTAAGTCGTCCCCTTACCTTCATCAACGTGTATCGCCGCAGTGTCCCAAGATAGGAAGGAAAGAGGAAAGAATGTCGCGCTGACTCAATATCCAACAGGGAGCATCCGCAATCCTCGAATACAACACAGTCCGGTCACCACTAGGCCAACCACGCAACGCCCTCCTAGGTCACACCTTCTCCGCCATAATCGGCGTGGGCATCACCAAGTTGTTCAAACTGCACTCGGACTGGGAGTCCATCCAATGGGTCGCGGCCGCGGTGTCGTGCGGCGTTGCCTCAGCGGTGATGCTAATCACCGGGACGGTGCACCCTCCCGGCGGTGCTTCGGCCGTCATCGCTGCCACTGTGCCCGTCTTCACGGAGATGGGGTGGTTCTTCGTCGGGCTCGTCATGTACGGGTGCACGCTGATGCTAGCAGTTGCCTTAGTGCTGAATAACATCCAGAGGCAGTTTCCCCTGTATTGGTGGACGCCGCTGGATCTGCGCAAGGCCAAGGCGAAGGACGTGGAGACTTGGCCTGATGCGAAAGGTGCTCTTGAACAGAGGAGGAAAAACGAGGACGATGATGATGAGACGGTTGAGGGAAGTGAGGATGGTCGGACGGAGATTGGGGAGAAGCAAGGGGAGATTAGCATCTCGGCGTGTGGGGTCTTGGTTCCAAAGGACTTGTCGCTAAATCAGGAGGAGACGAGATTGCTAGAGAGCTTGCGGGACAGGTTAAGGAAGAGAAGGCAAGGGGATGGAGGGGAAAGTGAGAGGAGTCTGGAGATGGTGCAGAGTCGGGGCGCTGCGAGCGATGGTAGTGAGTCGACTCTGGGGCCTTAGGGAGGGAAGGTGCTCCTGGTGATTGTTGAGGTTTCCTTGTTTTAGCGTTTACGGCCTTTGGGATGCTGTGCTTCCATCTCTTTTCTTTTAATTTTTACGAACCCCGTGGGGATCGAGTCCGATATATGGCTGCTGGCTGCTGCTGGGCTTATCTGTATCCACGATGCCCGCGGAGAATGGTTGTTTCCGGGGTTGGGGGACGATATGGTCAACGACCAAGGCAGAAGAACAAAAAGTAATTCATGGCCAAAGGAAAGAATAATTCGAATGCATATTTTTCGAGTGTCGTATCAATTCTATGAAGCAATGAACGTGAGTCCTGTTAATTTATTTTATTTTTTGTGGGAGTGTCTTATTCTTATTGCGTGTGGAATAGAGAGGTGTTAAGGCTGTCGGTAGGGTAGTCCGACCTCGTAGTGTGTGTGGGATTGTCCTTATCTCTGACTTCTCGTGATTCGTCTGGTTATTCGCTCGCCCATATCCACCTCAGTTCCTCCACATCTGATAAGACACCCCTGTAAGACCCATAAGCGTAACAGCAACCATAATTATAATGATAATCATAGGGATTGGAACGGAATGATTTCCTTCTTAATAGTTCCCAAGTTATTGTGAGAATCATAATGGTTAAGGCTGATACATTTCTCAATAATGAAAGAGTCTGTGAAAGTTGACTTCTGATTGGCCTGGATATGTCTTTCCTTGTTACTCTGGGGTTTGATTGAAATGGTGAGCTCTGATTGGTCAAATCTACTGTGGCGAAGGACTTACCCAGTATTACCGAAAAATGCTGGGACCGGCGTTTCTCTACGAAGACATAGATTTTTTTGATTTCTTCCTCTTTGTACTATAAGAAATCATTCCTCCCCGACTCAAAGTTTTTCAACACTACTTGTACTTTCCACAATCATTTTGATACCCCTTTTCATCTAGAAAAGAAAAACCAAAATAATACAGATCGTTGTTGCGCGTTTCCCTTAAGGCGCATCTCATCCCGGATTTCTACTTTTTTTTATCGATAGAGGGGTGGCTTAGCGGGGCAACCTGACGTCGGGAGCCAACACTTCGAAATTTCTTTCTTCTAACACGCCGAAGCCCATTCAACCCTTCCCCCATCCTCATCCTACCTACACTCTCTTTTCATCATGGTTTCCGCTTCAAAAGCTGCCCGCCAGGCCAAGCGCGCTGCCGATGGTAAAGAGCCCAAGAAGACCGCCGCTTCCAAGGTTTCCTCCCGTGCCGCCTCCAAGAACGCCTCCAAGGCTTCCTCAGTCGACGGCGACGATGACCGCGCTATTGACCTCGATCTGAACGAGGACGTCAAGAAGCTCCAACTCCAGGAGGACAAGTTCGGTCTCTCTGACCGTGTCACCACTGGTGTGCTCTCCTCCCTCGAAGCCAGCCGCGACGTCAAGATCACCGCCGCCTCCCTCGTGTTCCACGGCCGTGTCCTCTTCAACGATACCACACTCGAAGTCACCTACGGACGTCGATATGGATTGCTCGGTGAGAACGGTTGCGGAAAGTCAACCCTCCTCAAGGCCATCGACAAGCGCGAGTTCCCCTTCCCAGACCACATCGACATCTACCTGTTGAACGAAGGTGCCCCCGCCACCGAGTTGGGTGCCTTGGAATGGGTTGTCCGTGAGGCCGAGAACGAGCTGGCTCGTTTGGAGAAGCTTGCTGAGGACATCCTCGAGAGGGATGGCCCAGAGAGCCCGCTTTTGGATGAATTGTACGAGGTAAGTTGATGCCATCACCCCTATACAGAATTTTCAATGGGCGAATAACTAACTCTCCGACAGCGTCAAGAGAGCATGGATCCCTCCACTTTCCACACCCGTGCATCCCTCATTCTCACTGGTCTCGGTTTCAACAAGAAGACCATCAACAAGAAGACCAAGGACATGTCCGGAGGTTGGCGTATGCGTGTTGCCCTCGGAAAGGCTCTCTTCGTCAAGCCCTCGCTCCTTTTGCTCGATGACCCCACCGCCCATTTGGATCTCGAGGCCTGTGTGTGGTTGGAGGAGTACCTCATGAAGTGGGACCGCACGCTCATCCTCGTCTCCCACTCGATGGATTTCTTGAACGGTGTCTGCACAAACATGATTGACATGCGCATGAAGCAGCTCATCTACTACGGTGGTAACTACGACTCCTACATCAAGACCCGTACCGAGCAGGAAGTCAACCAGATGAAGGCATACGAGAAGCAGCAGGACGAAATCAAGCACATCAAGAAGTTCATTGCTTCTGCCGGTACGTACGCCAACTTGGTCCGACAGGCCAAGTCCCGTCAGAAGATCTTGGACAAGATGGAGGCAGATGGTTTCATCGAGCCCGTCATTCCTGACCGTGTCTTCACTTTCCGTTTCGCCGATGTCGAGAAGCTTCCCCCGCCTGTGTTGTCTCTTGACGACGTCACTTTCTCCTACTCCGGCAAGGCCGAGGACAACCTGTACGAGAACTTGGACTTCGGTGTCGACATGGACTCCCGTACCGCCCTCGTCGGCCCCAACGGTGTTGGTAAATCGACCCTGCTCCGTATTTTCACTGGAAAGCTCTCGCCCACCTCCGGTACCGTCTCTCGCCACACCCACTTGAAGCTCGGCATGTACAGCCAGCACTCTGCCGAGCAGCTTGACCTCACAAAGTCCTCCCTTGACTTCGTCCGTGACAAGTTCTCCCACATCAGCCAGGACTACCAGTACTGGAGACAGCAGCTCGGCCGCTACGGTCTTAGCGGCGAGGGCCAGACAGCCAAGATGGGTACCCTTTCCGAGGGTCAGAAGAGCAGAATCGTGTTCGCTCTGTTGGCCATCGAGAGCCCCAACATGTTGTTGCTCGACGAGCCTACCAACGGTCTCGATATCCCCACTATTGACAGTTTGGCAGATGCCATCAACGCTTTCAGCGGTGGTGTCGTCGTTGTGTCTCACGACTTCAGGTCAGTTTCCCCACGTTCCCTGTCTAGCAGTTCATTACTAACTTTCAACAGATTGCTTGACAAGATTGCAAAGGACATCATGGTGTGCGAGCACAAGACCGTCCGACGATGGGAAGGCAGCATCGGAGAGTACAAGAACCACCTCCGCAAGAAGATGAAGTCCGCTGGTGCTGTTTAAGAGTTTTGTTTTGTTTCTTCTTATTAAAAGCAAAAGTTGTTCTAAAATTGCATTCTGCCTCCCCCAGACACGAGACAGACGCTTGCGAAGGACTTCGAAAGGAATTTGGCCCAGAGGTAGACCCTAGGGATACGACTGCAGGTAGGGCCAGCAGCTCTTCGTGGCCTGCTTCGGACAGTCTTCTGCACTAGTTACATGCTCGGTGGAGACATCTGGATATTCCCGTTGATAACGGGTGCATTGGGGGTTAGAGGAGTTTTATAGAAGTATGATTATGAACAAAAATGACATGCTCATAGAAATTAGATTTTCTGTCTCGAATCTGCCATGTGTCTTGTGTCTTTTGTGACGTACCCAAAAGATGATGTCGAATCTGTGACGCTCGGACCCGGTCCGGAGGTATCGTCGCTAGCCCCGCAAGCTTGACCTCACCTTTAACCTTTGCTCGAGTCGACTTCAACAATACCTCCTCCACAACCCGGACATATGCTTGTCTCGAGACACTTCTACTCCACCCGAGGCGAATAGATTCAGCTCCCAGTCTCTATCCAGAACGAACCTTCCCATCCCATCTTGCCCACCATGGCAGAGCTCACCACCACGAAGCTCAATGCGGAATCGCATCTCCTCCTGGTAAACCAGCCACCACCCACCACTCCCCCCAAACATCCACAAATCTAACAATAACCCCCCCTTCTCAGGACCAACCCCTCCTCCGCATGCCCTACAACCTCTCCCGGCAAAACTTCAAGTCCGCGCAGCGAGTCCTCGAACACAACACGACCTCCATCACGGCCTCGCTCGCCACGACCATGAAAGCCACCTCCAAGCCAGACGCCAAGACGCTCTCCGACATGGACGCCATGATCACGAAGATGCAGACGCTCAAGCGCAAACTCGAGAACCTGCACGAGGAGGAGAAACGGCTGAACCGCGCGAGCAAAGCACGGGTCCAACACCTGCAGGACCTGTACGAAGTGCAGAGCCTGGTGGACGTCAAGTACGACGAGTGGAGCCGGACGAGGCTGTCAAGGCTGCTGGGGGACTACCTGCTGAGGTCGGGGTACACGGATAGTGCGGCGCAGTTAGCGGCGGAGAAGGGGATTGGGGAGTTGGTGGATGTGGATGCGTTTGTGGCGTGTAAGCGGATTGAGAAGAGTTTGACTGAGGGGAGGAGTACGGCGCCCGCGTTGGCGTGGTGTAAGGAGAATGGGCAGTTGTTGAAGAAGATGGGAGGCGGGTTGGAGTTTGAGTTGAGGTTGCAGCAGTATATTGAGCTGGTTAGGCAGGGTCATGAGGCGCTGAGGGGGGATATCGATATGAGTATGGGTGGGTTCGAAGGTGGGGTGCAGGTTGATGTGGACGATGCTGCGGGAGGTGTTTCGACGGGTAGAAGTGTTGGGGAGCAGAAGTTGGTGGAGGCAAGGACACATGCGAAAAAGTTCCTGAGCAGTACGGGCGACTTCGAGATTCTTGGGAAAGCGGCGGGTCTGCTTGCATATCGGCCATGGGACAATGTGGAACCATACGCGGTAAGTCATTATTGCTACCGACTATTTGACGGCCTGTCGTTCATCATACTAACGCAACGAATGCAGTCTCTCTATGCACCCTCACGCTGGTCCTACCTAGCCACCCTCTTCGTCAACACCCACCACAACCTCTTCTCCCTCCCCCCTCGGCCTCTCCTGCACATCGCCCTTAGCGCTGGCCTGTCCGCACTGAAGACGCCGTCCTGCCACTCCGCCTACACATCCTCCTCGTCCAACGCCAATTCCTCCACCTCGGTAGTCTGCCCGATCTGCTCCACCGAACTCAACGAGCTCGCACGCAACGTCCCCTACGCCCACCACACGAAGAGCATCGTGGAGCACGACCCTGTGGTGCTCCCCAACGGCAGGGTGTACGGCCGGCAGACGCTGCAGTCGTTCAACGACAAGGTCGGTACTGAGCCCGGGTGGGTCAAGGATCCGGCCGGGGGCGTCACCGACGAGGAGATCTGGCGAGAGAGCGAGGTCAGGAAGGTGTTTATCATGTAGATTGCCTCCGGGCTTCGTGTGTTGTAACATCCTCGTGTACATTTTCCGGTCCCCTTTTCTCGGTTTAGATCATTGGCCTTCTTTTAGTAATACCAGCGAGGCGTTTTAGGCGGTGGGGATATGGCGGGCAAACGAGCGGCGTCTCGAGCCTAAGTTATCAAATGCAAACTCTTCCTTTCTTTCTCTTCAATCAACCCACCAATTCAATCATCCCCCTCACTCTCACTCCCACTCCCCTTACCCCCCTTCTTCCCCTTCCCCTTCCTCTTCTTCCTCCTCCCCTCGTCCTCACTATCCTCAATCTCCACCTTCTCAAACACAAACATCCTCGCCTCCCTCTCCTCCCCCTTCCACCCGCCACCCCCCTCAATCGCCCCCAACGTCCTCACATGCCCATACCCCGGATACTGCGCCCAGTCGAACCGCCAGCTCTCCACAACCTTGAGCCCACAGTGCCGCGCGAGGTCGCGTATATTCCACAGCGTGTAGGGTTCGCCCTCAAACAACGTCACCACGACCTTGCCCCCCATCCTCAGAAACTCTTTCGTCTCTCCGCCCCTCTTGCGCTTCTTCTTTCCATCTGCGTCGCCTTTCCCCTTCCCTTTCTCGGCGTGTTGTGTCTGCTTCGCAGCGCCCGACGCGTTCTCCGGCGGAAGTTGTAACACGCTCCTAAAGAACCCGACAAGCAGCGCCTGGTTCGCCCTAACCTGGCGATTCACATCCGTGCTCTTCCCGCCGACATGCGGGAACATGAAACCAACCACATCCCAGGCCTCGCCGTCCTCTGCGCGCGCGAGGTGCTTGTAGCTGGACACTTTGGTCGCGTCGACTGAGTGGTGGAGGGGCACGGGGGGCGTGAGGGCTGCGAGGTCGGAAGCTATGGGGGGAAATGTTGGGTATCTGTTGTGAGGTGGGTGATTAGCTGGGGGGGGGTATGTAATGGGGGGGATTGGGGGGGGGTACTTTTCGCGCACTTCGTCCGCGGAGTCGAAGCTTGTCCCTGTGACGGAGGCGCAGCCGTGGGCGATCGCCAGGCTGTGCGTGAAGCTGAAGTCGCCGTCGCCGAGGAGGAGGATGCGGTCGTAGGTGTCGAAGGGGATGGGGTGGTTTTGCTGAGAGGGTTGGTGGTGGTGGTGGTGGTGGTGGTGGGGTTTGGGTGTCGCTGTTGGGTTTGCTGTCGCAGTTGGTGCTTCTGAGGGTGTTTCTTTGGTTTTTGGAGCGGGGTTCTTCTTGGACTGCTGTGTGGGAGTGGGCTTTTGCGGTCGCGATGAGGAGGAGGATTGCTTCGCGAGTTTCTTGTGGTGTTCGCGCTTGGCTTCGCGGCGGCGTTGTTTGGTTTTGGTTTTTGACATTGTTTCGTGGTTAGGTTTTAGTGTTAGTCAGGCAATTGAATAATTGGGTATTTCCAGGTGTCGTTGGTGCAGTGGTGGTGTTGTAAAAAGAGTTATGAGAATTGCAGGATGGATGTTTCTTGCGGAGGATTCCCGCGGGGATTTGCATGTCACAGAAATTATAACGCTCGGACCATACTGGTGGATCCGCCATGGGAATCCTACGAGACTACACTACCACACTTTCCTACCAGCGTTCACATGCTAAGCGAATTGGTCGATGCGAAATGCAGGACACGGTTATGGAGGTTGGGCTCTACATTTGAGTGTAAATTTACATATTCTTCTTCTCGGAGACATTCGAGGTCATTTAGCGATAGGAAAATGCATGATACAGAGATTATCGCGACCGGAAGGGCAGCAGCAGAGTCAACAAACTTTGTGTGTGTGTGTTGTGTGTGGGAGGGAAAATGTATATATCCTTAGACTCGCTCTAACCACATTTCTCAAGACCAAAAGGGGAAATAGATGATGTTCCTGCTCGCACCCACTACTGGCGAGGGTAGTTGTCTATATCAAGTCGCGCTTGACGAACTCATCGTAGAGGGTCTTGCCGAGGGATGCAGGGCTGCGCTCGACGACGACGCCGGCGGCCTCGAGGGCGTTGATCTTGGAGTTGGCGTCACCCTTTCCTCCGCTGACGATGGCACCGGCGTGGCCCATTCTCCTGCCTGGGGGAGCGGAGATACCGGCGATGAAGCTGACGACGGGCTTGTTGGCGGCGTTGTTGGCCTTCAAGAAGTCGGCGGCGTCCTCCTCTGCCGAACCACCGATCTCACCGATCATGATGATACCGTCGGTCTCCTCATCCTCCAAGAAGACCTTGAGGCAGTCGATGAAGTTGGTGCCGGAGAAGGGGTCACCACCGATACCGACGACGAGAGATTGGCCGAGACCTGCCTGAGTGGTCTGGTTGACGGCCTCGTAGGTGAGGGTTCCAGAACGAGAGACGATACCAACGCGGCCACGCTTGTGGATGAATCCGGGCATAATACCAATCTTGCATTGTCCCTGCGGGTGTTGTTAGAGTTGTGTGCGGAGGTGGGATGGCGGACTATGACGTACAGGAGCGATTATACCAGGGCAGTTGGGGCCTACGAGACGGCTCTTGTTCTGGGACTTGAGCATATCTGTGATGCGGACCATGTCTAGTTTTGTTAGAAGGAGTCTAGGGACAGTGGCATTGGCCGTTCGTACCATGTTGGGGAATTCCCTCGGTGATGCTGCAAACGAGATAAGCTTCCTATAGAAATGAAAAGTCCCGGGAAACTTACCAGACGATGAGAGGAATCTCGGAGGTCAAAGCCTCCTCAATACTCTTCGCAGCAAGCGGGGGACTATATTTTTGTTATCATTATGGACACGTCGAGAGAAGCGAGGTTCGTACGGAACGAAGATGGCGGATGCGGTGGCTCCAGTCTGCTTGACACCCTCCTCTACGGTCGCAAAAACGGGCTTGCCGAGATGCTCCTGGCCGGCCTTCTTTGGGTTGGTACCACCGACGACATTTGTGCCTGTGCAAGATCGTCAATTAGGCTTGTCCGAGTTATCGAAATGGGCGGTGGGAGCGGCGCATACCGTAGTCAATGGCCTGTTGGGCGTGGAAGCTATCCGAGTATCAGCATGCGGCGTTCCTTCGGGTTCCCGACTCAATTGACTCACGTTCCCTGCTTTCCAGTGAAGCCCTGGAACAGCACCTTGGTGTCTGCGTTGATGCGGAGGTTCTTGACAGTCTCGCTGTAGGGCGAAGAGCTGGTCGCATAGCTCTGCCTCGAAACGGCGGTGCGGAGCGCGGAGCTCAAAGGTCGTCGGAAGGCCTGCATCGCGACGAGATAGCTCTCACGGAAGCAGTTGTGGTGGAAGGGGGATGAGGTAATGTGGTGGGAGTGGATGGATGGAACGGAGGAGGTGCTGCGACAAGACAAGAAACGCTTAGGTTGGACGTCGTCTACTGTCGGAACTTTGCGTCAATCTAAAACTTTTGGGGGAGCGAAAGGGCAAGGGTTCGGCTCTCGTCTCGTCTGCAAAACCCAACACCACGAAAATGCCTCGCTGCAATATATTTAACTACAAATAATAATAATGACAACCTTCGGGAACCCTCCGATGCGATTGATTATTGAAATCATCTCCATTCGACTCCGAAGTTGATACCGTCTTGGCAATTTTCTTGTGAAGTTGCAGAGAACAATTGACGAAAACCTCCCGGAGTGCTCCGTACGTTGCTCGTTCAGGACGTCTCATTGGGTATCTACGGCCGCGGAGTGCCATCATCTTCGAATTTGAAGATGTCTAAAATAACCAATAATGGTAGATCAACTATCAAATAGATCGGAGTTCCATTTGAAATTGTATTTGATCTTCGTGCTGAGAAACAACCACTGTTGATTTGCCTCGGTCCGCCCACGGATCTGTACCAGGGTTAGAATATATAAAATCAACAGCCATTCCATGTGCTGTGATAGCATTGGTATTGTCTCTTCGAATAAAGTCTTATTTTGGCACTTGAAACATGAAAGCTTGAGCAGACTGCAAAATCACTGAAAGGTGTAACGAAAGCCTTGCATTTTCTGCTTCAGATCATAGACATTCTATCAATTATGCATTTCCTGCTAAGCGTACAATATCAAAGTATTCCCTAATAGCAGCTTCAACTGAAATTATAGTGTCGCTGCAAAATACTTTTCAAATCTAGCACTGCACTGCCATCCAAGGCGAAGGGTTTCAAGAATGCGATATATACCGATGCTTACGTGTTACGGAAACAGAAAGTAGTATTGATATGATTCTCAAAAGCATTGGTCCATACATATACGATTTAAATGGTCTTTGTATATTATTTTGTTTCCCACAATAGCTTCGACGTACTCGATTGTTGCGTACGAGGAGTAATAGTTCAACAGCGAATAGAAGCGAGTGACGTCAATTTATGAAATTAGACCTTGTAGCACAACATGCTTGAAAACAACAACGTATCATATAACAACTACATTTACATTACTATCCATTCGTGACTGTCGCTTTCGAGGTGATGTCGTCAGAACCATCGAGCACCCGAACGAATAGATGTGAAATGGAAGCGCAAGTATTGGAAGCAATATGAGAAACTAACCCAAATCAGCACTAGCTCGAATCGCCACATCTCCAAAAAATCCACCCCACCCGTGACTCCACAACGAGCCTCAATATCAACGACGAAATATCTGTCAAAGGCATATAAACCCCTGCCAAACATGGCGACAATGACCGTCACAGAGACTCGGACGAAGAACCGGTTGCCGAAGAATGTCAAATTGCCCCCGGAGAATGAGCGGTACATGCGGGCATGCGCCGACATTGCCTCAGCACTCATCCAGGACTATGAAGCACAGGCCGACGGCTCCAAGCCGAAGAAGGACTTGAATCTCAATCATTTGCGGGGGCAAATGTCGAAGAAGCATTATCTGAAAAGTCAACCGCCTCTTACAGCAATTATCGCGGCCGTCCCGGAGCATTATAAGAAATATATCTTGCCCAAATTGATCGCCAAGCCAATTCGTACGTTTTGAGCACTGCCTTTTTCGACAACGATCCATTATTCCAAAGTTGAATATAATATACTGATTTGTTTGATAGGAACATCTTCTGGAATTGCTGTAGTAGCGGTTATGTGCAAGCCTCACAGATGTCCACACATTTCATACACAGGTAACATCTGCGTCTACTGCCCAGGTGGCCCGGACTCGGATTTTGAATACTCAACCCAATCATACACTGGATACGAACCAACTTCCATGCGAGCCATTCGAGCTCGCTATGATCCTTACGAGCAAGCCAGAGGTCGAGTCGACCAGATCAAGTCCCTCGGCCACAGCGTCGACAAGGTTGAGTACATCATCATGGGCGGCACATTCATGTCCCTGCCCGAATCATACCGAGACGAATTCATCTCCCAGCTACACAACGCCCTATCCGGTTACCAGACCAAAGACGTCGACGAGGCGGTCTCCGCGGGCGAAATGAGCAACATCAAATGCGTCGGCATCACCATCGAAACCCGACCCGACTACTGCCTCGACACCCACCTCTCCTCCATGCTTCGATACGGCTGCACGCGCCTTGAAATCGGCGTGCAATCCCTCTACGAAGACGTAGCCCGCGACACCAACCGCGGCCACACCGTCGCCGCCGTCGCGAAAACCTTCTGCCTCTCCAAAGACGCCGGCTTCAAAGTCGTCAGCCACATGATGCCGGACCTCCCGAACGTGGGCATGGAGCGCGACCTCGACCAATTCGTCGAATACTTCTCGAACCCGGACTTCCGCACCGACGGCCTGAAAATCTACCCCACCCTCGTCATCCGCGGCACGGGGCTCTACGAACTCTGGCGCACCGGCCGCTACAAAAACTACACGCCCAACGCGCTCATCGACATCGTCGCGCGCATTCTCGCCCTCGTGCCCCCCTGGACCCGCATCTACCGCGTGCAGCGCGACATCCCCATGCCGCTCGTGACGTCGGGCGTCGAGAACGGCAACCTGCGCGAGCTCGCCCTCGCCCGCATGAAAGACTTCGGCACCTCGTGCCGCGACGTCCGCACCCGCGAGGTCGGCATCAACGAGGTGAAGAACAAGATCCGGCCCGACCAGGTCGAGCTCGTGCGCCGCGACTACACGGCCAACGGCGGGTGGGAGACGTTCCTGGCGTACGAGGACCCGAAGCAGGATATCTTGATTGCGCTGCTAAGGCTGCGGCAGTGCTCGACGGAACATACGTTCCGGGAGGAGCTGGTGGGTCAGCCGAGTTCGTTGGTTAGGGAGTTGCATGTTTATGGGTCGGCGGTGCCGGTTCATGCGCGTGACCCGAAGAAGTTTCAGCATCAGGGTTATGGTACGTTGCTCATGGAGGAGGCGGAGAGGATCGCGAGGGAGGAGCATGGAAGTAGGAAGATCAGTGTCATTTCTGGGGTGGGCGTGAGGAGTTATTACGCTAAATTGGGATATTCGCTCGACGGGCCGTACATGAGTAAGACTTTGGAGCCGGAGTGGGAGAGGTGGTAGAGATTGTCAAAGAGCGGGGGTGGATATATGGATGATACGGTGGGCCTTCGTCGCCCATTTGGCGTTATATTGGATGGTAGTCATGCATTGCGGGCGTTCCAAAAATCGACATCTAGAGATACGTATCCCAAGGAAATGGGCTGTTACAGAGTCAACGAAGATTATCAGGGACGACATTTGATAGATCGAAATGTATATTTCATATGTTGCGCTAAGCGGTTATGAATCTACATCCCACCAACAAGAAAAAACAAGAAAGCTCCATGAATCCAAATACACAGGAGCAATGTCGTGTCCGTCAAAACGCCAATAAATATCTAACTAAAAAGTACAGGTGAGGCGAATCCTGGGGAATTATGCATCTCGATGACCGAGGGGAACATCCGATGTTGTCTGCTCAGGTTGACTGAGCTATTGGGATTTCCATCCCGATTCACAGGAGCGCCGTTGTTCCGATTATGTATATAGTTGTTGTTTGGTGCGGCAGGTGACGTTATGGCTACGAGAGAGATATAGCGCCCCGGCGGCTTTCCCGGAGGTGAAGCAAGGCCTGAAGCCCGCAGAAAACGAAGAAACCCTGAACAGGCGAGTCAGCCCAGATTCCCAGTCATACCATCTTTGCTATTTCCTGAGAAACCTACAATGTAAATGAACACAGCTCCGAACACGGCGCCTGCGACAGCGCCGCCATCCGACGGGTCTTCTGTTGAGCCCATCATGGTGTGGTTGTTCGACTATAGTACCCCTCGTTAGCGATTCGTCCAAACGATTTTACATCAATCTTTCCGTTCCATAGAGTGTTCGACGGGATAATATCGAATGGGCCAGGAAGGTATCGAAGACGTACTTTGAATAGCGAGCCGATGATGGACAGAATGATGATCGCGAAGACGGACACGACAACGCTGCATCCACAGTCAGTAATCCGTTGTTCCTCCGAGAGAGCCTGAAGGTATGTCCGCGTACCAAGTCCATGCGTTCATGGCAGAAACAAGTGGCTTGACCATGGTGGGCGACTTCGAGCTATGTCGTCTCGATGGTGGTAGGTATCTTATCGGCAAACCTGTTTGCCTCCAGCTCCTTCCGGTTGAAGAGGTCGCGGCCGAGCGGTGGTGAGAGTCGAAAGCTTGTAGGATTCCTTCGGTCGAGTTGGTGATCGGTGATGCAGTCGCGGAGGATCGGTCGCTGCGATGTGGTCGAGGTTGGAGTTGGATGATGTTACTTGTATGCCTTATGCGATGTCGCGGCTCTTGACTGGGTCGGACATCGAAGCTTGGCATCCTAGCTGTGTTGACGCAAGCATCCAATCACGTGCCACGAATGGGTACCACAGTAGGAGAAGTTACACGTAACTGGTAATCCTTCTGAATTACACACGCAACGTTGACTTGACATTTATGTTGTTGTTATGTGGGAAGCTATTCGTGCCTCGTAGATCAATTAAGTCCTTTCTTTTCTGTAGTAGCTTCCCATCGATTTAATAATATTTAATCTATGATATTGCTATAGCAAGGTTCTGCTCGACCACCCAACTTTTTCCAGCTCATGTCAACCTTAGTTCCAGGACGTGTCCTTCGCGGCGCCCGATGGGACTTTCGCATTGTATGGTCTATTGTCGGAGATAATACACACTCATTCACTACCTTCAAAGCCGTTACAGTGCTTCACAGAAAGGATTGTGATAGTTCTGAAGTGCCTCACTGGTTGGTCATATGCAACACTCTAATTCCTCGTCTGACTATTAATAGGGCTTTGATCAAAGCAGCTCTTGCTAACAACGCAATTACTATCGAGAATCTGGAGCGCGAGCGCCGTATTTATTGCCTATCTGGTGTTGCTTCAGCCAGCTGCTTCTAAAGAATTCACGGTGTCATTGATGCCACAATGAATGCTCTAGAATGGCTTGATACAACCCTGGCAAATCTCAGATACCCAACCTGACCATCACACGTACTATATGACCTTGACTGATCTACACGCAGCATTGAAAAGAACCATTGGTTCTAGGCACAAACGGACATATCGACACTTGCGGTGCCCGTAATCCACAGGCGTGAAGAACCCCATGACCGAGGTCATACACTCGAAGTCACATTACAACGTCTATTTGGGTCTGAGCAAGTGCTACAAAGTTAGGCCATATCGCCTGTTCGAAAGTGACAGAACACCTGAACCCTCACCAAGAGCTTAAGGATCTTCCACGAATCATATTGGTTGTGAGCCCCGGAAGAAGACCCTCGCCGTCATCAGTGTTGACTGATGGATCAAATTTATCTGAAAAGCATGCAACTAGACGCAACAATTGAAAGGTAAATTCTGGATAATAACCACAATAACGATTCAAAGGATAGGCACGTAGGGTTTACCTGTTGCTACGGTTTTAGAGCTTTACATTTGCAAGGTCTAACTAATACCCTTGGATAACTGATTCGGATAACCATTGAAGACACAAAAACCTAGGAGGCACTCAGCCTGACGATCCTGCCCTCTATAAAATCGCGATAATCCATGTGGCGGTCTTATATTTGCACTAAACTTAACGTGTTCAGTCAGGCCCGTTCTGTAAGATTGCCCATGTGAATACAAACTTGGGAATAGCCTAGGCTTTCGCATAAGTGGTTCTGTAGTTTTGTCACAATGACTGCGCTGCAGAATGAATCAGCTATTTCAAACATTGTTCTGCCTAGACTTTAACAGGTGGCCATGTTGGGGTTCGATGGGTTTCTTTCTGCTCGGGAGATATTATTACATATCTAAAGGGCCTGGTCTACGCAAAGTCTAGGACCATTCGAAGCCGGTCCATTCTTATTCAATTCGATCTGTTGGTATCTTAACTTGGCCAGTACAAGGCACGATTTAAATTCAACACTGGCTAACAGCAAGATAGATTACATTAATTCTACATATTTGCAAATATGGGTATATCATAAATCGTAAAAGAAACCACCACCTCAGCCTTGATCCCAAATCAAACCCCACACTTCTCGACCTTTACACCAAACACCGCCGTCATACCCGCCCACTTCGCCCTCCCATCCCCATTATTCAAATCCAGCGCCCTCTCCACCCTCCCCTTCAACATTCTCCTCCTCGGCGACATCATTCCACTCTCCAAGCCCTCGCCCTCCTGCTCACCAGCACTTCCAACCATCCTCTCCGACAAACTAACCAACGACTTAACCCCCACCTTCCCCCTCTCCCTCATGCCCACAGCACCCCAATACAACCCCCCAACCCCCTCCTCCCTCCTCCCCCAAAACGCCTCATCGAACGCCGCGCCCCCATCCGCCGCACTCGCCCTCACAAACCGCAGATACGTCACCACACCCCTAAACAAGTCGTTCATCCTGCAATCCGCCATCTGCCCGTTCGCGCGCCACAGATGCGTCGCGTGGTAGCCGTGCTCCACGTGGCGGAGGTTGCCCAGGTCGCCTACCACCCAGGACGTCGGGGCGGCGGGGGACACGAAGATGTTGGAGGGCTTGACGTCGTCGTGGCAGTAGCCTGCTGCGTGGAGGGTGGAGAGGGAGGCGAGGAGGGAGTGCAGGGTCGGGCGGTAGGTGGAGTCGATTGTGCGGTATGTTGCGATCTTTTCGTTTTCGGCTTGGTTGTTGATGTTGGTGGTTTTGAGGCGTTTGGCTAGGTTGAGGATGTTGCCGGAGGGGAGGAGGGGGGTTACGAGGTGCCATTCTGGTATGGAGGGGTCTGTGGATGCGGCTTTGAAGTACGCTTGTACTGGGAGGAAGGAGGAGGTTGCGTTAGGGTGTGCGTTTGTGCCGCCGAAGATGAGAGAGGCGGGGATCTCGGTGGGCCATTTCTCGCTGCGGAGGCCAGGCGCGCAGTTCCTGAAGGGACTCCGTCCTGGCGTGAAGGTCTTGATGACTGAGTTGTTGAAGATGAATGTTTTGCCTTCGTAGCCTGCGCCCAGGGTACGCCACTGGTCACGGTTCGCGAGGAGGGTTTCTTGTAGTTCTAGCTCTTGCGATGAGGGGATTCGGAAATCCTGGTCTGATTCGTTGAAGTCGGTCGCTGCGTATTTGGCGGCGAGCGAATCTCGACATGCGTGGAAGAGATGTTGTTGATAGAAAAGTCCAACGATGAAAAGAGTGACGCAGACTCGGAATGCCAGCGATTGCCGTGGGCGCAGTCCTATGTATTTCCTAGCCCGGGAGCTGGGAGAGATTGAACGTTCCAAAAGGCGACCCATGATGCGTGACTAGCAATTCCTTTGATTCAGATCTCGAAATGTTGACGTTGACATGTATGTATATTTTAGTACTGTGCCACGGAAGCAAAAACGTTAAGGAGTCAGAAGTATCAAGGAGCCATCAAACCTGTCACAAAAAGCAAGGAGTTCCTGGAAACCTTATTTAAATGTCCACCCACCGCTTCGCACGGCATCATGCACCTCATCATACATAATAATACTTTGGCGCAGTGTCAACTATGGGGGAAAACAGGAACAATACCCACCACCCTCAAGCCACATCCCAGACTTCCGGGTGCCGTTTAAACGAACGACCTCAAAGGCCTTTTAGTCACTGAAAGTAATGACAACAAACATGCAGATCCTGTCCGGTTACGGCACACCGCTAGTCAGTTTCAGGTAATAAACTCGACTTATGGGTGAATGCCCAGATGAGTAAGGGTGAACATTGTAGGAAACGAAAAAGCGCTAGACAGATAATGCTCACTCATCTAACCCGCCAGGCCCGCCCTCGAGAAAGTCGCAAAAACACCATTTCATTGTGGAGACTAGTATTATGAAAAAAAATTCAAAAGTCATAATACCATAATCCCGCCATTTCACACTACTCGCGAAAAGAAAACAATTCACCGCCTTTGTCAAGAAAAAGACGAGTCAATGGCCTTTGCCTTGGAAACCCACACAGGGGCGGGCGCAGCGCGACAAGTTTCGCGACTCACGCGAGCAACTACCTAGCTCGTTCATATGATTCGACGTCGTTGTATGAATCCGATGCAAATGTGTATGTACGTTGATGTCATCCATGGATAATCCCAGAGTCCCCAGCCACAAACCTGCGCGCGCTGGCAGCCCTACGCACGATCCATCCATTCCATCCCTTAGTTACTCGTAGCGACTCAGTCGGTCTCAGCCCATCGTCGCTTGTCACAAGCAATTCATAGGCTTGCCGAGCATTTGCCTATGGAAGCCGGCTATTTTGGCAGGCTGAGGAGGGTTTGATTGGGTTTTGTAGACCAAGAGTGGAAAACAAGGAAATCGCGGTTTGAGAAAACCAGTTCTGGAAATAATTGGAGGCCGGATCATCATCCATGTAAGAAGGAGCCTAGCGCCCGCGAACTGTCTCGGAAGACATGGAAGAGTACTTAGGGATTATTACATTTCCATTCCTCCCTCCATGGTTCAAATTAGGAAATAAGATTGCTGTCATGCATAGCAGAGCATGCCATCATCATCTACTCGACAGACAAAATCGACCGATCAGGAGGTTTGCCATGGGTAGCTGAGATGTTGACAACGTTCAAGCCAGCCAAGTCACCAAGATATTTAACTCGTATATTTTATAGCTATCCACCAGGCAGTGCTATTCTTAACTTGTAGGTACGAACAAATTGTGGATATACACTGCCACCACCAGAACTCGCAACATGATACCTACTCACGCTATTAACGACGAACTTTGTAGTCGCTACGAGGTAGATACAAAGTACCAGACCGAGGGGATCTATTTGTGTACACAGCAGAGTTGCTTGTTAGATGGGCTAGTTCAGCGCGAAAAGGTCGGCAAGAGCCGTGGCAGTGGCTTAGAAGGGACGGACTTGACCCACGCACGCATGCCGAGAATGGGAAAGAAAAGAACATAAACGGTCTCCACTAAGATACGATACTGTGCGAGTCGTAGGGGTAGTATGGTAAAGTGTGGGAAAAATGCAGTGTAGGCGAACGCAAGGTTGGTAAAGCTTATACACAAGCATCCACACACAGCCTCATGCTTCACACATTCACATGTTCGTTTTTGTTATACAAGTAATCAAACATTGGATTGTTTCTACATCGAGCGGCCGGCAAACTATAGTTCGGTTCCAATAACCCTACAGAGCATTCATCGGAACTGCCCTTGACAGTTTGCGAGCCCCCCTGCCCACCTGGTCCTCTTTTTTGCCTTTCATTTTCGAAAAGGGTATCATGATACATATTGTTTGAATCTTTGAAGACAAAGTCCCCCATGCCGTACCCCGGTTCCCATATGTGTGTGTGTGTGTTTGTGTGTCTGTGTACGTGTGTAATAAGACAGGAAATGTGAAAGTGACAAAATAAACGCCAACGCTAATGCATCGTACAAATCGATCCCCAAGGGACAAAGTAGTCGCCCTTCCTTATGCTTTGAAGAAAGAACCAGTATTGATTGAATGGAAAGCCAGTATGGAAAATGGGCGAGTGGATGGAATGTTTCAGTCGACGGCCGATGTCTGCTTAATCGGAAAGCTCAATGGCGTCGTCCTGGGTGCCACCCGGCTGGAACGCATTATTGTTGTTGTTGATGTTTTGCGCTACGCCGTCGAAGCCGTCGTCTTCGTCATATCCTTCTTCGTCTTCCTCATCATATTCTTCTTCACCTTCCTCGTCATCATATTCGTTGTACGTGACAGTAGGGTTTCCATAGTCCTCTTCGCTTTCGTATTCCACGCCATCATCCTCGACATCTTCGTCGTGTTCGGCTTCTTCGTCTCCCTCATCGTCTTCATCACCTTCTTCCTCATCATCGACGTCCTCACCCTCATCAGCGTCGAACATCTCATCTTCCTCATTTCCACTATCCTCATCCATTTCAACCGCCTCATCGTTGATCACCTGAGTCTCATGGCTCAGATCAAACAAATGTGAAGCGGGGATGGGAGACGAAAGATCTAAAGGCTGGGAGGGCTCCACACTCGTTCCGGCGCTGTTGCTGCCACGAGACTGACCGAGATAGTCGAGCACTGCATCGGATCCCTTCCCGTATAGGTGTTGAGGTACGAATCTACTCACACGACCCCAATAGGCTGCTTTGCCCGGGGCGGCCGAAGATCCTGTGCTTTGTCCGAATGACGTTCGACCGAATGATTGTCCAAGCCCTAGATCTGGGACACTACGGCTGTATTCATGCCGTGACTTTAGGGGAGTTCCTTGGCCGTTTTCGTTTCCGTTTCCGTTGGCGGTCAAGATGGAGCGAGCCTCTGCAATAAGGCGGCTGGATCTATCCAAGGTGGTTCCGGCGGCCCGGGGGGGTGTGCCTTGGTCGGGGCGCGCCGTCGAGGCTGAGAACGGTTTGCTGAGTGAATCCCTCACAGCGCGGAAACGGGCGATGCGCTCCTCGTCAGTTGAAGGAGGAGGCAAAGACGCTCGGAGGCCTGGCGTGCCTGAGACGGAGAGTCGAGCGCGTTTCCGTTCAGCAACCTCTCTCTTCTCTTCTTGCTCTTCGGCATCAAAGTCATGGCTGCGCTTGCCATATTTGCTTGGGTCGATTCCTTTGGCCCTGAGCTCGAACCAATCTGTTTCAGTTCGGTCGATCGGCGCCCTCGAGATCTTGTAGACGCTGGTCGTGAGATTGGATGTTCTGGGTCTGCGGGCGACCACCTTCGAAGAGTTTACCGCAGTTTTGCCTCTTCCCCTTGGTTGTGGTTGGATTTTCTTAGCCATCGCTGGCTGTGCTGGCTTCTTGAATCCATCGGCCTTTGCCGGAGCCTGTTCCACCTGCTGTACAGGAGGAGCAGGAACGGAAATTTCATTCTCTTGAGCACCCAACAGCTCGTCCTGATGCTCCTTCAACCAACGTCTTCGGTCTCTTGCTCGACTGGCGCGTTTCCTTTTCAAAACTTGGTTGTACCAGTGATACAAGATTGCACGGATTCGCTCCTTCTGTCTCTGCTGATACATCTCCTCCGCCCTCTTCACCGCCCACTCGTAAGCTAGGAACTGCTTCGCAGGTTTCCACATATGCTTTATCTGATTTTCAATGAATTGCCGCAATAACCCCTGCGTTTCTTCCATGAATATACTGTTAGTAAGTGCCGTGAATGCCGTTTCCTTCTCTTGCCGCACCTGCTCGTTGTGTAGAGCAATGGCCGCCAGACGGTCCCGTTCCTCCTTCTCTCGTTTCTCTTTCTCGAGTCGCTGTGCTCGTTCCCTCTCTTCTCTTGCCTTTTGGAGAAGGCGTTCCTGCTCTTGTCGCCTTCGTATTTCTTCTGCTTCCCGAGCTTTACGTTGCTGTTCCTCTTGCGCCCGCCGGGCCTGTTCCTCCTTGGCTTTTCGTTCGGCTTCTTCTTTGGCTTTCGCCTCTTCTTGATTTGGTGCGAGAGGGGCTGGGGTCGTGTCGTTCTGCTCGGTTTTCCCATTCGGTGTGGCATCCGGGAAGAACGAGAATGGCTTCTTTGTCTCGCTGGCCGGACTTTGTGATGTCGGCTGCGAAAAAAACACGGATCCAGATGCTGGGCCAGAAGAGTTGGCGTCTGTAGCGGCTGAAGTATTTTGAGCTGGGCTTGCAAATGAAAATGCTGGTAGTTGTTGTGGTTTCGTTTCATTTTCCTTATTAGCGTCAAGAGGTTTGAAAGCAAACGGTGTCTTTCCTGCTGGAGCATCTGGTTTGGGGAATGCCGTGGAAGTTGTCGAGGACGGTGTAGATGCAGTACTGGTGAAGAAGCCGGAAGCCGCAGATGGTGAATTGAATTTGATCGAGTTCTTCGATGCATCGAATAAGCCTGGCGTGACCTGTTGGCCTGTGGCTGGACTTGTGGTTTTCTCCTGGCTGAAAGGTGATGTAGTTTGCGGTTGTGCAAAGGCACCTGACGGTTTTCCCCAACTAGATCCTGATGGAGTTCCAAATGGACTTGGTTTTGATGCTGCGGGAGTTGCTTGGGCGGATGCAAATGGATTTGGTTTGGCAGCTGCTGGCGGCGCAAACGGGCTGGCTGTTGGTGCTGATGGTGCAAATGGGCTAGCTGTTGGTGTTGATGGTGCCCCGAATGGATTCTTCGCTGCGGATGCATCCTTGGGCTGGAATGCATTCGCGAAAGGATTGAGTCCAGGCTGTTTGTCGTTCGTGCTCGATGTGAATGCAGAAAACCCATTGGTGATATTTTTGTTGGGTTCTTGTTTGCTAGTAGCCTCAGGTATGAAGAGAGAATCTTCAGCGTCAGTGCCTTTCGACTCCCCTATCAACCCCTTGACCTTCGCTTCTGAAACTGACATGCCTCTTATAACTGCAGATAACATACGGTTGTGGCGCTTAGATTCGACGAGTCTTCGCGAAAATTGCTGAGGTTTCACATCATTTGGTGTCTGCAGGGGCTGGCCAGTCCACGGCACGGAATTGATATCCAAATACTCTTCGCCGCTGGAGTTGGTCTGAAATGAGAAACCGTACATGGTACAGAAATCGTACACTTCGTCTGGCGAATCGAGGCCCAGTACTAGAATCAGTTTCGAAACGGTCCAATCCTCAATCTGCACGACTTGTTTGGCGCTTCCTTGTCTGTAGGCGCGCCATATTGTATCCAGCACGATGTCGCGTATCTTATTGAACACGATCTCTGCTGCGCAAGCCATCAAATAAGACACCGCTGGAGATGCGACCAGATCCCAAAATGCCTGCCAATTCTGTTGCGCCACGGATAGTTTGCGATCCTTCTTGATGATTGCTTTTCCGGCCCGAGATATCTGCAATGCGGTTTGCAGTCTGCGATTCGATAGTAGCGATTCAGGAAGAGAATGGATCTCGTGCTCAATAAGCTCATCGCCAGTATTTAGGCACAAAATCAGCCTGTATGCCTGGAATTCGGCCTCGTTTGGAGATATGATTCCGGCCCTTCGATTATCCCTGTATCTTTCCTTCAACGACATATTCGTTTGGTTGAGCTGATCGAGATCCTGGTACTGGAAGTAGTCGTCGCTGTCCGAGGTACTCATGTGATGCGCACATAGCAGTAGTAGGCGGGCGCATTGTTCGAAACATTCCAGATACATGGTCAGATCTTCCGGCTTGTCGACGGCTTGTGTACGGAGATCCTTGCGCACGGCACGGGTGCGGTCCCAAATCCATTGATACAAGAATTCGAAATCCTCGTTGTCGAGCCGTTCACTCATGTACCGCATTGTTTTCTGTTCACGTTAAAGTTGTACGCGGAGATTGTGTATTGTGGAGACATACAAGACAAGTTGCTGGGGATCGAATATCCGAGACCAATTCAACGTCCATACCAGCTGCTGATCGTTGATACGCCTTCACCATGCGTGCTTCGTCCGGTTTGCGCTCTCTGCGATCGCCCGTTGCCAAGCTCTCAGCGGTCTAGAGCAATTAGTTGAAATCATGACCGTTATCCAATCCACGTACATATTCTGGAGGTTTGAGATCGGCCTCCACGATCCGGCGAACACGTTCGAATTCCGGACACATGTCTTGGCATATGCCGTAAATCTTGACAGCATCACTGAGACGCATAGGCCCGTCAGGGTTCATCCGCCCTTCGTTGATGAAGCGTTTCTTCTCATTGTCGCGATTATCTTTGAGCTATAGTACCTCATCAGCCAAGTATCCCATGCACCACAAGAAGTGTGTGGACATACATGTTTCAATCTCGCAGCGTAGTCGTCTTGCTTGTGGGGAGTCGTATTCGAAATGCCGGCGGAGGATGATCGCAAAGAATTCCTAGTTATAGATTGGTCAGTTCACAGCCAGGGGTCGCGACGAAGAAAAGAACAGCGGATGAGCGAGAAAAAACACGAAAACAACGCTGAACACCAATTGCGAGCTCCATCCATCCAATGCCCGAGTAGCTCAGTCCTCCGACTGACCCCATGATGTCGGGGGGAGCTTCTTCCACTTTGCGATTCATCTCTTTCGCTCGCCAATCTTTATCATATCCGCAGTCCTTCATTCCTCGTAAGTAAAGGGGAGAGGTTCGTACATGTGTCCGCTCTGCCCGCGACTGCTTGTTTTGCCGCCGCGGTCTCCTCCGCGAGCATTTGGTCCGCCTCGAAAGCTTGCGCCGCGAAATCCTCGGTCTGCACCCCGTTGCCCGCGGCTCGAAAAGGTGGTGTTCGAAGTTTCGCCGTCCTTGGTCGATTTGGCTCCATTGAAATTGCCTCGAAAACTGCCTCCGCGATGGGTGGTGCTGGCGCCTCGTCCACCGCGATCGGTTGCTCTACCGCGACGGCCGGACGACATTGTCGCGGTTTGGCGTCTCGTTTCTATGAGATCATGCGCTGTGATGGAGAGCGGTCAGTTGGGATTCAAACAAGTCGATAGAGGGGAAGGCCTCCGAGAGACGCGAACAAAGAGGTCAAAACAGAAGAAACAGGTGGAGGCCGTGGACAAAGGTGAGTTGAAAGATAGCTAGGGCGCAACATTGGAAGCTCGAGAGCGCACGGCCGCCTTCACCAAACAATAGTCTTGGCATTTCGGCGAAATGTATCGCCATAACCTCCGAGGTACCTGTCTCCGATCAACAAGCAAAACGTCACATTTCACAGCAAGAGTCAGAGTTGGTGAAGTTAACAGTGTGATGATTGTGTAAACCGAAATCTTGCGGCCCCTTCGAGCCTAGGTCGTAATTTGAGAATGCTTCTTCTCGCTCTCATTTTCAGCCAGTCCCGCATTTTACTCTGGCTCCTGCCCTCTTTTACAACCACATGCTCTCCCGCCTTTTGAGCCCATTAGCCATTAAATCCCCCCAGTCTCATGTCTCCCACGTGAGACCTCAGCCCATGCGGCTAGATTGATATAAAGAATATCTGATAGAAAACCAAAACCCAGATTTGTGAACGAAACAAGTCAATAGAAGTACACATGCAGCCACTTTTGATAATAACAAACCCGAAATTACAATGTAGAGGCAAAGCCAGGATAATCTCGCCTGAAGGGGGCCAAGTTGACAAGACATCCTAGTAGAATACTTTGCTGTCGTGATATTCCCCTTAAAAGTGTGGAATGGCGATGAGGCAATGTAGGTAACAAAAAAATAGAGGAAAAAGATAAAGAAAGAAGGACGGTTTATAATAAAGATATCCTAGATCGAAGAGCTTTGCTGAAGCAGAGCGGCCGCCCTGGATGGAAGAAGAGGATTGTGCAAGGAAAAAAAAAATCAAAAGTGGTGCGGCGCTTAGGAAAGTGGCAGGAAACGCCAGCTAGGGATGCATGTTGTAGATTTTCGTTATCATAAGCGTCGTTAGAAATTGTGAAGGGTATCCGAAATGAGATCGTGACCATGTTCATTATGAGGATGGGCCCCTCCCAGTGCATCATGGTGGCACATCCTCGAGGTTCGTACGTTGAAAGAATTGCGCGTCGCTAAAAGTGCAGCAAGCGGCTAAAAAAAGTGTGGTAGGTGGAAGAGGTAGTGAGTTTGGTATCTGTTCGTAATGCTCACTGCAATTGTTGTTGTCCGTGACGGTTGAGGGGAAGAAATGGGCCACGTTGCTCCTCCATTGGTCGGGCCATATCCTCAGCAGGGTTAGAATCGAAGGACATGGTGCTCCCGAACGACATCTTGCAGTCCATGGGAGAAGGGACAGGCAGATCCATGTTGGAAATGGGCATTGCACTGTTGAAGATGGGACCCATGTAGTTCTGGCTGCTCATGTCTGTGTAAGTGTTTGTGCATGGTGGCCCCGAGCTCGAGAGACCATGTGTTGAGTTGTGCGGCAGCGTCGAGAAGAACTGAGGCATCTGTTGAGGGTGAAAGTTAGGCGTTGGAGGATAACATTGATCGGCGGTAGGCCATCTCGGCATCACATAGCCCATGCCATTACCATTTCGAACGTACGACTGATACGACTGAAGTTCGTTCATGCTGGGTTCTGGGTACGGGACGTATGAGACTGGAAGTCCATGATATGCCTGGGTTACGGGAATCTCCGAGCTCTGGAAGGTGGGCTGCGGAGGCATTATGGCTGGATGGGCTGCGACTGTGGTCGAGAGGGATAAGGGAGCAAGACCAGCCACCAGTTGTTGCTGTGCGATAGGCAGTGGCACCGTCGAATGCCTTTGGACCGGAGGCTCCGGCTCCGCATCGGGAACAATACGAGGTCGGGGCATACTGGCCCTGCGTACAGGAGGAGGGCTTGGACTGGCACGCGATGACCGGCGACTTTTCGTTCCACTGGTCGACCCGCGTCTGGCCATATTCATTTCGGGGTCCTCGACAGTTTCTGCTGAAGCTGAGTCGCGCTCAGCAATTCGTAGACGCTTCTTTTCTGCAGTTGGCTTGAAAGTGATGGTGCGTTCAGGTCTTGGAATCGACGCCCATGTATGCTGTTTGCCGCGTAGGGAGTCGGGATCTTCATTGGTCTTGCCGTCGTAAAGATCGTAGAAGGCGACGTGGTCTTCGAAGGACTGCGCTGTGTCGAATAGGTCCGGTATTATGATATTCAATGCTCGGGTCTTCATATCAGCATTGTATCGAGAGAAGCCTTTCGTATCTGTCATGCTGGACGAAGTGAAATCACCGAGTGGAGTTACGTTGACACTGTACTCTGCGGTTCTCCTGAGGTCCCGAATCCAGTTGTTACGTGGCTCACCAGTCTCAGGGCTGGTGAAGCGGTGGAGTAGCATTATCTGAGCACCCAACTTCTTTAAAGCTGTACCGAGGTCAGGCAAAATAGCATGAGATGGAAATGGGAAGGGTCTTACGAGCGCTCTCCAGGTGGGAAGGCTCCTCATAGTGGACATCATCTGGCCACCAGGGTGGGCAATGACCCTTTGGGAGTTGGCTAGGGAAACACTTCTTGGAGTACTTTCCGTAGTACTTCCTTCGCTTTGGGGTGACGATGGCAACCCATTCAGTCAAAATCTTACGGATGGGTTTGAGAGTGAGCTCGCTTAGCCGAGTCTCATAGAAAAATCGCAAAGCATCGATATCAGCAATGTAGAAGGTTTGCGTTGGAACTGTCTTGACGATCTTTTCTTTGTCTTCGCATTCGTTGAGCTGAGCTATTGACCGAGTGCGCTTGACGGCCTGCTTGCGTTGTGCTCTGGGTTTTGCTGATGACTTCTTCCGTGACTTTGATTTAGGCGGCTCTGCATTGTCATCATGAGCTTTGGAAAGCTCCTGAATCTTTGAGGGAGCATATGCCTCAGGCCCAAGTACTGGGTCCAAATTGTTAGCAAAGCGACCATTGAGCTACTCGAAAACACTTACCCTTAGCGTTCACGTCTCGTGCCGGTTCTGGTTTGACTGGTAAATCGGCCTGGGGCTTATTCTGCTCGCTGACTACATTATTGAAATCCAGGTGCTCAAAGCCTTTCAGTGACTGCAGGACCAATTTGCCGCGGACGTTGAGGACGCGGCCAACGGGAATGCCCTCGACCTCTTGGTCATCTTCCTGGGTGCAAGGGCTGGGGTTGATGAGCTCCTGTAAAATGATGCAAGATTAGTATATGGACAAGAATGAAGAAAAGGCATATTTGAGAAGTGTTCCAAGGTTGGAATTGTCAAACGGTATCAATGACGGAAGACATGAATGATGAAAGATGAAACGAGATGAGAGGTGGTTGTCGACGTCAACAGGGAGACCCAGGACAGTGGATGAGACGCGGCCGCTAAAGACGGTTCCGTTCCCTCTCCCTCGTGTCGGAAGTCGGGACAGTCGACGGGACGAGGAATTTAGCGGCAAACGTGCTACTTAGCGGGTAACAATGGACCGGAACGTGGGCCGCAAAGGACGTGCACCGCCCAAAATGCTAGCAGAGTCGAAGACCAATGTTGCTATTGATTGAGGCGCAACACGTAACAAGCATCAGTGGTTTGGCGTTGCAATCAACCATCACCAAGGAACGGCGGCCGCGTGTCACAGCGCGCTCACACAATAGGAACCGACCATGAGAAGGATTGTCGGCACACCTAGGCGACATTCAAGAAGGGGCGAATACAAGAATAAAAGAAAAGCAAAGAAAAAGGGGGAGAACAAGACGGCACTAACCTGTCCACCCGTCTCTTCTTCCGTCAACACAAACGGATTCGCCCTTCGCAAAGCCTTCAAGCCGCCCTCACCTCTTCCGAATCGGTGATGGTGGTGGTGGGGTCTCTGAGCTCCTGTGGTCGGCGGCGGCACCGGCTGCTGGTGTTGCTGCTGCTGACCTGATGCCACCATGCTTGCTGCTGCTGCACCTGGCCCTCGCGCCATGATGCTTGCCTGCAACTGGCTGGGCTTGATCAACTAGAGGTAAGATTGCTGAGCCTCAAGAAGAGGAGGAGATGCCAATGCACGCCAATAGACGCCCGTCGTTGACGACGAAGATGGACTTGGGTGCGTTCTGGAAGACTATCAGCCATGAGACCTTTTTACACAAAGAGCGGCGTATGCGAGGGAGCGGGAGATAGGTAATGATGATGCAGGTCAGTCCTGGTAACCGACCCAACCAACAGACCCAAAAAGACACGCATCCATCATCGTACGAACCCCGCTCCTCGCTGCAAAGGTAGAAAGCGATTACCGCTTTAGCCATCGCTAGTGATGGGATGATGCGGGTATATGGATGTATCATGGGATGAGAGAGGCTGGTTTGTACTACTCACAATGGTCGGATGGTTTAGCGGTGCATTCAGACTCTCTTCTGTGCAAGCGAATGAAATGACCGATCTTCCGTATAGGAAGACAGTAAGAGCAGGACGAGGGGGCTCAGGCAAAGTGTAGTACGGAGTACGGAGTAGTGTGGGTGAGATGAGACTGGCTGGATGGTGTTATCACGAGTTTTGTTGAGGCTGCGTTTCTTTCTCCAGGTTGACTTGTCGACAGGCGAGATCAGATCGATCGATAATTGGCCGGGGAATTTTTGTGTGCGGTGAGATTGGGAAAGGTATGTATGTCGACTGATTTGGACGAGGGAGGGGTTGGCTTCGATCGTGGGAATATCGTCAATGGATCGATCAATGGCTGGAGGTATTCTCCAACTCAAAGATGGTTTGGATAACAGTACAGACGACGGAAGGGCAAAAACGACGAGCGAACGACCGAAGGACCGAACGAAGCCGAGTCGAAGTAAAAACTAGGATCCTCAAAATATAGACAGGCAGTTGCTGCTCTTAAAGCCAGCAGTGCCTGTTGCATACAGTTGAGTACGCAGATAGACGAACAGGGGGAGTAGTAGAATCGAGGAAACCCACGGCGTTGTGGCCAGGTCCGCCAGGATAACCCCAGCATAGCAAACGGTGTGAAAGGCATCAAGCATCCCATCTTGCAAGGAAGCAGGACGGATGAGTGCTTGGAGATTACCATGCCATGACAATGATCCATGGCTCTGAAGCCGTTACTAGGTGCATGTCTGTGCTGTGTGTACTCCCATTGCATTCACAAAAGAAAGCAGCATTGCATGGGGGGAGCGATTCCGAGATGCCAGACCTCCACATCTGGACCATTCACCGATTGCCGGACTGTAGGAGTTGCTTCCCCGTTATACACTACACCGACTCTGGCCCAGTGCCGCTTGAACTTGTGTAGATCGAAGCAGACCCTTCAACAGTGTCTGGCCGCTCTTCTCGTATCTACTGTTACTGTGTATGCAAGAAAAAGACCACACAGGGGTACGGCTAGGGCGCCACTGGTATGTTTTTACTATGGATACCTCATAGATGGCTTACCCGGTGATGTCGCTTCTGTTAAGCAAACCAATATCTACGCAAGAGGAGTTGGATCGTGACTCGTGAAAGCCAGAACCATATATGTCCATAGTTCTGTCTCAAAAACCACCCCGTTCCTGAAACTAAAACTATTCTCAGAGATAAAACAACATCCCACCACTTCCCCCATCCACCCATCCCAGTTCGAAAAGCAAGCGTTCCAAATTGTTGATTGACAGACGCCTCACAGGCAAATCCTCACCTCCCTCTCTCGTGCTTCGCTCGTGGAGCAAGAGAGAAAAAGAAAACCTTGCCCCACAAAAAACTAAAAAAACCGGGCGCACAGCATCCTGTCAACACCACCACCACCACCGCAATAATCACCAGCAATAGCTACTAGCACCTCCCTTCCTTTCCCTTTCCCCCCTCCCATACGGGCTCTTGCAGCCGTATACGTTGTCCCTCCTCAGCAGACCTCCCAAAAAACCCCAATAGTATCAGACTAACTCCTACCATCTCATCTCGACCCATAGCATAGCCCAAGAGCTAAACTACGGGCATCCCCTTCCTTCCCCTTCCCCTTCCCGCGATGCCGTGTCATACCTTTCAACCACCGCCCGTACCGGCCCACACCATGCAACACACAACTGCGGGCGGCGTCGTCGCAACTGCGCTAGGGTGACCAGCTAACCTCGTCTCGAACGATCGGATGCATACGCCGTCCAACCCGCCAGCCTCCCATATGCAGCCGTAAGGTGTATGCAGCCGTAAGGTGTATCCAGCCATTGGCCCCAGAGTCACACACCTCACAGCTATCTTATACGTACATGTACGTACATACGGTTGCGTTTGTGTGTGTGCAGTGCAGCATACGGTACACTGTGTGCTCGCTCGCTCGCTAGCTTGCTAGCCCACCGACCGTAACCAGAATCCCGGTCGACGGGTGCGCAGCCAGATTCGATCCTCGTTTGCATCTGGGCTAATCGGGGGGCGAGGGAGTGAGTGAGGGGGAACATAGAGATCGCTAACTATCGTTTCGCATTTGCTAGAATGGGGCACTTGCAGCACCCATGCGTACCCAGGGCCTAATCGATCTGTTTGATTCTCCCTCCAATAGGGTGCGCGGCGTAGTGAGGCCTGCTTGTTTGCCTGTGTGTGTGTTCGCGCGGGAGGGAGGGTATCGAGAAAGATGCGTGACGCAACGCATGGATCGGCTCGCAGGGACCTTTCGGGCAGAGAATGGGAAGGGCTGGGTTATGGTGATGAGGGACCAGCGAGCTGCTGGCTAGGCTGGGCTGGGCTGGGCTGGGGTTGAGATGAACGATACCTTACACCATGTGCGCGCGCCTGTCGAGTGTGGTGGGTGAATCAAAATGCATTAAATTTTTTGCATCGAGGTAGAACTATCTACGGCTCGAACTAGAATCTCTAAATCGTGAAGCCGCAACTGGTGGGGGGGACCTGCATCAAACGACCGGTCACCTCGAATCGCCAGTCGATCGGCTTCACTGTTTTGCTCCTCTTCCTTTTTTTGTTCAGTCTTTCTCCCCGTCCATTTCTACGAGAATGAGGCAAGGCGGGTTGGTAACCCCGCCGTTATGTACAGAAAGTGTCACGCAGCCGTTTTGCCCCCCACTCTCTCTACGGTTGTGCGACATCAAGCGAGCCAAGTAGATTGGCCTCCTTCACCAATTCGTAGAACAGTCCCTTCTGGCGAACCAATTCAGCAGGCGTGTCAAATTCTGCGACTGTTCCACGGTCCAGTACGACGATCCTGTCCGAATCCAGAATCGTATTGATTCGGTGTGCAATCGTTATGATTGTCTTGTCCTTGAACATGCTGCTTCTCAATGTGGCTTGAAGCAGTGCATCTGTTTCAACGTCCACGGCGGCCTGCAGGTTGGTGTCAGCTACGTTCAGAATGCGACGTTGGAGCGGTACATACCGTTGCTTCGTCCAATACCAGAATATTGCTCGGTGCAAGCAGAGCGCGCGCCAATGACACGAGTTGCCGTTGGCCAGAACTAAGATTGGAACCTGGAATATTGTTTAGACTTGTGTGACGAGTGGCAACACTCTCATTAAGATAGATGACTTACCTCCTTCGTTGATATGAGCGTCGAGTTTCCCGGGCATTGATGCAACGTGCTCCTTGAGGCGAGCATGGTCTGCAGATGAGTCAGTACTCAGTACATGTATTCAATGACCAATAAGATGAGTGTCATACCTAAGGCGCTCCAAAGATCGGTGTCATCGTGAACGTGGCCTGGGTCGAGGTTATCGCGCACGGTACCTTCAAACAGTGCCGCATCCTGCGGAATGATGGCCAAGCGTCTCCTCAGGTCTAGCAGGCCGATTGAGCTTGTGTTCAAGTCATCAATGCGCACAGAGCCTTCAGCTGCCTCGATGATTCGGAAAAGTGCGAGCGTCAGCGAAGATTTCCCGGCACCGGTACGACCGACAACACCAATCTTCTCATGCGCTTTGATGTTCAGATTGATGTTCTTCAAGACAAGGTCAAGGCCAGGGCGATATCGGGTGCTGTAGTTATTGAACGAGACACTTCCTTGCGATGGCCAACTGATTGGGGGTCTGTTCTTGGAAATAATCTCAGGAGCTTCGCTGGGAAGTGCAGCATACTCGAGGACTCGTTCAACCGAGACAATGTTCGTCTCCACTTCGACTGTCTGTCGTACAATCCAATTGAGACTTTGCGTGATCTGGAGAGCGTACGACATGGCCAGACCCACCATACCTGCCGACAAGCCACTGTGGCTGCTGACCGAAACAATTGCGAAGCCGGCAGAGGCAAGAATGATGATTGAGCCGATGAACTCCAAGCGGACTGCAAGCCATCTATTGGCATTGATGGATGGGAAGTATGCTCGAAGATTTGCATCAATTCTCCATTCATTTTCAAGCTCAAATCGTTTTTGCTGGCTATAGGCACGGATCGTGCTCATACCACTAAGAGACTCTTGGAAGTGAGCATAGATGGGACTTCGGCTGATGCTGTCGAGGCGCTTAAGTTCACGTGATGTGCGGAGATAGTAACGTTGGATGTAGAAGTAAAGCCCTCCAAGTGGAAGGATGAGAGCAACGAAGATAGGTGTGCCAGCCGAAATGACAACCAAGGTGAATGTTGCTGCAGAACATGGTCAGTGGAGGGTGCGAAACAAGTGGATCAGGTTGCTTGCATACCTCTTGCAGTATTGACAAACAACATGTTGAATGTTCGGGCCAAGACTTCATCTACGCGGTATATATCACTGGGCCGGGGTTAGCGTACGATCAATACAGTACCTGGCGCGGGTGGGCGGGACGGGTGCACGCAGCAGCAAGGAGCAAGGGATGGGGAAATCACATCCCACGCAAGCAAGGCGGATTGGATGTCAATGAAGATCAAACATACCTAGAAAAACGATTGAGGATGCGACCAGCAGGCGTGGTCTCGAAAAAGCTCATTGGAGACCTGAAAATAGCGAAAGCCATTCGCTCATGCAATTTTCTACTTGCCTGGTGCAGAGAGTCAGTCCACGTGCATCAGTAATCATGCACACCCTTGTTATTCTCACCTCGATCGAACAGAAGATCCAAAGGATGAGCGTCTGCACGACAACAAGCGCAGCTGAGCCTACGCCGAAAGCGAAGTACACGCCGATGTACTTGCCGACATGCGGGTTGCCGCCGGACCGTTGATTGGTTTCCGCCCACTGTTTGAGCCATACGCTACCACCTGTCAAGTGTCAGTCGATTCGCTAGCTAGAGATGATAGATCACAGATGCTTCAAATACATACCCATCGAGGCTGTTTGGGCTCCGATCAGGAGGGCTAGGTAGATGCCGACTGCGACCAAATTACTCGTCCTGGCATACTCTCCGTACACTGACCACTTGACTTTGCCTTGTTCGGAGAATTCTTTGGTCTGCTTGCTCTTGAGTCCGCCTTCTTCGTCAGTAGCTTTGCCTCGAGGGCCTCTGAAGCTTGCAGTGCTCGCGCGACGCAATGTGTTGAAGCTGCTCTTGCGCGCCGTCCCGTTCCCGGTCCGCAATGGCGCAAGTTGAGCAACATTCTCTTGGGCAGCCTCAGCCTCATCTTGATCTTGATCGTCATCAGATGCTGGGCTGGTGCCATAGATAGTAGTGTCCTCATCGCTCGCCACACTCTCGGAAGCAGCCTCACCTTGATCCTCGTTCAGAGATGTCTTGATCAAGTTAGCGATTTCTCCCTTCATGGCCATGAGCTGGCCATAGGTGCCTTTCTCGACAACCAATCCTTCGCGCACTAATGTGATCATGTCGGCTTCCATCAGGACGGGAATTGAGTTAGTAGCCAACACTCTTGTTTTGCCTGCTAGCAGACCCTTTGGCCCAAGGACATTATCAATGAGATGCCTTCCTACATGCTGATCTACAGCCGAAAGACAGTCATCAAGTAGGTATACATCAGCCCGTGCGTACACTGCTCGTGCCAGGGTGAGTCGCGCCTTCTGACCGCCGGAGAGCGAGATTCCACGCTCTCCAACCTCAGTCTGGTCGCCGTCAGGAAGCTGAGCAAAATCATCGCGAAGTGCGCAGGCCTTGACAGTCCTTTCGTAGAATTGAGGATCCCAACGATGGCCAAACACGATATTCTCTCGGACCGAAGCATTCATCACCCATGCAGATTGTGGAACATAGGCAGTGTCGCCTCGCAGAACTACCTCACCATTGATCTTCCACAAGTCGCCCAAGATTGCCTGTAACAGAGACGATTTGCCGGATCCAACGCGGCCCACGATGCAAGAGAGTTCACCCTTGTGTGCGGTAAAGTTGATATTCTGTAAGGCTTTACGTTCCTCGTTCTTGTTCCACGTGAACGTAGCGTCCCGAATACGGATAGTTTCGTCACCCATCTCCTCAACCCCCTTCTCACGTACAACGGCGTCCACTTGAAGCTCCTCGGCGAGCAAGTAGCTCGTGATACGGCCAACAGCCACACTGGCCTCTACAATTGCGGTAATAACCATTGGAAGGATGGCCAAGGGAAAGGTTAGGAGATTGAATAGCGTAAGTGCAGGGAAGACGATTTCGGTCGTCAGCGGTCGCTTTTGAGTCAAAACGAACAGGCCAAAGGTGGAGCATGATACTAAGAAAGGTGTAGTCGACCATGTAAAGTTGGAGAATGCCTGTGTTGCGCCGATCTTCCGCAATGTTTTTAACTCCTGGTCGTTTCGAATGTAGTTCAGTCGGTTAATGAATGCAGTCGTCCAAGCATACAGCTTGATTGATTTCATGTTATTCAAGATCTCGGTCATGAGCCTGGTCCGTGCGTCCTTGTTCTTCATCTGCTCCTTTTGGAGGGATTTCATCAGTCGGGCGATCCAACCATTGATAGGAATCATGATGATCATCGCGCCGACTCCGGCAAACATACTCCACCCAAGTAATTGGTAGAGAGAGAGCATGCAAAGAACAATTTGGAAAGGAGCGGACCATAGCTGCTGCCCATATTGTGCCAGGTCCTGGAGGCGTTGTGTATCGACTGCCATGTAATTGACAATATCACCGGTAGATTTGGCGGCTCGTCCCTCGTTAGAAAGTCTGGTGCTCTTGGAATAGATAGAAGCAGTCAGGGCAGACTTGATGCGCATGCCAGTTTCGAAAGATCGCTGGAAGTACTGATGCAGAAAGGCTGTTTGAGATACCGATACGGCGAACATGGCCAGCGCAATCGCCGCACCTCGCGCGACAGGCTGGGGATTGGGGTGCTTGTAGGATTCGACGAAAGATATCAGGAGCCTCAATAGCTGTGGCTGGGCGAAGTTGAGAACGTCACTGCAAGTCTTGATGACAGCTCCTCTGAAATAGGGGCCGCCGAACGCTTGGAACATTGCCAACCACAGCGAAGGGTGCTTCTTCTCCAGTTCGTTGTCCCATGCTTTGGTAAAAGACATCGCTGTAGCTTTGGTAGTGTCTCGCCTACGTAGATTCCAGAGATCGTCCTGCGTCAGGAAAGACTTGTAGCCTTGCTTCATCAATGGTGTCATCCAGCCAAAGGTTAGAACGGAGAAGACATTGGCGTATTCCCACGGGCATTCATCATCGTCTCCCAGCGCATCGTAGTCGCTCAGACGTTTAGGAACAAGCCATTCCAGAACAAGCTCAAGGGCGGCCAATCCAACGCTGACACAGAATACACTGAAGTATGCGACATGTTCTCGCGGCATATGCTGGGCGATGAGGGATCGGAGTTTGACGGCGTGCGCAATGAGGAAGAACAGCCAGTAGAATAGGACGACCCCGTTGGGATTCCGCGACCTCCAGTGCTCGGTGTACTGGACGAAGAATACAACACATAGGGAGAGGATCGTGAGAACGGTGGTCCAGAAACGGAAGTCTCCGGCCCAGATGCCTTTAAAGTATTCGATTTGCAACGCGGCTTGCACGGCGGATGTGGCGATAAGGGCGACAATGGTGGTCTTGCGAAACAGTATGTTAGAACTCAACTCTTGCAGTTATAATAGCAGGGTCCATACCAGTTTCGCGTAGAAATGCCAATTCTTCTTAACGGGTTGCGGATGACCCTGTCTGTACAGGTACCATGTAGCGGCCGCGCCTCCGAAGATTCCAAACACGGCCACCACAGCAATCCATACGTCCAGGAAGCAAGGCGTGAAGTCGAAACGAATAGGGCTCAGCGGACCCCAACCCTCACTATTACCGCATAACGGCTGTTGGCGCTTGCTCGATGCCTCGAGATAGCCGTGGGCGAGCGGGGTGGAGAGCTGCAGCGGGATTTGCAATTCGCTCATTGATCGAAAGCGTGTTCTTTTTGCCTTTCTCTGAGCACGGCAGAGGATAGGACAATAAGAAGGAGGACGGAGGTCGAACGCGCGACGATGACGGATTCTTGTTGGGGTTCTCCACTAGTGACTCTGAACCGTGAGCTCATCGCGGAGGAGCATTGACCAGTTCCCTCTCCATTGTTGCCTCAATGTGATGAGTAAGCTCATGAATTATTAAGAACAATTAAGAATGTATGAGTAGTCCATGGTAGTTTAGAGCTTAGCATGGCTTCTCTCTGCCGGTTTCTCCGATAACGCCGTTTACTCCTGGAGTTTACTATGGGACTATGGAAATGAATGTCGTGATCTTCAAGTTCTCAATGTTTTGTCGTCTAAGGTCTTTCGTCATGGATCATAAAAGCCTATCGGCAGCGACATTGGAGGTACCTTCCATTGATTAATTCTCGTATTATAATACAGAAACCCACGCTTATATTAAATCGCATTATGCGCTGCCTCTATCTGTGTCGTTCAAGCCGATCATAACAATGCGCTTCCTCTTTCATCCCAAGTCATATCACATGGAAACCCCATCCATCTAAAATTGGCTTTCGGTACCGGCAGAGTCTTCACCTGTAGGGCTATGTTCTTTTTCCCGGTGTTGGCAGACTAAACAAGCCACTGGATGCACGCGCTCCCGCTATGTTACATGAATGTACCAGGGTCCCGATCTCTCAAGCCAGGTATCATACCTGGTAGGCTTGTACGGGTGGCCTCTCAAGGCAAATTCCCGAATGAAACCGGTCCGAAGGTTGATCGAGTCCGCGTCCAAGCCTCACGACACGTACCGATAGGTCGGCAAAAGGAATGCTGCCTTCAGGGCGACGAGGTATTTAGTCCGCCCATCCCCATTTCCTGGCCGGAGACTCATCTGGTCATGAATTGATCACTTTTGTTTCATCAATCACATCACTCCAGTCCGTCTGCTGGGCGATGTGTGCGTGTATCATTGAGTCAAGAGAGGGGACCACCATGGGATACAAGTTGACAACAATGGGCACACCTCGCGCGAGCCAGACTACACACCTAGGCCTAGGACGAAGTAGGAAGCGGCGCCACTTCCGCTGGAGGCAGCTCTGAGCCTCAGTGTCGTCTACTATCTACACAGTGAGTTCAGTGCTGTAAGGTCGAGTTCATTTGGTCAGCATTGGCTCTTATCACTGACATGGCAAGCAGAACATGATTCCACACCAGCCGATATTCAATTCACGTCTTTGATCCATAGGACTAGCTGTTCCCAGGCTCTACGATATCAAACCAAGTCTTCAATCGCAAGACCAGCTCTCGACAGATCAGTTATCCGAACTCCTTCGCTACTCCACATAGTACCATCACCTCCCGCGGACTCCCATGCCAGTCTCTGACAATCTTCATCTCGTTTTCGAAAGCCAGAGGAACCCCTACGTCGTTGTTGCAGCCAGAAAATTCTAAACTTTCCGCTAACAAGGTCTCCGTTGTTAACAATTCCATGCTCCAACATTTGCGCTACGAATATCGCTTGCAACAATGTCCCCTTTCGTCTGGTCAACCGAGCATCGCTCAAAATCCGAGTGAGGGCTTGGTTGACCAGGGTTCGGGGCGATTGATGCAAGATAGATCTCGTTAAGCGGGACCAACTTCAACTCTATGCGGTTCGCCCGCTGCCGCTCAAACTTTATCTCTCCTGCCATCGGGATCTTGATCAGAAGGCCCGCTTCCCGCCCCCTGGAATATTCGCGCATCTGTAGACGAACTTCGCATCGAACTTGCATCCTTACATTCATTGTACGGCCACGAAACAACGAAAATAGAAGGTCGGTGGATCATTCATCCAGAAGCGCCGAGCATCCAACATCCAGATCTCAAGCTATTCACTTTCTCCGAGATTTCCGCCGGGCGTTCCACGGCAGTGAAACCCTTCAAAGTCATCGTGCTCTATGACCCCAGTTGCGATCGCTAACTGATCGGTCAGCGCATATGGCTTCATGGGTGTCCAGACACAACACCCGAAGATCGATGTAAAACGAGCCCATCTTGCATTGCACTTCCGATCGGTCCCATCGTTCAGATTGCGCCGTCCATGCATGCCGCGCACATGTTGTATCTGGGATCGAGAAACACGAGTTTGGAGCTACGCGAGCGATTCTATCCTCATTGCAAAGACGAATTACTGGGCTCAGGTTTATACAAATGAATTTGCGATTTTCACATAACAGCGGCTCTTTAACTGGAATAAACGTACTCCGTACCCGGCAACAGGAGAAACCAGAGTCGAAGTCGAGCCCTACATCCTATACCTAGAATCTGACATTCAGAGTTACCAGATCCAGAACTGCTGGGTGGCCAAAATCTCCACCAAGAGCATCGCACATTGGCACATCCCCACATGGCATGCCGAAAAGTCGAAGACCATGCCGGGCCAAATGCACGTAGCAGTTTTCTGTCAATTTCCATGCATGAATGATACCATTTGTGCTCCCCAATGCAGCCACTAATCCGCCGCTCCTCCCTCGCTAAGTCCCCATAATTGCTTTTTCCCCCGTCCCCAACAACGGCCTTTGTTAACCACAGTCCACTGACACCGTCCAGAAGACCTCAACGCCTCCACATATACACGCGCGTTACGCTCGACCAGCTCTAACACCCCGATATACAGAAGTGTCACGAAGAAAAGCAAACAGCAAAATCTCTTTTTCCGCCTCGCTTCCCCCTCCCCTCCTCCAGGTCCACCGTGGCACCGGGCACGCGCGAACGGAACCGATCCTACCCTGACCCTGTCCTGCCATTGTCGTCCAGCGTTACACAGAACCAGACTTCGAAAAAAAGAAAGGAAAGCAAGCAAACACATCCTTCCCTTCCCCACCTCGGAATCCAATTCCACTGGTCAGTCTCCAAACCGGCCTGCCGAACGGGCAGCAAGACACAAAGCAATCCATGTCGCTACAGCATGAGGAAAGAGCAAGACGATCTCATCCTATCCGCCTTGGTATTGCAAGCATCCAACTGCCACCGCATTTCCTCATGCCTCACTACATATGTACGTATCCCTACTAACGTATGTATGTACGGAGTCTTGTATGCACAGTATGTATGCCCCCCTCGTCCGTCTGATCGGTGAGCGTCATGCCGTTTAACATACCGCGTGCCCCCGTTCCCTCCCCTCCCCTTGACCGCGGATGCTATCTCATCTCATCTCATCTCATCTCATCGCAATCTCATCTCAATCTCCACCGTGAAATCTACAGCACAGCACTGTGCAGTGCGTACATGCAGCACGGCACGGGGGGAATCGAGCAATCGATTCCGGACGCACGTACCCTGACGTATGTACGGCCCGTGCCTTCATGTATTCTTCTTCTGCTGCTGTTGTGTGAGGTAGGCCACTTTCGAGGCACGTAAATCTAGCGTCATTTCCATATCAAACGGGACCATGCAAACCACCGTGCCAGCGTCAGAGGGTTCTTACGGCATGTGGATCCGCATTTCCCCGTAGATAGTGATGTCCAATCATGTAACTCTCATACTTCGTTTGTCGTTCCAAATCCGCTCTTTCAGAAAGAAGTGTGCGTGAAGTAAGGATGAGTAGTAGGGTACTGAGGTAAGAGGTAACGGGGACGACCGTCAAATACTGCCATTCTAGACTACCATCCTACACTGCGTAGTCACGCATCTCCCACTCCCTCCCTTTCATCAGAAGTGAAAATCTCCTCCTATCAATCTCCCTCCCACACCAACAAAATAACAAGAACAAACATCCTCCCTCCCTAATCCAACCCTCCACAAACGCTCCCAATACCCCCGCCGTGGACTCAACCCCCTCACCCTCACACACATTCACACGACCCTTACTTCCCCTCGGCTACAACTCCCCAGTAGTGCTCTTTACTCCGTAGACTGTACTCCGTAGAAATTAATTGAAAACTTTGCGTGTACATCCGTTCCTCGAGCCCCCACGTACCAGTGTGTCAGTGTGCATTTCGTCTGTTTGCTCTGTTGTGTGTTGTGTGAGTGAGTGTGTGGGTGGGTGTTTGCTCGCTTGTCACAACGTGCGTCCGGACTTCGGAGTCGCTTCCAGCGCTTGCTGGATGGTAAGGGAGGAGAGGTACGGCGTGGGGGAGGGTTGTTGTTGGAGGGGATTACGGTGGAGAGGATGAGGATGGTGAGGGATACGTGCAACTCCTTGTCTTTTCTTTGGCGCTCGGTGAAGAGGTTTACGGTCTTTTTATATTCTTTTGTCCTGAGGAGCTTTGGTGGAAGATTGTGGGGAAGTGTCTTCTTCGTCGTTGGAGATGTAGAGAGGAGGTGGGGGAGAACCGTGAGAATACTATTTCTGCTTCACTTGCGTGGTTTGTGTGATGTAGAAGAGGAGATACGGCGAGGTGAGTGGTATGGTTTGGTGTTGAGGGGCTGTTTGTGTGTGCAGTGTGCATCGCTAGAATTTTATGTCTATCGCTATGGGTATATGTATGTGTCTACATGCCGATATGTCTAATGTGAGTGTATGTTATGTGCTGGTATTTCTATATGTTTAACCATTCATCTATTTCCATGTGCATAAATATGTGTCTACATCTATACCTACGAATAAATATTCCTTTTTAAAATATGCACCTAAGTCTGTATATATTTTTCTACCTTCGCCTTGCTTGTGTCAGAATGTTTACACGCATCTCTACAAAACCAACACATATATCTAATCAGCAAATGTAAACCCAAAACCCTTTCCAACACAGAGTGTTTTACAATGCATCAGCAATCTCTTAGACTTGATACCTAGATGCATACATAAACCTACTCAATCAAACAAAACCTGATACACACGCATCTACCCTCTCACTATATCACCGCTACCATGAAAACTTATCCAAAGGAGTTCCCTATCAATATGCACACAAGCCCCAAACCCCATCGACACAAGTGTTTGACCTCCAGCATATACACTCTCGCAAGATATCCTAATCTACCCAAACACCGCACAGTCAACCCCAGAGAAACAGGAACCAAACAATCACCACCACCACATCCCTCACCTCCCTAAACCCCAATCCACCCAATCCCTCAGCCTAAACCACCCTCCCTACTTCCTAACCAGTCACCATAACCTTCTCAGCCCGAAACTTCAGATTCCAATTCCCAGACTATGTTCTCAGAATAACAACCTTCCCCAAAGAAAGGGAAAAAAAAAAGGAAACGCGAGCCTGGGAAGTATCGTAAAAGCTAAAAGTGATATCATTGGCGGAAGGTCAGACTTATGTGCATACTCACTCTGCTTTTTCTTCCGTCGCTTCTGTATCTGTACCCCCCCACCCATGTATAACTCTGAAATCGAAAACAGAACTGAAATTGAGCTTGAGCGTGAGGTTAGTAGAACGTTTCAAAGCGCACAAACCTTCAAAACAACAGCCCAATCGGTCTACTCCCTAAACTGTTCTGTAAAACTATGATAACGGGATATAAACCGTTTCCCTAAGACTAATACAGGCAGGAGGAAGGCAGGCAGGAGAGGCTCAGCACTGGCGCTGTGGATTCATGATCACGATAGTTGGTTTTTTGATATACTTATATTTTAGTTGTTTTGATGTTACCAGAGTGAGTGAAACCGATGGAAGGGGGGGAAGAGGGTATGTATGTCTAACAAAGTATCTAGGTGATTTGACATTTCGAAGATAGCGATTGTATGCTTGTGTCCAGCCAGCACGTTACCACTACGGTGGCAAGCGGTGATAGCTGCCCCGGTTCTCAAGAGTTTAGGACACTTGGAATAGATGTCGGCGAAATCTGCGAGGACGGATGGGATGGGATGGGGGCGTGTGGCCGTTTCTGTGCGGATCGGAAGGTGAAGGGGAATGAGATGTGTGAGCTGTCTAGTTCGAGTAGCTGGGACAGTGTGTATATATGTGTACATATGTTTATCTCGTCCGTCCGATACGTCGATTCTTACAAGCCATGTTTCTTCTGCCCAAATGCAAGCACCACAGGACAATATCATCGGATATATGAATACGTCTCTTGTTCTGCGAAGGGAAGAGAAGGGAAGGGACCGGGGATGCTTAGGTTGGATTGCGGAGGTTATCGTAGGCTCCCACAGTGACGGTCTTGTGATTGTTGTGAGTAGGTAGATAGTGTAGTTACCTATATCTTCATTTTTTTCTTTTCTTTTTTAAGGAAGTGAAGATTGTGTGTGTGTGTGTGTACTTTTTATTTCCACGTTCAATTTTTTTTTCTCAAATTAAATTCTTAGATCAAGGTTTTTCTTTGCCGTTGGTGGTGGGAAGGTCGTTTGTTCTGGGGGGTTTGAAGGCGTTGTCATTATCACGTTTGGAAGTGTTTGGTTGTTTGGTAGGATCTTGGATCTCGGGTTCATGTTGTCATTGTTGGTATTGATGTGGTTATTACTACTATACTTGGTGTCTGGGCGAGGGGATTGAGATTATGATCTTGCTAAGCACCGTAGATGCTGTGTCCATCCTCTTACGGAATCCTGATAATGAGTTGCCCATCCAGGCCCGGGGTTACCACAAAAGGTGCCAGACATGTATGGCAAGCAGGGCAATACTCAAGCAATTCCAAAGACAAGAAACTTAATCAAGACGTGAAGTCATTATTGATATCCAATACCCCGTCGTCACTGGTTATTGTAGTCCGAAATACGTGTGCATTCATTACGTTTGGGGCCATCAACAAAGGGTCCATGCCAAACGTTCTCGGTCGTTAATTTGGGAGCAGGAAAGGAAAACAAGAGCATACTATTCGAGCCAGGCTGTCCTTTTCCAAAGATACAAGTAGTTCTACGCAACCTGGCGTGTGACGAGCATGAAGATAATAACAATGGTAGTAATCCGGCTACGGTATTTGATCGTTGGTGGGCTTTGTTCCACTCCGGTCACACTGACCTTGTGCAGGCGATAAGTGGAAGAAAAGGCCATATGCAAAAGCATGATACACTATCGACAAATATGCAATCCGGCGCCGCTTGTCGTCTCGATGCCGGCAGAGTGGTCTAGCAAGGCTGATACGACGGGAAGAAGCGGGGCCCAGAGTAGCCGTAGAATTGGACGGTCTCAATATCAATGTTGCCATCGTGGGTGGGACTCCATAGTTTAAGTAGCACGAATTTACCGGACCTATGGACTCAGATTAGCATCAAACTTTATGTATAGTCGTGCTGATATGATTTCTACGCAACAAAGGCGACGTGTTCATAAGAGTTGAGAACTGAGGTAGCAACGCAAGCCGGGCACTGCAAAGGCATGGTAGTGTCGGATAACTTACACTGCAGGATGGAATTTGATGGTGATCTTGTTCTTATGCTTGGCAATGAAGAACCGTGCAGAAGGAGAAATCAGGCCCTCGGACGCGATGTGAGTCTCCTTTGGCTCGATTCGGCTCGGTGTTCGTAGCCGGGTAGCGCGCAAAGGCTCCAAAGCACGATCAGGTCGCCGACGACGCTCACCCATCTGCTCCTGTATCTCCAAAGCGTATGAGCGACGCGGAGGCGGAAATCGATACAGAAGATCATCCTCGGACTCGTCGCTCTCGGCCCGCCAACGACTCTCGCGGCGAAGGCGGTCGGCCATGATGGCGGGACTCGGCTGCTCAGGCGTCGAGTCCGACTCCTCCTCGTCGCTTTCCGTAGTGATGGTGAAGGGAGGTGGAGTGGGCGCAGAGATACCGGGACCAGGGCCAAAGTCCTCCGGCGGATAATCGCAATTATCGGGATACATTTCTTGGTCCTCCTGGCCAAGGCTTCTGCGTTCTCGTCGGCGGCGCGCGCGGTTGGCTTCCAGTGTGCCAGAAGGAGCACGGCGGCCACGAAGACGTAGGCGCTCGATCTGTTCCTCCATGGCTTCTTGCAGGCTATGTCGAGAGTTCTCCCAGATATACGGATCCTCGATAGCTTCACGGAAGGATAACTGCTGGTCCTGATGAGAGCTCGGCGCTGGCGACGCTCGCGATGAGGCGGCTTCATATTCTATCTGGTATCGCGACGTTCCGGAGATTAGGTCGTCCGAAGACATTGCAACGAATATCAGGCCTTCTTGCACACTGGTGGGGTCATTAGTATATTATAGGCAGCAGAGTGACAGACATACGGAGCGGTGAAGCCACGGTCCGGAGCACGTATGACGACTTTCTCCAACGTGAACGGCATATCGCCAATGTGTTTGAGCAGAAGGTTGCATCGCGACCTCTCGCTACAGTACACACTCTTGTCGTTCTTGAGGACGTTGTGGATGTTGTAGAGGCCCGACTGGTTCGCCTTGCCATATTCTCCGCCGTCACAGCTTACGATCTCCATCTTGAGGCGACCGGCGACCACCTGGCCCTTGTAGCCGTACCTGAACCCATCGTAGGGTCCTCTGAGGGGGTCATGGTCGAGCTTCCTCCTCTTCGTTCTCCGTGATGTGTCTAGTTCCGGGAGCGGGCTTCGCGAGGGGCGGAAGCTGGGTCCGGCGGCGGCGGCGGAGTCGTGTCGAGGAGAGTCATCATTCAGAGGTTCGAACATATCGGTGGTCAAGTCCATGTCGGTGGATCGCTGCTCTCTTAAGCGAGCGTGTGAGCGACGAAGGTAGCGTTCGCTTGGCACTGCTCGCGGGCGGTTGCTCGACAAGGACGAGGACGAGGACGACACGGGCGGTGGGGCCCTCCGAAGTAGGGAATCGGGAGTCTCCCAGTGGTCATGCTCGTTCCCTAGAGGGCGGCGCAGCTGACGTATTGCTCGTGGGTGACGGGACGATATTGTCATACGGTCTTCGTCAAAGTCAAGGAGACGATCATGTACATTGTCAGGTGCAGGACTGGATAGGTCCCTGAACTCGGCTTGAAACTGGATTGGGTACAGGATTTGTGGTTGCAAGTGGTCGGAGACAGCGGCGGGTCGGACCGAAGTTGGCGACGTCGACGAGGTCGAGGGGGGGAAATCAAAGCTGCCAGACATGTAGTTGAACGGGCTGGTGAAGGTGGTGGCAGCAGGCGGCGGCGGCGGCGGCGGTGAAGGAGAGGGCATGGATGACGTTGTTGGTTCCCATCGGCAAGGGACGGCCTAACAGTAGTAGCGGGAGTGGTAGTGATGGTGATGGACGTTGCGGAGATGGAGAAAGATGGACAGAAGACGGAAGGCGGAGAGATGGAGAATGGAGATGAGAAGTGGTGCGAGTGATGGAATGAGGTATGGAACTTTGTATTGAGGAAGGTAGTAGTACAAGTAGTAGTGGTGGCAGTGGTATGTAGTGGATTACAGGGTCAAGATGAGCACGAAGGGTGAGGCTGGTAGAGTGGGGGTAAGAAGGTATAGGTAGTGTAGTTATGGGGGATGGGGGTGGTATTAACAATTGGGAATGATGATTGCGATGGGCACGGTGATGGTACGAGTATGATGGGCAGTGAGATGAAGTGGAAGAGAAGTGGTGGAAGTGAGGTTGAAAGGGAAGAGAGGAGGACACATGCCTCGTGTGCAGTCAGTCAGTCAATCAATCAATCAGAGTACATGTACTGTGTATGTATGGTATGGTATGGTATGGTATGGTACAGTACAAGGTATGGGTATGGGTATGGGTATGGGATGGATGGGATGGAAGATGGGGGGATGGATTGAAGGGAAACACGGGGAACGGGGAACGTGATTGCATGCCAAGCCAGGGTTTGGAGCCTCACTATGGGTACTTGTACACAGTAGTTACTCCTACATGTACATACTTTGAACTGTGCAATGCAATAGGAAACATTACTATTGGCATTGCTATTATCATGCTAGTTACTATTGGAACAAGTCAGCAAAGCCGACAGGTAGTAAATGCGGGGGTTATGCCACGTAGTTTGCACAACTCCCAGCACAAAAAGTATGGAATAGTAATGGTAATAGTAATACATGGAAGGAGGAAGAGGTACATCGAATGCAGTATAGTCCCTCACCATAGCACATGTACCTGTACCTGGCAGCTTGGTCGTGAGTTCGGGACGCACAGACCACAAATGACGGTGTAGATGAATGGTACGGGGTGGGTGAGATGAGAGAGACGAGGGAGATGGAATGGAGATGGAGATAGAGGGAAACATAGATACTGTAGAAGAGGCCTTGTAATTCTAATCAAGATAAACTAAACTGATAATCTCACCCCGTTCAATTTATATCAACTCGACTTTACACCCGATATAAACTCTGCCTCTGCATCTATCCAGGTATCTTCCTTCGAGGTGAGGTAGGCAGGTACTCGTAAGGCTTTCTTCCGTCGATCAACTAACCTACCTCACTACTCCCACTCTCACTCCACTTCAACCACCACCACCACGATCGCAACAGCACCAAACTGCGAATCAAATCTCCAATTCAACATGGCCGACCAGACCATACCCCCACCTGCGGCTCCTCCCATCGTCCCCATCCCCAATGGTACCGCTACCTTCCCAGCCTCAGATGCCGCTGGACAGACCGTTGCTGCCATAGCGCAGGCCGATACCATCAGCGCTGGTATGACTTCCCTTGCACTCGTATCCTCATATCTCGGAGAACCATTATCTGATCAACCGTGCAAACAGACGAGATCGCCCTCTACGATCGCCAGATCCGACTCTGGGGAGTCCAGGCCCAGGAGAGGTGAGCGCATCTTTGCCGATTCCACCTCACACGCGACACCTCTAACCTTTGCAGGATCCGCACCGCAAACGTCCTCCTCGTCTCAATAAAGGCGCTCGCAAACGAGGTAGCAAAAAATTTAGTCCTGGCTGGAATTGGCTCTATAACATTGGCCGATCACGAGGTGGTCACGGAAGACGACCTCGGCGCTCAATTCTTCGTCTCCGAGGCCGACGTAGGCAAGAACGTGAGTGTCGCGAACCGGCGCAAGTCACGGACTGCATAGTTAACGATTCGCAGCGCGCCGAAGCTTCTGCCCCTCAAATCCAGAAACTCAATCCCCGCGTCAAGGTCAACGTTATCACACGCGACATCAAGCAAGAACAGGATGTCAACTTCTACGCCGCATTCGACGTCATCATAGCCACCGACCTCGACTTCCTCTCCCTCAGCAGCCTCGACTCCGGCGCGCGCCTCGCACAACGGCCGTTCTACGCCGGTGGAGCGCATGGCTTCTACGGCTTCATCTTTGCCGACCTCGGACAGCATGATTTCGTGGTGGAGCGCGAGAAGTCGAATCGGCCGACCGTAGCGGGGCCGGAAACAACAACTCGGTCCGTCTTGGGCAGCACAACGAAGAAAGAGAACGGAAAGGTCATCGAGATGGTAACGAAGCGCGAGCTGTATACCCCGTTGCTACTAGCCAACACCTCCCCACTCCCCCCAGACATGATGAAGAGCATACGCAAGCTCCGAAAAGTGCACCCGCTCCTCACCTGCATCCGCACGCTCTGGGACTACCAGCGCAACGGCCACGGCTACCTGCCCACCCACGCGCACTCCGACCTCCAACTCTTCACCCAGCTCGCGACCGAGAAGCACAAGGAACTTCTCCTCCCGCCCGAGACCCTCAAAGCCGAGTTCCTGCGCAGCTTCCTGCAGAACCTGGGCAGCGAAATCGCACCCGTCACCGCATTCCTCGGCGGCCAGCTCGCCCAGGACGTCATCAACGTGCTCGGCAAGCGCGAGCAACCGATACAGAACTTGATGCTGTTCGACGGCGAGGAGAGCGTGGGCCCGATCTACTCTCTCCACCCGATCTTCGAGGACGGCCCTGTGGTCCCTTTGCCAGTCACCGTGCCCAGCGCATCCGTAGTCGTCGTCTAAGCGAAAGGACTGGAAGGAATTCCTGCCCTAGGGCTCTCTTGTATAGATTAGCGGGCGAATATTGGTCTTCTGGAGTTTAACAGTTCGGTGTGCAGGGAAGAAGTGTTTGCCTCGGACACGAGGTTCGAATACAATCTGGTCTCTTTTTCTTTGGGCAGGGAGGGTCGGCAGGGGGATTTTCATTTCATTTTCCTTCTCGGCGGACACACATGCATGAAAAAAAAGATACCCTACATATGAATGCCCCCGGACGACCGATGCATGGATGGATGGATGTAGGGCGCGGCACATAGCATAGCATAGAGAAAACACTTTTCAACCCTTCACATTCTTTCCTTTCTCTCTGACGAGCTAGGATTCTAGCTTGGAATTATTGAGATATCTGCTTTTCTATTTTCCTATACCAAACCATATAACCCAACTCCCCCTACATCCAAGCAACACCCAACAAACGTCCCTCCTTTACCTATCCTTCTTCCCCTCCTTCTTCCCTTTACCACCAGCACCACCAGAAGATCCAGATCCACTCCCCCTGAACAAAACCCAACAAATCCCCAAGAAAGCCAACACAACAGCCCCCACCGTCCCCCCCTCAACCCACCTCCCCACGCCCCTCAAATCCAGCACCGGAACGTCGATCCACTCCGTAAGTCCCCCCTCCACCGCCGTCCCCTTCACAGGCTCAGTCACCGGCTCGGTCGCAAGCTCCCTCGCCGCAGGACTCAAATGCACAAACTTCGTCCTCGCCCCAAACAGCCCCTCATAACCCAGATTCACCCGATCGAACGGATTGACGGCGAACTTCGTCCCGTCCTCCGCGGCGCACGCCCAGAAGGCCACCGGCCATGGGAGCGGTAGGCGTGTGTGGGATGATGTGGAGGAGGCGGGGAGGTACCTCGCATGCAACGGAATCGTTACATCGACGTTTGATGAATGGGAGGGGGATTTGGGGATGCTGATTTCGAACAGAGCGGCGGAACCCCATTGCTGCACGACCCAATCGGGGGCTTCGAGGTCGGTGGCGCCGGCGATGGAGCGCAGGGATGTGAGGTTGTGGGATTGCAGGGCGAGGGGGTCGGTGAATTGGTATTTGTCGATGAAGAGGTGGGAGGGGAGGGTGAGGTGGGTGTGGAGTTTGCAGGTTGGGTCCGGGGGCGAGGGGTTGGTGATGTGGAGGTGGAGGGTTGGGTGGAGGCCGGTGGGTTGGTTGAAGGTGGTGGTGTAGGTTTGAGGGGGGAGGTTGTTGATGTTGGGGGAGGGGAGGGGGTAGTGGCGGGAGGGGGCTTGGAAGAGTGTTGGTTCTGTCAAGGAAGTATACGTATTAGTTTGCGTTGTGATGGTATTTGGGGGAGATAGGGGAACGTACTGGGTTTTTTGTCTTGGCCGAGGACTGTGAGGAAGCCGGCGTATTGGATGTCTTCTGGGTCTGGGTTTGCTTCGCGGTTCAGCACGCCGATTTCGATGGGGTCGGCCTGGCCTGGGAGCTTGATGGTTTCGGTCCAGCCTGCTGCGTCTGGGGATTTGGCCCAGAAGGCGGTGAGCACGACGGCGTGCGAGATGGCGTCGTAGTCGATGTCCAGGTAGGATGCCGAGTGAAGTTTCGTGGTCTCGACCTTGCACGCTGGCGGGGACATGGGACAAAGGAACTGGAAGAATTGGATGAGGCCTGAGAGCTTCGGCAGGTGGAAGTACAGTTCGTTGGACGCGGACATGGAGAAGCGTTCTGAGAGGACGGGGAGTTGGATAGATGATTCCTTGGGGTTCTCACATGGGAGGTCGTCGCCTATTATCTCCTTGAAAAGGGGGCAGAAATTGGCACTGATTGACGGAGTAAGTACATCTGATAATGGGATCGAATAGACATTGTGGAGACGAACTCTGGATGGTCCTTCGAAGGCGTGTAGAATATGTGTAAGCCAGGAGATACCCGAGATGTGAAAGGCGTCACAGATTCATAGGGTTCATTTGAGGACCATTTCAGATGAAATTCATGTAGTTGTTCAAATGCTTTTGAGATCTGTCATGGCTGTTAGCTCAGCCTGGGGCAGATAGAAAGGGTAATGTGACCTCTTGAGGCAGTTCGCTCAAGCCGAAGGTGACGCGATGTTCTTTGGCTGCTTTGACCTTACTCAGGCTCATAGAGTCCCCTTTAACTTCCAGAAGTTCTGGGTTGAACTCATCTGGGTTGGGGACGATGTATGTGATTCGTTGCTTCATCTTGTCTGAGCTACAGCAGCTGGCCTTCAAAGAATCCTGCTATTTTATAAACGGAGAAGAAAGATCAGAGACGATTTCCAATATTATGAATAGTTGAATTGAAGCTTGTGTCGCGAGAAAATGTTTAGTAAAGCAGCTCCAAGCAGAACGGAGACTGGTGTAACTGGACTGATGTCTTAGAACCACCACCTGAGCTCGATGTCTGTGAATCCCGCTAGCCCAAAAGGGGAAGTGCCTGATATCGAAGGCGCACGGACCTCCATGACGTTGCGGCCTTGCCATTCGACACCTCTGGATCTTTCTGCCTGGCAACGCCTCCACGCTTTTACAATCCACGGTGTCCTTTGCACAATTTGCCACTGTAGGATCTTGATAAAGCGACATTGAGCAACTCTATACTGCTACAAGTCCTGGTGTGCTGACACCTGTGCACAATGCATCATCTCAGCTTTCTCTACCCAGCGCTGTTGGCCACTTCGGCCCTGGTCGAAGGAGTGCATGGCCTCCGCTCAGGAAACAAGGTCAAGCTTTCCAATGTCCAAAGCCTTACCCTGCGTAAGGATATGAAGACCTCGCATAGGCGTGTGTCTGCTATACCTCAGGTAAGAACCTACATCGCATATGCCCCTCTAGAGGAGGCTCAAGCTGATCACACGACAGTTGAATTGCATCGGCGGTTCTGGGCGCGGGCTATACGAAATCGATGTTATGCGCTGCAAGAATGCTGGATCCGATTACAACGAAGAAGACATCCAGTGGACCTGCACCGCCTCCCTCCCCGAAGAATTCAAGCTCGGCTCCACCGACGTCATTTGCGAAGGCTACGATTATCCCGAAGACCCCTACATCTTGAAAGGCAGCTGCGGTGTTGAGTACAAACTCGTCCTCACGGACAAGGGCCATGAGAAATACGGCCACAAGAAGCCATGGTTCGGTGGCGGCGACGACGACGGCAAGCATCAGCAAACGACCGGCGATAAAATATCTGTGGCTCTTTTCTGGGTGGTTTTCGTGGGCGTGGCGCTATGGATTGTATACTCCGCGTTTATAGGATGGGCGAGGGGCGCCGAACGTCCAGCTTGGAATGGAGGAAACAATCGGCCTGGATGGGGTGGTGGAGGCGGAGGCAACGGCGGCGATGATGACGACCCACCACCTCCCTACGACTGGAGGCCATCTCCTAACAACCCCAAGCGTGGCTACGGAGCTACTGACGGCTGGAGGCCAGGATTCTGGTCTGGCGCTCTTGGGGGAGCAGCGGCTGGCTATGCTGCTGGAAGGTCAGGAAATCGAGGAAACCAGACAAACTCCGGATGGGGTTTTGGTGGCGGGCGAGGAGGAAGCAGTTGGAACAATGGCGGGGAGGGTAGCTCGCGGTCAACTTCAAGCTCTCCGAGCTACTCATCGACCAGGCACGAGAGTACGGGCTTTGGATCTACATCACGCCGGTAGACGAAAGATATTTCATAGGCTTTAAATTGATACCCACGCATTTTTTTCCCGTCATTGTGCAACATGACTTGAATGCTGGATCTCGCACGAATCAGACTCATAGATTGAAAGCAGGGATGGGGGAATCTATTCTCGCCTATTCACCCACTCGGTGGGTATGGATGACGATACATTATAAAGAGTATGAGGAATGATGTGTATAATTTAACAATCCTATCGTTATATACATACTAAGATTGGATGTATGACATCTAATCAAGTTCAAAGATCAAGGATTATTGCTCTCCTACCTCGTAATAATTAATGGTATAAAAAAATAGTCATATATGAAATTTTGGAAATACTGATTGCAAATGCATGCATCTTACAATTAATTGTATTAATGATTGGCGAAAACATGTTCCCCAAGCCTTCGAAAGACGACAACTTGCTTAAATATCAGTTCAAAATTTTTTAGCCTTTTGGAAGCCTTCTTTTGTCGTCGACCAAATTCAATGCTAAGTGCTAAGGTATTGTGATTAGACCTGCTCTTCCTCCTAGGAGGTTAGTGGTTATCGGCGAATTTGAAGCGAAACAAGGATGTTGCAACGTGTAAAGGGAAAACCCGAGATTGACGCCAAACACATAACCAACCCCGGACATCTACTCGTATTCGTAGATAGTTTACTCGAACTGTGCTCGCTAACGGCTTCGGGCCTTTTCCATCTGCACACGATATTGTAGATCTACTAGGTACCTGCACAGTGACAGTCCGCGACGAGGGTTCGCGAAACGATTATTCTTATATTGCCGATATGCGCGCCGTTGAACCGGAACGGCGATCCTTGTTCCAGGAATCGTTGGAAACTTCAAGAGTGGAGATCTCCGAGGTGGTGGTTCATTAAACCATTGTTTTGATGGCAGCGCGGGAATGTAGATGTGTGAGATCATCGGTTGATCGTTCTTCTATGGAATACCATTTCTCGGAGAAGTTACATGGAGAACTACACTGTTGTTTCTGGTCCGTTATTACATACTATGTTTCGAAATCGTATGTTCAGACTGGATCGACAAGAAACAAGTCCTCTGCTGGATTGTTGCTCCAGTTGCCTGCTTCCAACTTTTAGGGCTTGGGTTGAGCAAGAGGAGAAATACAGATTTAGGACTCCGTTTCATAATCATTCAGGAAGCAAGTGAAACATCAAGACCCGTTTTCATTCGCGCCATGGTTGCGTTTGTATCGGTCTACTTCATTATATATAAAATAGGTCCTGCCTGGCCTTTACCGTTTGATCAACATTCTCAACCCATTGCCAATGTATTAATCCAATATTCATCTTCTCAACCTTGTATCTAGCCTGAACCCAACCTTGTCATCCGCTCGCGCTCCCACGACGAGCTATCATGCGTTTCACTGGGATAGCTCTCGGGATCGCAGTGTTCCAAACCCACATCGGCACACTGCTCGCCGAAGAACTGGCCGCCGAATCTCACGACTCCTTTTTGGGAGCCCCTCTCGATTACACCAGCACTGCCGAACTCGACGAGGACCTGCGCGCGAGAGACTCCGACCCCCATTACATAGACTATTACAGTCCTAAGGCGGACCTGCATACGAGAGATCTTGAAGCTCCTGACCGCCAGGGCGATGAAGACGTGAACGCGGACCCGTACGCAGAGGACCTCGATGCAGGCATCGAAGAATACAACGCGAGTAACGGCGATTACGATGAGGAGGACTACGAGGTTTTCGCGCGCCGCTTCGCGAGAGATCTGCAAGCTGGGCCCGAGTATCGGGATCCGCTTTACGCACAGGATCCTGGTGACGAGGACGAGGGTTTTGAGCCTGAGAAAGAGATAGATGGAGAGGGCCTCGAGTCACCGCCAGAGACGGGGGCAGAAGGCGTGAGGACGAAGCTGGCCCTTGGAGCAGAGCCTCTCGAGCCGGAACTAGAGAATGAAGCAGAGGGACTTGAGTCTGAACCAGAGAATGAGGCAGAGGAACTTGAGTCAAAGTTAGAGACTGGGGTAGAAGGCCTAGCGCCAAAGCCGAAGACTGGGGTAGAAGACCTCGAGCCAAAGCCAGAGGTGGGGGCAGAGGACGTTGAGCCGACCGAGGAGATGGAACCAGAGGCCCTCGAGTCAAAGACAGAGCTTGGAGTAGAAGAGACTGAGAGTGAGCCTCAGCTGGGATCCAATCTTGACAATGCTAGTGCAAAGCCTCAACGTCGAAAGAGGGCTCCACCCGGGACGAGTGGTCCTCCAGAAAAAGCTGCTACCAAGTCACTCCCAGCGGGTTTCAACTTCAAGACGGTGACTCGCGAAGAATTACAGAAAGCGCCTCCCCAAGCAGCTCGTGCGGACAGTCTATATGTTGCGTTAAATGATAAAGACCTAGACGACATTTTGGCTCAGGCAGAACCAACAAAGGGGAAACTACCACCTCCGGCGAAGGAGAAAAAGCCACGTCCAACAAAGAGGAAACAACCATCTCCACCCAAGGCGAAACAAAAGGCGAAGCGAGGGGAGAAGCAAGCAGGAAAACGAGTGGGAAAACCAACGGGACAACGAGAAGGACATCGAGAAGGACAACGAGTAGGATATCGAGAAGGATATCTAGAAGGATATCGAAAAGGATATCGAAAAGGATATCGAAAAGGATATCGAAAAGGATATCGAAAAGGACATCGAGAAGGACATCGAGTGAGGAAACAAACGGGAGAACGAGAGGGAAAACCAACGGGAAATCGAATCGGGAAACAGGCGGCGAAACGGTCACCTCTTTCAAAGGCACAACAATCTAGAAAGCAAAAGGTCGATAAGCTCACAAGGAGACGTGATACCAAAGTCGAACTAACTTTAGACATGTGGGAATATGGTAAGTGCTCCTATAACTTTATCCGAGTAAGGAAATAGACTTATATCGTGGCAGTGTTCGAAAAGTTAGACGAAAGTCTGTCAGCAGACACTTCGATTAAGGGGAAGATTATCATATATGCTGTGGGAGGCGTGTCAACACTGCATTTGGGCGCACGAGGGCCTTCTGGCACGTCTAGAACCTGCAACTATTTCTACTCTAGGTTCACCTCCAAATCAGACCAGCAGATTTTCGAGGACTACGTTCACACATACCAGAAACAACATCCGGAGTGGTTGGCACGCAAGTATATGAATGCAGACCTAGCCCCCTTCGTTGATGATGAATACAAAAAGGCCATAGCTGCTTATGCGAAGCCTATATGGGAAGGCAAAAAGCTCGAAATATCGCACATACATCCAGGGATCGAGCTGATTGCAAAGATGGGCTTGATGCGAGAGTTATTGGAGCCGAGAATATATAGAAACGGATTCAAGGTACCCAAAGTTGGGGTGATACAACGAAAGCACGTGGACGATGCAGTTACCCTTGTGAAAGCAATTTCTGCCCACCCTGCAAAGATAGCACCTAACGGAATTACGTTGAAGGACCTGAAATCTTGGGGCGACAAGTGGAATCTGATGACTGAGGAGGTGGACCACAACATCATCTGGACTGTCAAAACGATACAAAATAATCTACCAGCAGGGGAACTCGGATTCGCAAAGGACGTGTTGGAACTGAAGTGGTATAATTTGAATACCCTCTTGTTTTCATCCAATCACCAGACCTTGAAATCCGCGATCCTCGCGGGCAATGTTAAAGTGGTGGATGACAAACCTCCTTCTCCCCCGTCCAGGAAATTGAAATAGATGGAGTGGCGAAATAAAGTAGGCCCCTTCTAGGTATCGATGGCGTGTAGTCGCCTTTTGGGGAATTGTATTGTTAGCCGTTGAGTGTACAGTTAGGAAATGAAATATATTTGACATGGAATCCTTCATACAACGTATTTTCCATACCTTATCGACTTCAGAGCACATTCAGTGACGGAACCTTCTGGTCTTTCCTTTAGCAAATGCGATTATGATGCTAGTTCAAGTTCTCAACTGCCTCATCGTATGAGGACTTACCTCAGGACCAAATGAAACTGCATACGATGTTTGTAGGACATGCGGCATGCTACTCTAAAGATTGTGGAGTGACAGGGTAGTATAATGTAGCGAAACTTGGATCTCTCATTTGTTCTAAGTCTGGTGGCAATAGTGATGTCTGCTATGTCGGACATGGGAATAGTGTCACTGTCTAGAAGATTACTTCTGGTGTTTTGTATTCGTTTAATTCTATAGATTAGGCAGTTCGAGAGGCCGAGTCACTATCAGTAATGTACACGGTTGGTCTGTAAATAGCATATCCAAATCCTTTAAAAAGTTGCCGGCTTTCTAATTGCCCAAAGTATAGTGACAAATTTAGGGAAGATGGTTGGGAGAGCTGATATCAAAAGTATGGCCGAAATAGGATTAGCGCGGGAGGATTCAGGCACAACCACGGCAGTCAGGCTCGCCCGCACATGGGATGACCCTCGAAGTGTATCATACCTGATCTTACCTCGTAGGTATTACTCCCAACAACCTTGCGAGTCGTGAAAATCGCTGTTCCATATAACATCTCGACCCGAGACATCTTATCCTTCGGACTGCCCGTATTGGCAGATGCCTGATTCATTTCGGCTTTTCAAGACATGCTTGCCGACTTCGCATTGAATTGCCACCACGAGCTGCACATGCACATCAGCGGCATCTAGCTTACCCAGCTCCTTGAAAGGGCTAGTGACGCTGCTTCCAGCACGGCTTGTTTACGGTCGCTGCTCGGCATCATATCTATTATACCACGACGGGCCATGACTCCTTCGCTCGACTCCTTCGCTGAGCCTGCTACCTCAGCTGCGGGGTCTGCTATGCCCCATCAGCAGCAGCACCATACAGATGACGCTAACGTCGACGTATCACTTGGATTCTTTCGCCTAACCCCTATCCCAACCATAATATTGGATGCTTCATCAATTGTCCGGCAAGTCTCAGAAACCTATCTTCAGATTTCGGGTAATGCCAGACGCGAACATGTCCTCGGCCGGCCACTGCATGACTTGCTTGGCTCAACATTACTACTTCCTTCGCTTTCATTGTTCCACAAAACGATCGAGACTGTCCATGAATCAAGGCAGCCATGTAAGCAAAGCCAAATTCACCAAGATGGCACAGCGTGGACAATTCGTGCTGTTCCAATTTACAGCGCGAATGGTCTTCAATACATCCACTTAGAACTCGAAGATACCACAGCCGAGCATCAAAAGCAATTAGAGCTTCAGGAGGAGCTTCATGCCAACGAGACCTTTCGAATTCTGGTACAGTCTGTGAAAGACTATGCTATATTCTTACTTGATAAGGATGGCAATGTGATGACATGGAATCCTGGTGCAGAGAGGTTCAAGGGGTACTCGAAGGAAGAGATCATGGGGAAGCACTTTTCGACTTTTTATTGTAAAGAGGATCTCGAGAATGGGAAGCCGCAAAAGGAGCTTGCAGATGCCGTACGGGACGGCCGCCTTGAAGACGAAGGCTGGAGGTATCGGAAAGACGGGTCCAAATTTTGGTGAGTATTATTTTGACGAAAACATACATGATCAACAGTTGGATGAGGGAATCTTACCGCTGTACAAGCAACAAATAATACAAGAAGATGTATATGCTGACAGAATTAGGGCAAATGTCATCATCACTCCGATATATCGTGGAGAAAGCTTGATAGGCTTTGTAAAGGTTTCCCGCGATCTCACAGAGCGTCGCAAGGTAGAGGCAGACTTAATTACTGCTTTTCAAGAGTCTTCGCAATTGAAGTCTGAATTCCTGGCAAATATGAGCCACGAGATCCGCACACCAATGCATGGCAAGTTATTCCGCAGGCCGAATGATTGACCATACTAACGCTGCCAAAGGTATGCTGTCAGCTCTCACTCTCCTTCTTGATACATCTTTGGATTCCGAACAACTAGAGTTGGCACGACTCATCGAAGAATCCGGAGACATTCTTATGCAAGTAATCAACGACATCCTCGATTACTCGAAACTTACCCACGGAGGCTTTTCAATCAGCCGTGACATCATAAATATACCAGACATAGTTCAGTCTGTCTTTAAGATGCACGAGAAAAGCTGTGGGTCTAGATTAAGCCTGGGCATTGATATTGACCCACGGCTTCCTACAGCTGCTGAAGGAGACAGTCTTCGATATCGTCAGATTGTACAAAACCTTCTATCCAATGCTACCAAATTTACCGACGAAGGATACGTTCTTGTCAAAGCAGCCTTGGAGGACGAAGACGATGAAAGATACACAATAATAACAGAGGTTATCGACACTGGTGTGGGCATTCCATCAGATGCCTCGAACTCGCTCTTCAAACCGTTTGTGCAATTTGACAACTCCGCCACGAAGAGATTCAAAGGTACCGGGCTTGGATTGAGCATATGCAAGAGCCTTGCGGAACTGATGGATGGCCGGATTGGTTATCGCCCCAATCCCGAAGGCTGTGGAAGTATCTTCTCGTTTACTGCACAACTTAAGAAAGTACACCAATACAGCGTGGTAACCCCCATCCAAGACGGCGATGTCGACGAAAACGCATGTAAGAGTAATCTTGCAGAGAGATTGAGGACAATAGCGGCCGATACAAATGTGCTCATTGCAGAGGACAACCCAATCAATCAAAAAGTCATCTTGAAAATCCTTCAAGGACTTGGCTTCACCAACATTGATCTCGCGATCAATGGGAGAGAAGCCGCCAAAATGGCCATTGAAGCCTGCCCACCATACAAAATTATCCTTATGGACATAAACATGCCGGGTCTTGACGGCGCGAGTGCCACTAAGGCGATCCGAGATGCTGGTATGGTCATGCCGATTGTGGCAATGACAGCCAACGCTCTCAAAGGCCAAGCTGAGGCCTACCTTGCGAAGGGAATGTCGGCGTATATCTCAAAACCAGTCGACCGCGACATCTTGGTGAAGACATTGTTACGATGTCTGAAAGACGATTGACGTCCTTCTTACTGGCTTAGGCCAACTTTCTAACGATGTAGCTGATGCTCAACGAGAAGTCCTACGATGCAGCACGGTTTCTCAAATATGCACACATTGGCGTTTGACTTAACATACACGGAAGGATCCTACAAGCATGTGTGATTCAATATTCAGGCGTTCTATTTTCCTGCTGTCACATTCCAGCACATAGCGTTTCTGCACAGCGACACCCAGGGTCATAAAGATTTGAAAGAGGAAATTTATAAACTCACATTCGATGAAGACTAGATCTCGATTCGGCGCCTAAAGAAGCATACAAATAGTTCCAGAATAAAGGATTTCGTGTTGGTCAGGCGCAACCGTTCCAGATCGTCATACGTCATCGCTTACGCCCTGGTCATTGTGCAACCACCATCTCCGAAGGCCCTGCTACGGTGAAGATATATTCCAGTGTTCGAATTCTCTATCGGGAGTTCCTCTAGCGATCTTGAGAGCCACACAATTCCGGCACATGAAAACGGGAAGGATGTCGACATTATTTTCAAAGACCCGGCTGCTACAAGCAAGTCGAGCTGAATTCTCCCGCATACTATCGAATCTCGCCCTGCAATTTGCAGTACTTGGATGTACCGATGTTGCATTGCGTCTGGTTTCTCGCCTCAACAAGTACGATGCCGACGATCACGAAGAGGTAGTCATCAGACCACTATGGCTGCTATGGAACTCAATCGATGATTGGCCTGCTGGCGAGAAAGAGCGCGCGCACGACAGAATCTCATCTGAGCGTATCCGCGCCCGAGATCAGGCCGCCGGAGCTGAAGATGGCGAAGAGCGGGTAGGGAAGCATGCAAAAATCGATGTGGCAGACAGGCCTGTCACTAACGAAGATCTACAAGCCATGATCGACAAGACGGCCTTTGAGTATCAGCGAGATTGGTGGTTTCCCAACAGACAAGTCTCCTTCGGATCTGTTCAAGCAATCAGAGAATACAAGACACTGTACGATCGCGAATTCACACCCGAGAGCATGCAAGAGGCTCTCAAAGAAATGCTCGGCAAGGTCAACGAAATCTCGGGCGGAAAGATCATGAATGTGAGACAAGGCGCTGCATCTTCGGATGTCAGCTCTGGTCTCGTGAGCGCTCTCAACCTGAGCCTCCAGCTCAAGGAGCAGGGAGTTGAGTTCGAATGTGAGTCGGAGCTGTTGTTGGAGCCCGAGGAAATTCTGGGGATAATTGCACTGCGTATGGATGCAACCCGACAAGTTTGGTTCCTTTCGCAGTGCCGAAGAGCTTGGAACATGTTGAAAGAAGGGGCTCTAGCAAGAATGATAGGTGTGGACGAAGCAAGACTGTCTCAATTTGCGCAAGACATCGAGGCTGCGATAGACGAGCGGATCAAGAACGGACGACTAGCACTCAAAGATTCAAGCCTGCAAAACATACTGAAAACGATAGAAACCAACACCCTATCCAATCCCACCAACCGTGACTTAGACATCTCTCCAGATTCAGACTCAGACCCAACCAAAATCCACCACCCACCCGCCACCCACTCCGCCCTCACCACCGCCTCTGACCGTCTCCAAACCACCCTCCCATCCTCCTACCAATCCCTCCTCCTCCTCACAAACGGCCTCTCACCCTTCACCAACGGCACCATCTCCGAGCCGCCCCTCTACCCCATCGAAAAAGTCATCTGGCTCAAAGACGGCTACGACTTCCTCATGGACATGTCCCTCGACATCCCCTGCGCCCCGCCCTTCAACTTCCCCGACGACTTCCGCGAGGCCTGGCCGCGGCTGGGCAATGCGTTGCAGATTGGCGGGGAGGACGTGTTGCACACTTTCCTCATCCCGCCTTCTAAGACCGCAGAGATCAGGGAGTACTTGCTTCCTGTCTTGGAGGACGACACGGGGCGGTTCGACGAGGGCATAAAGAGCACGCTGAGGGGTGCGATTGAGGATTTCGCGGGGAGTCTGGAGGGGTTTAAGAAGATGGAGTGGGCGTGCGTAAGGTGGGATAAGTACGAGATGGATGTTTTTGTCGACTTGAAGGCGTATCTGATGAGTGTTGCGGAAAGGGGCGCGAGGGTGGAGAGGGATGTCGTGGTTGATGGCGGGTTCTTTGGGTACCTTTTGCTTAACAGTCACGACAGCGGTAGTCAGTCGTGATAGACAGTTCCTTCATAATGTATCTACCCATTTTAACCCTTCCTATTCACTCCCTCCTGTTTGAAACGACCGCAACATCTCCACCACACCCCTCACGACATCCCCCTCCCCCTGCCCCTCAACAACCCTCACGCCCTCCACCCCCTCAAGCCCCCTCACCCCATCCACACCGCCAAAAACGACACACCCAGCTCCCCTCCCACTCCCATCACCCTTAACCTCCCTCCCCAACCCCCTCGAAAACCCAACAACACCCCACAAACACGCCTCATCCACCACCCCTCCAGACACCGCCTTAACGACATTAACGACCCCCCCACCAGGCCGAGAAGCGGAGGTACCAGCGAACCCCCTACACACATTAAACACGCCCCTCAACCCCTCACTCACCGCGTCGTCGAATTGCGCGTCTGTCATCCCCGCCAGTCCCGCCCGTGACGCTACGGACGGGGGAGAAGGGGAGGGGGTGGTGATGACGTAGTCGATACCGCGTGCGGCGGCGTGCTCGGCGAGACAGGTGGAGACTTCTTGGGCGGAGGAGGCGTCTGTGTCTGAGAGGGTGATTTTGATGGTGGGGGAGGTGGAGCGGCAGAGGCGGGAGGTGCGTTCGAGGGAGGTGAAGTCGGTGTCTAGGAGGATGAGGTGTGTGGGTTGTTGTTGGGACAGTGGTGGTGGCTGTTGGGAGGGGGGGAGGAGGGTGGAGATGTGGTGGGCGAGGGCGCGGCTAGGGGGGCGGTGTTGATTAGCTTTTGGTTCTTTTTGTCCTTGAGTTCACTGAAGTGGTTTCTTCCCCTCTGTTGTTGGAACTATAGGGATCTTTCTGGTTTCTGGTTTCGATCTTTGATCTCTTGATACTGCGTTGAGAGAGAGAGGGGGGAGGATGTAGCATCCTACATATATCAAAGCACCAGATACAACAATAAGGAAGACAAGCCAAATAGAAGGGATGATGCTCGATTACATGCCCCCTCTTCAAGGAGAAAACATCAAATCAGATCATACTGAAGAGACGAGTATTTCAAAATAAATGAGAACGAAACAAGAAAAAAGAGGCTTTCCTACACAAGACGATATTTCAGAGGAAAATTATGACACTCACCCAACACCGCTTCCCGCACCCGTGATCAAGATGACTTTTCCTGCGAAGATGCTAGCCAACTCCGGCTCTGACGACGATGGCGGTGGTGGTAGTGGTGGTGGCGACGGCATGGCAGCAACTGCTCTCGTTGACTTCTGGGGTTGATATACCTCGTTTCCCTTGCTCTTTCTTGTAAAATAGGATGGGTTGTTTGGAGTTGAGATGTGACTGGCGTCTAGGCGCTTGGTGGGGGCAAGACCTGGTGTTTTGGTCGTGTATGGTTGGGTGTGAATTTCTACTTTCTGAAACTCCACGAGGAAAAAAGAGGTAGTCGGGAGAGGTTTGTCAGTTTACAGGGTTGTGTGGATGGATGGTTGTGGCAGGTAGACGTTGTTTGTCGTTATTGAAAGCACACGATGAGGGAAGGAGGTTGATATAAAAGTAAGCGCACGAGTAGGAGCAGTTTAAGAGTAATCGTCGTGTTGTTTCTCGGCGCGTGCCTGGTTCTACGTAGTCGAGTATCATAAGTACATTACATACATACAGCCGCAAACAAAAAAAGTGTTTACGAGAATTGGTATCATCTCCCAATGCCATGAAAAACCTCAAAAAAGAAAACACAAGAACAAAATCAATTATTTGCCCCTCCCACCGCCAAAGCAGTGAGTTTCCAATTGCCTTGCCTCGAGGGGGGGAACAAGTCGCGTTGTGCCTGCCATGCGGAACAATCTCGAGACCGAATATAACACCTCCCATGTATGCATCGTTAACATGAATCATTTCATTACGTTTCATCGCTTCTCCATGAGCTTCTCGATGCTTGTGACGAGGTCGTCCACCTTGAACGGCTTGCTTATTATCCCGTCCATGCCGGCGTCCTTCATTGCGACTCTCTGCGCTTCGCGCGCGTTGGCTGATACGCCGAGTATGGGACTGCGACCGGCCTTGCCCTGCTCTTGGAGCTCTCTGATCTCGACGGTCGCGGAATTGCCGTCCTTGATCGGCATCTCCTGGTCCATGAGTATGCAGTCGAAGTAGTCGGGGTGGTCGGGGTCGTGTTTTGATAGTTCGCCGCGTTCGGCGACCACATTGATGGCTTCCTGGCCGTTGTTCGCGACGAGCACGTCGAATCCACGGGATTGCAACTGGCGCCGCAGGACTTTTTGATTGATGAGGTTGTCTTCGACGAGCAGTATTGTCGGTAGTGGTCGCCCATTTTCTTGCTTCTGCGACTGCGCGGTCTCTTCTACAGCCTCTTCCTGCCGACATGTCTCACCCTGAGACTCGAGGCCGATTATATCGCTTCCAGTGGCAGATGTGAATGAAGCGCGTTTTTCCCTGGCTCGCATTGCAATGTCCCTCTGCCAATGGTGCTCGTCACGAGACGCAGAGGGATGCAAGGAGTTGTTATTTTCGGTAGGTGGGTTTTCTAAAGACGCATTATCAGATCTGCTAGGGTCCACGCCTTCATGGCTAAACAGGGTTTCGATCTTCGGTCGGTGCTCACTGTTGGGCTTCTCTTTGATATCCCGAAGTGAGGTAGAGCGGCTGTACGAAGGCCTCGGCGTGGTTGCTCTCTTGGTCACAGAGTTTTCCGAGGTCGACCGGCTGGGAAACGAAGGTCTTCCGCCTTCATATGTGATGCGGCGAGCTTTGAAAAAGAAGCCGAATGTCGAGCCAACGCCATCTATGGAGCTCACGCCGATGTCACCTCCATGGAGTTGGCACACTGGAACATTTTGTCAGAAGCTGCTGTAATAGAGAACGGAGCGAAACCTCATACATTTCCGTGAAATAAAAAGCCCTAGGCCAGATCCACCATAATTCTCTTGCGTCTTCGGCGTTGCTTGTCTGGAAAGTCAATGTCAGCACTGGGCGTGGTCCTTGATGTTCTGGGGGTAGAAAACCGCCGACCCGTACCTAAATCGCTCGAAAAGCTTCACTTGTCCATCATCACTGATGCCAATTCCGGTGTCACTAACTGCGACCATGAGATAGATCTCTGGTCCTGAACCCCATTCGGATGTCATCGTGGTGTCAATGTGGAAGGCGCTATCGTCCAAGCTGAAAAAGATCACATTCGGGGGATACGATCTAGGTCGTTCGACGGAGGCCCCCATCGAGACGGTGATGTTCCTGTCTCCATCCTTCTTGGAAGTAAATTTGATGGCGTTCGTTATCAGATTGACCAACACTAAATTATCAGTTATGATATCCATGGCGCGCACATGGAGAACCTACCTTGTTTCATCCGGTTGAGGTCAGCAACCACAACATCTACATCTAGCTTGTCATATGAAACATCCATAGCGTAGTGGAAGTTGATTTTTTTGGCTTTGAACTCGGCATTGAATACCTTGAGCGCCTTGGAGAACTCCCATTTCGGGCGAACTTCTCGAGGAACTAACGACAGCATCATCGAGTCGAGCTTCGAGAATGAAAGAATGTCGTCCACCAAAGTGTTCTGGTGGGAAACACACAGTAGAATGGTGTCGGCTGCATCCCGAATGTCGGCTATCTTGCCTTCAACGTCCTCTTCACGGGCTCCCTGCATTTCTTTCGCCACCTCTTTGATTTCCTCTGCCAGATGGAGGACTGCAGAGAGCGGGTTTCGAATTTCATGGGATACCATGTCGATGAAACGCTCCTGTTGTTCTTTCCGTTCTTGAGCTTCGGTGGCCGCCTTCTCTTGAGCTATTTGTGCATGTTTGATCTCGGTGATGTCAACGATGGCGCAGATGAAGCCCGCTTCGGCATGTTCGCTGAGTGGTCGTAAGAGAAACAATCTCCATTCTCTCGATTCTTCGTCATTCGAGCCAGCACAACGAAATTCTATCCGCAGCTCGTTTCGTGATGAGAAGGCCGTGCGATATTCAGACATGACACGCTCATAATCCATGCTGTCAATACTCTCGGGCCAGGCACGGAACTCATTGGATGACCTGTTTGTAGTGAGTTTGAAGAAATTGTCATTCACGAAGACGGCCTCGGCGTCGCTGTCGAGTATGGCCAATCCATTCGGTAGCAATTCGGCGAACTGTTGGAATAGCTGTGTCTGCTTCGCGTCGACCTGTTCCTGGCCTGTCGTTATATCTTTCTGTTGCGCGCCGTGAGCCTTGGTCTGGCGAGCTGTGATGTCGTCCAGGTGAGAGAGGGGCATGTAACGTTCGACAATAGAGTTGTGCGTGAGCTGTGCGAGCACACCCTGCCTCTTTCCAGTTTCGTCTAGCAGTGTGCTGAGAAGGACGGTCGAATCTGGAGCATGCTCGACATTCTTGTCGAAAAACGCTCTACTAGCTAATTCAAGTCAGATCAGTATGCGCTGTCGGTCGCGTCGATTGTGACGAAAGGTTATCATACGCACCTACTTTGACCGTACGGCCTCGAACGGCAGAGTGAAGGGCAGTGAGGACCTCATTGGGGTAGCTGTCATCGGCGCGCCGACCTTGACCATCTAGATCGCCCGTAGCCTTGCCCCAGGCTAGATTGTGTATGATCGAGAGCCCGTCGCCCCAGAATATCGCGGCGCAATGGGGGATGGGGAGGAGGAAAGAACTGACGAGGCACTGTAGAGAGGCGGGCCATTCTGAGCGAGGACCTAGAGGTGTCTGGGACCTGAAGGGTGGTTAGGGTAGTTCATAGACCAAAAAGAGGACGAGACGGTGACGGACCAATCCTTGCGATCTATGTTTTCGGCGTTGAGGTCGTAGACAGGCAAGCCGGCAGCAGTGAGCTTGTCGAGATTCTCCATAGCCCAAAGGCGGACATGTATGTTGGAAGAAGAGAAGACGAGAAGGAGGGGTGGTGATGGTGTTGCTGGTGGTTACGAGTAGCGAATCGTGGTGGGCGATTTAGATTCCTGATGGGGAGACCGCGAAGGGCCAGGTAAATGATAGTTCGACCGTCTAGGGTCCGAATACAGGCGTGTAAAAATCGTAAAACGAGTGCGTGATGGACGGTGCTACATTTGCGCTGGCAGACTTGAGCGTGAGTATGTGGGTTGAAGGGTTTGGCTTATTATTTAGCGTGACGTCACAGTAGATGATGGAGTTATTGCCTTGCCCACGACCACTACTGCGTTCAAATCAACATCGACGGCCAACACCAATTCACATCGTAATAGAGAGAACCACATGCACCGCCCATAGGGGTCTCGACCTTAATCGTCTCTCCATCGCCCACTTTTGGCAAGTCGTCAGAAGCAGGCGACGCAGTCTCGTTGGCCATCTACAGCGAGTCGGATGGCAGACCCGCCGTGCCTGGAAGCTTGGCCTTGGAAACGAACAAGAACGAGGATGATCATTGCGAAAAAGGACGGGAGTGACAGGGTCATGGGAATGTGAAGAAATCAACTAAGCAGGTTCAGTCATGGCCGTAAGGAGTTTCGGTAGCGGAAACAAGGGGGTCAGGGCCGGTAGGGCAAATGACATGTGCGGAAGAGGGCGAATGGATGGAGGTTCGGCAAGAAAGTGTCTCAAAAGCGGTGTATCAGGTGGAGTTTGACTACACGGTAGTTACCTTCGCATGGTGCAATAGGAATGGGGTTGATGACGATGATGGGGGCAACGTGTCTTGCAGGATCGTTAAGAGTGCGTGGGATCGTATCCGGTTTCTTCCCCTGCCGTGCCGAGCATCCACAAAGCAGCATTGACGGCACGAGGCTCCAGTAGGAACACGGGAAATGGAAGAAATAAAGAGAGAGGAACAGGACTGACTGGGAGTTCAAGAAGATCATCCTGGCTTCTTTTTATTTTATTTTATTGCCGGTGGATGAAGGAAGGGCCATGGAAGGGTCATGGAAGCAGAATGGCTGAAGCAACTAGAGCCTAGAGGGAGACCCTTCGCAGCTACGCTACGCTACACTACACAGCAGGGTACCTGTGCCCAGTTTGATAATATAATACTACCCGAGTTGGCGCGAATAGGTAAATTCATTATTATACGAGTAGTTGGACTGGGAACAGGCACGAGTCATGGCGTCATGTCCCAGAGGAAGCACATGTGCACAGTGGTGAAGAGATGAATCTGTATGGACTACGTATCATGTAGGTACGGTCGGTGTTGGTTGCATTACGAGTCCGAGTGGTGTCATTTGATCGTACATACGACGAGTGCCTAGGAGTAGTAGATAAGGTATCTCACTGTACTATACTTTACATTGTAGTTTAGTATACATGTACATATACATACAAGTAATTGCCATGTTGGTGTTGGTGTTGATGATCAGTAGCCCTCTGTCTAGGAGGTAGTGGTACAGTACATTAGGTACCTAGGTACAAGTAGGTAGGTAGCCAAACCCTTGTCTGCTCACCAATCACTCCTTCACAATTGTTTGTACATTCATGACTGCAAGTATATGTACATGCCCATCTGCATACGTGTACTTCGTACTACTGAAGTATCGTAGTAGTATAATAGGACGGAGTAGTCAAGGCATTTTTGGAAATTGGAGGATACGATGATCGCGTGCACACAGACATACATACATGTACGTACACATGCAGTGGTGACCGTGTGTAGTCAGTACATACTGACAACTTCGTATAGACCTTCAACATCACCACTACAACTACCCAGATTCGAAACGATGGCCGATTGTCGAAATAGATCGGTAGATTTGACCGAAGATGAAATGATCGATTCACGAACCATGCGCTTTCCCTTTTCCCCCTTTTCTTTCTTTTTCTTTTGGATTTGTACGCAAGTGCAGTGCGGCTGAAGCCACGTTCAGACCGAAGATGGACCTTGGGTAAGATGCTAGACCAAAAGGACCAAACCCAAGAGATCTCGAACAGAACGCGATGCGTGGCACTTGACCTGTTCCAGGCCTTGTAGCTGTACTAATAGGTAGTAGAGCAGAGTAGGACAAAGTAGGTACAATTAGTTACCTCGTAGGCGCATCCAAACTCCCACTTCCCGCTCAACCCGAATTCCCCCCTCTTCTTCCCTCTTCCCCTCCCCCTCTAGCTGATCCGTCCGTATGGATGGTAGATGGCATATGCTTCAAAACAACCAACCAACAACCTACCAACCTACTTACCTACCTATCATCAATCCTTACTACTTGTATGGAATTACTGTAATCTCAGACTGTATGTACATACCAAGGTCCTACTGTACTGTCCTGTGCTGTAATTACCCCCTGCGCCCACCAACACTAAACAATTCACAACGCGACGCAACGCAACCAAACACCAGTAATTATATATAGAGGTAACTAACCCTTGATACCTACCAACCTACACATCACCTACCCTACTCCTTATCAATCTACAGAGGTATAATAATACCAACTCTTCCCTCTGCCTTCTCTTCTGCAGCTCTGCTACGTGTCTGATATCCATCCAGTTATTCCTCTATCCCCCGTCTGCTTCTTCCCATCTTTTCTACACTCCTTACCCTCCCACCCTATCTCATCCTATCCCACTCCCCTTCACACTTGTCCTTTGCACTTCATTCTATACCTGCTGCTCAAACATATCCTTTTTCTTTCCTACCTAACTAGGTACTCACTTCTTACTGCTTACTTCTTGCACTCACTCACGTTTCGACTGGTCTAGCCTCGTCTGGTCTCGTCTCATCATCCACCCCACGCACCCGCATCCTCCGCCCAGGTTGCACCCCTCCTCCAATCTCCGCCAAACTCCGGACTTTCCATATTATTATCGACATCATTCACAACCACCACCTTTCAACCTCTTTCATCGACTCCAGTCTTTGGCCCACACATCGTAAACACTTCTTGGGACCAAATCTTTCTCTCTGCACCTTCCACTTCTCTCTGCAGACATAATGGAGGCCTCTCCGCCCACCGCCTCGGAACTCATTGACCTGGCTCCTGAGTTATTGGAGCTGGTTCTCTCCTATCTCAACCCAGCTGAACTCGTCGCCTTTGGAACCACCTGCCGCCGTGCGCATGCATTTGTCCACCCTAGCAATCAAATACTCTGGCGTTCTGCCTTCCTGCAGAAATTCGACGACCCGAAATATGCCTGGGCTCGACTCGCTCACACCGCGCGAACCCAAAACATGGCCCGCGAAATGGATTGGTCCTGGTTCGAGGAAGTCCGCAAGAGGTATCAAGCTATACAAGCTGTCCGCCAGGCAACTACCTCTCCCGCCTCTTCTACATCGGCTACAGACTGCAGCACTGAGACGATCGTGAAGACGCTTCTCGACATAGTCGCTACCGCTTCCCATACCAAAGCGCGAACAGGAGCCACTTCCGCTGCCGCCGCTAACCGCTCTTTGAATCTGGATCTTCTCAACAGTCTATTTCTCTCCTCTGCCGAGTCCGAAGCCCTGGTGCACGACTATCACCGTACCGTAGATCTGGATGCTTCTTCTCTCTTGGATGTCATGACAGAACTCTCCAACCGCCCAATCACACGCTCCATGCTTGGCCGTACCGTGGCTGTTCCGGTCTGGGCCAGTCAATTTCATATCTTTTACGGCATGACGGTCAGAGAGAAGGAATCTCTCCGATCAAAATCCCTCGCAAGAGCCATTGTCTACAATTGGCTCGTCACCGGCAGCGATGCAGATCACGGACCCTTCAAGAGGGACAAGAGTGGCACGGTCAATTGGCAAGCTCTCGAGGCAGTCACATCGCTAATGCACCGCATCTTTGAGAACACCCGCCGGGCCCACAGCTACTGTAGGCCGTGGGGCTTCCGTAAGAATGTTACGCACTATCTTCCTTCCTCGGTATCGTCAGGGGACTGGGCTGGCGTTAACAGGATCTGGGTTGGCACGTATGCCTTCCTTGACTACCGAGCATTAGTGCATTACAATTTCGCCAACCGTGTCGAGCACCCCATGGACCTTGGCCAGTACGAGGAGGCATGTGGCGATCTGATGCAATTGCAACTGGAGATCTCTGATTCGGAAGAGCTCAAAGCTGACTCTAGGCTTCAGTCGGACCTGCCCTATTGCAAGGATCTACCTAGGCTCTACTTTACAGGTGCTACCAGCAACCGCCCGAACGGACGACTACCCATACTTGTCAAAGGCTTTGTCTGCCTGGTGCCGGGGGCGAAGCAAGTCCGATGGAGATTTGTTATACGCTACGCAGGCTCAGATCAATGGCAATTAGAGGGTGTTCAACCAGGCGGCATTCGATCCGGCGGAGTCTATGGTCTCTGGAGTCATGTTGACCATGAAGCCAATGGGCCAATTGGACCCTTCTGCTACTTCCCCTCCGAAGCATGCGAACCATCGGAAACCGTTTGCTGATTGACAATTTGCTCCCTCCACATACCGAGTACATTGACCTTTCAAAATGTTTTCCCTCGCAGACACTCCGTAGCGAATGCCTTCGCCCGGGATTCGGCTACCCTCTAAGCCTCTCGCCATATTTCCACAGCAGGATTGGCGCCGGGAATCCCAGGATCACGGCGAGCCCGGCGAGCACGCTGTTTCCTCTTCCATATCCCAGATTATCGTACAGTTGTGGTGCGAAGATTGGGAAGACGAACGCGAAGATGCTACGAAGAAGCATGGCCGCCGCCGTCGCTGAGGCATTGTACTCCAGGAACGCGTCCACGATATATGCTTGCGCAGCATAGCTGCTGGAAATCAGCCCGTACCCCAAAATTGCCACCCCTATATCTGGCATTATCCAATGCAAATGGCTCTCCACGGACCACCCGTACCACAGAAGTCCGGCAGGAATTAGCACAGTGCCAGGCAACATCAGCGGTAATCGATTCTCCGGTTTGGTTTCGCCGCCGTTCTTCTGTTTTAGATGAGCCCACATTTTGTCCATGGCCCAGCCTCCAATCTGTGCCGCAAGGAGGTATCCTGTCACAATTGCCAGATAGTGTAGCCCACTAGCAGATGGAGATAAACCATAGTGGCTTGTCCACATACTGGAGTAGGTCGCAAGCATGATGTACAACAGGCCGAACTGGTACGCCATGATCAATGCCATGATTTGTATGGTCGGTTCGAAGATGAGGAAGCGAGTGGGCCTTACGATTCCAGTCTTCAATCTTGACGTCAAAGACAACTCAGACGTTTTCGCACTGGAATGTGATGGGTCCTCTCCTGAACCCTGGCGTGTTTTCAATCCCCGGCGCACAATGGTGGCATGGTGGGTCTCAGGGACTGCAACGATGAAGACAGCAAAGATGAGGGCATTGAAGATGGAAAGCGTCCAAAATAGCCACCGCCAGTTCAGATTCTGCACCATGAGTCCACCGACGATAGGTCCCAATGCAGGCCCTAGTAAGGGCAGGAAGCCTCTGATTGCCATAGACTTCCCTCGCTCCTGATCACTCCACATATCATTCACGATCGGACCGGATACCTAGCTATTAAGTTAGTAAATAGATAGAAGGTTGCTACTTCACCACACGTACAGCAAATTCGACGCTCGCACCCAGACCCGAAAACAACCTCGCAGTGATCAGAAGACCTTTGTTATTCGAAAATCCGCACACCGTATTCCAGACAATGTACCAAGCTGAACCACATATCCACACTCGCCTGCGACCGAAAACCTCCGAGCAAGGCGCCAGAACCATAGGTCCAAAGGCAAACGCGAGGACATAGATAGACAAGGCCATTGACGATTCTGCACTCGATATCGATAGATCTTTTCCGATGAAATTGAGCGCTGGTGCCAGCATCGCACCAGACATGAGAGTCACTAGGCCGCCCAGGCTGGTCAAGATCGTCAGAAGCCATTTTCTACTTTTCGGCCAGTTCAATGGATCTTCGGATTCTGAAAGTCCTTCGCTGGACGTCTTATGAGTTGTCAGACTTTAATATGCGAGTTTTTTTCTTCTTGTTATGCTGGACATACCACAGTCGTATCGTTCTGAATAGACGAAACTTTTGGCTCCCTTGCTCCCTTTTCCATTTGCGAAACCACGTCTACCGTTGAATTCGTCATTTTCCGTTCAATGATTCCCCTTTTTCCAGTCCTTTATCGAATGAATGGGCGCGTTTGGTCTCTAGTATATACACAGAGCAAGTATATGTATTTATCACGTTTGGTCTTCGACACCCATGCGTGCCTCATTGTGATTGGCTAAATTTTCAATATGTCCGAGTGACTCAATTTTCGCCGAGCTCCTCGGCAACATCTCCGAGCTTTAATCCGAGAGTCTCGATACTTTATCATCGCAATCGCTCACGTTCGGATCTTTGCAGCTTCTTGATCATCGGAGATCTATACTTCAGTTCCTTTAGGACAGATAACACAATTTTGACTATATCCTTATGGACGAATCTCCGACCCTTGAAACGAAGTCCAAAAAGCGGAAGCAGCGGGCCACTCTATCTTGCTTCGACTGCCGGCGCCGCAAGCTCAAATGTGACCGTGAATTACCTTGTCGCCGATGCATCAAGGGCGATGTTGCGAGCTCCTGCCATTATGAACAAGAAAAAGCTCCTACTCGGGCGAAGCGAGCAGGCACCGACCAAACTTATGTCCACGATGGTTTGCCGCTGCCTCCCTTACTCACGGGTTCCTCCAGGCCTCAGACAGTCGCATCACCTCAGAGTGATGGAAGTACTCCTATATTGCCGACGTCGAACCAATTTCTTTGCGACAAGATCGCGTCATTGGAGGAACGTCTTGCTTCGTTTACATCACACAGTCAAAGAATACGATCTGTTTCTGGACAGCGATTGTCAGATCCTCAAGAAAGGCATGATGAAGACCCCAACACTCCTCTAGCTCCTCTCTTCAAGGGCCATGACTACCGTACATTCATGTTCGGTACTTCCTGCCCCATGACCATCGTAGCACACGTGAGTTTCAAGATCCCCAAGCTAAAAAAAAAAAGGTCAAAACTGACAACGATAGTTCCCCGAGCTTCGCCCCTTCATGAAAGAAATCTACCCAAACTCATCCCTTGCAAGAGCACAGGCCGAATTGAAGTCAATCGATGAGCGAGCTCGTAGCAGTCACAGCTCGCACAAAGTCCTAAATGTCACCAGTCTTCGCAAGCTTCTGCCCGATCAGCAGACTGTGACCAAGATGATCGATCTGTATATGAACACGTTCGAGACTACCTATCGAATTCTGCATATCCCGTCATTTTGGCAGGAGTATCAAATATTTTGGGGCCCCTCGGAGCAATGTAACTCTGACTTGGAGGCAGTTGTTCTCGCCATCGTCGCTTGCGTGTCAGTGACCAGGGCCGACGAGGTCACCAAACACCAACCAAATGGATCGACTTTCCGCAACAGAGCAGTCGTCTGGATCAAGGCCCTTGAGACGTGGTTGAAGCGGCAAAGTAACAAGCATCGCACGCTGGCGTCGCTTCAAGTTCGATGTCTGAGATTACTTGCGTTGCAAGTGAATTGTCTGAAGACGAAAGAAATCTACCAAGAGGTCCAAGCACATATGGCTTATATGAGAGCTATTGGGTTACATAGGGACCCAGTCATTCTCGGTAAGAGGTGCTCTGTCTTTGAAGGGGAGATGCGTCGAAGGTTGTGGGCTACGTCACTGGAAATGGAATTGCAAGCCTCGATTGATAGAGGTATGTTGGCTCCCTAATCATTACCCTTCGTACTCCTCAGCCTTAGGTACTGATAACAATAATAGGCACACCGTCTGTCTTGTCTGCATTCGAATTCGACACTGCTGCGCCACGAAATATAAACGATAACGAGCTCCATCCGGCCATGGCCGAGCTTCCTCCGTCCAAACCTGTTTCCGTATTCACGGATAGCTCCTTCTGCAATCGCCTAATGCAAATCGCATCGCTCAGAATAGAACTGATCAAGATCACCAATAGCATACATTCCGGACCTAGTTTCGAAGAGACGTTACGATACGAGAAGCGGGTCCAACAAGCGCTCGATTCTCTGCCACGCTGGAGCGACCCTAGAGCGCTTCAGGCATGGACTCAACTTGACCTTCTACTTCGACAGTTTCTGGTTATTCTCTTCACGGCGAATGCGCTTCGACCGGACTCGACGGGTGATTTGGAAGTTCGGTTTTCGAAGCTGGGTTGTCTTGACTCGGCCATGGCTCTGATTGACCGCCATGTGGGCTTGATAGATTCGGGAAATTTTGCGCTTTGTTGTATCAGATCAGACTATTACCGGGCTGCTCTAATTATTTGCCAAATCACGTTCCATGCGTATCGCTCTGCTGGTATAATACCTAAACTTTCAGTCTTATAGCAATGCTAACGGCGCATAGACAATATGGTAGCTAGAAGTGCCAGTGTGCTCTTTGATGATGCCATGACAAAAGCACAGCGTCTCTTGGAAGAGAGATGCATTCGCCCAGGCCGTGGCTTAAAGCAATACTGGTATATCAGTGCAGCAAGAAGTCTCGTTCGGATCCAAGCTGCCCCCAATCGCACAGCAGAGTTCAAGAGGCAAGGTACCGAAAAGCCATCCAGGATCATTTACCGAACCTTATCAATGCAAGACGACAACCTCGACGACTGCTTCGTACAAGAGGTGAGCTATTTCTGAAGAAAGAAAATTCTCTTCCAATTCCTACCCACTGACATTGCCCGACGTTTCTTAGGTCGTACTGAACGAATCATGTTGTGGTACTGCAGATACGGGTCACAGCCACGACATCGATGCTCTGTGTGGTGGTTTACCTGCAGACGAGATTACGAATTCGAACCTGCGCCTCGATGAACTCGATCCCATAGACACATCGAATTGGATGCTGGACGATTATTGGCTCTTCAACGACTTTGAGCCTCTCTAAATGAACTTCTAGTGGCTTGATAATATGGCTGCTCCCGTATGAGTGGGAACGTTTGTGGGGTTTTCAGCAATCGCATGTCTGCCCAGAGTCGCTTGCGCGTCCAAAGCCAAGTCGAGCGACCTTGTGTTACCAGCACTGAGCTGTCCTGCTTACTTACGATTTAAGAGGTCGTGTTAAGCTCTCGTCACTCGTCCATCCCTGAGAACTTCGGTGGAGACACCTGACACAGCCATTCTTGGACATACGAGGATATGCTTAGTTTGCTGGGCATTCTGGGCGATATGTTAGTGTCGCTTAGCTTTCCAATTAGCTATGCTTTGACGATCTTCACCCCTGACTCGAAACATCAATCGCCTTGGTTTACTTGGGGCTTCGTTGTCGCGCTGCGTAATGCGTGAGCCTCGCTGTCCGAGAGGCTAGGAGAAGGCCAATGTCTGGAGATGTGAGGACAATGCTTGGCGTTCAGCATCACCCCCGACCACGATGCTTTATCCCCGCGGGACGACGCTATGATGTCAATCTTGGAGAAGGCCCGTTAAGATTTATTGCATTGTTATGGAAGTATAAGATCATCGAGGTTTCCCATACTTCAAGGGGCATCAATTCAGACAAACTCTTCTTGCATTCAATCGATCCACACTCGCTCCAATCGTCAACACAGTCCCAATCAATCAACAAATCAACAACAAGTCATTCACAATGATCGTCCAGAACCTCCTCGTCGCATTCACTCTCTCTGCTTTGGGCCTCGCCCAGGAGATCGACAACAATGACATTCCTCGCGAGTGCAATGCTGTCTGCTCGGCCATTGTGACACTTGCCCGAGACTGCGATCGCCAATTCAGTATGCTTATACAAGACCGATACAACGCCGCGAACATGACATAGCTAACTTTCGTATCAGACGACGATGATCGCGGCGAGCTCAACTGCATCTGCTCTGCCACCAACTCCAACACCCAGCTTCCCATTTGCGAAGCCTGCGTTTCCAACTTCGACAACGACCGCAACGACAATGGTACGTCTCCCTCCACGAGCCGTCAAAGCTCCCATCACTAATCACTCCTCCCAGACGTGAACGACCTTCTCCGCTCTTGCAACTTCAGCACAACAACCTACAACCCCTCCGCCGCATCCGCCACCGCTGTCACCGTCTCTGGATCCTCCATCAGCATCGCAACTTCTGTCGCCCCCACCGGCGCCTCTGCCACCAATGCTTCCGGCAGCTCTGCAGCATCCGCCGGAACCACCGCCAACACGGGAGCCACCCAGGCCACCCAGGCCGCTACCTCCTCTTCCACCGGCGCCGCCGCTCCCGCCATGACCATGGCTCCGGCCGCTGGCTTCGCCGCCATGGGCGTCGTCGGCATCGCCATGGGAATGATGTAAACCCCCCGACTATGAAATGTCATCGGAGGAAAAGAGAAGAGAAAGCGCTGCTTGATCACCAGCCCCTTTCCTTCCTTCCCCATGTCCTCCCTCGGATATCATCAACTCACGTTCATTCTTCATGAAATATGTGGTGCTAGACAAGGAGAAAAACTTTTTTGCGCTTGTTTGTAAATACCCGGGTATTGCTATCTATACTATCTACTTATCTTTATCTTGCGACTTCATACATACAGACGTACAAGTACAATCGTACACAATTAACAAGGAATGTTAATACTTATAAACACACCTTTTTTACTAATTTGTCGGTGTCGTGCGTGATGGTGGTGTTGTGGAAGGGAAAGAGCAATGATGAGAGAGGTGGGCAGGTGGTACAAATTCCCCTCAGCTTAAGATGTCTTTGAACGCATACCTTGACATTTGGACTTTTGAAGTTTTGGCCGGACGTTCCCGGGGGTGCTACGACACTTGAGTCAGTTGATTTGTAGTCCTCAAATAATCTCAACAGATAGCGATGAAACACATATTCCCGTGGCAGAGGTCAAGAATTTTCAAG